TGGTCAAACATCGCAATGCAGGCTTTTCTGGATCTGAACTTTTAAGAATGCTTTATGGAAGGAGTGGAATGGTTACCTTTTTTAACCCTGACCACCTGGCAATCTGTTCCTGCATCTTTTGAGTAATTGGCTGTTGGCAGCAGCTGTTGTGCTAATCTCCTTTTTTAATGTGACAACTTTATCACTTGTTTTGAAATGGATTGTAATTCTTACCTTGTTTAACCTTTTCCTTTTGATCTTGTACAACAGGAGGTGAAGAGCCGGTGCACATGTACTATGTCAATGATGGCGTGTATGGCTCCTTCAATTGCATCCTGTTTGACCACGTTCAACCAGATCCCATTGTTTACAAGGTAAATGTTCCACATGTTGCTCCATTTTCGGTTATGGCCAGTGGCTTTCAACAGCTGCTATGGGGAAGGCAGCTCATTCAAAGCACAAAGCAATAAAGGCAATCGATGTGAGGATTGACGGCACTGACTGCGGATTATTTGTGCAGATAAGTGCAGTTGGCTGTATAGGTTAACTAGACTCGTGGAGCTGTTCAGTCTGATTAACATGATCTGCGTTTAGTGGAAGATTTGGAAAATATTCTAATTTTTGTTTGAGGTGCTGATGAGCACATCGATGCACAAACTTATTGATTCCTCCCCTCCATAGATTCCTCACTTGTCACGATTTGGACGTCTTGCTAATATACTGCATGTTAAATCTAGACTTGTTAGTAGAAGCATACAATCAACTGTTTTTCATGAGCTTTTGCATGTACAATTTAAGGTGCAGTGAGTGCAAGAAAATATTTAACTTTGGTTTTATCGGACATTATCTGGCATCAGAGGGGAATCTCGTTCTGCTGAGCCAAAAATAGTCTTGAAGATGCATATCGTTAAAAGAATCTTCATGTGGGCTGCCCTTTTGAAGATGTTTTTTTTAGTCTTCTGGCTCTGCTTTACACTGACATGAACAGTACCATGCGAGAATACCCCCACAATACAAAAGATTGTAACCCCCACACTACCTGCATGATTGCAGGCAAGCACCTTTTGACTCCATGCTTTGCATGGTTGTCATACCATCCGAGGGTCAAACTTGGCGAGTTGTGACAAGTTAACCATGCTTTGGTCAGATTTGTGGTGGATCAAACTGACCTGTGCATTTTAATGAGGGCTAAACAGTGGAGGACATGACCTTTTCTTGACCTTTTAAATTTGGATCTATTGTTTCCAGCATCAATACAAGTGTCTGGCTTTGTAATTTGTTCTGGTTAGATGGGTAAAATTTATATACCTCTGATAACGGCAAACATTTGGCATTTGAGGTTGTGCATGTTGAAATAAACTTTTTTTTTGTGGCGTTTACAGCATGTTGAGCCAGAGGAGCCAATGTTCGAGTCGTCACTGTGGGGCCCCACTTGCGATGGGCTGGACCGCGTGGTGGAGCGCATGCAGCTGCCAGAGTTGCACGTGGACGACTGGCTGCTGTTCCGCAACATGGGCGCATACACCATGGCGGCTGCATCCAAATTCAATGGATTCCCCAAGCCTCCGCTGCATTATGTAATCCGCAATGCAGACTGGTAAGTTGAGGAATCTACAATGCCACCTGCACCATGATCACAACACCAAGCCACTTTAACCACTGACTTCACCAGCGGCTCTTCTAAATACTACTATAGACACCGTCGACACCTAATGATGCCTCTACTACTAGAGGCAGATTGCTCGCTCAAACATTCCACAGTAATAACACTTGGTGTACTATATGTAATTCTTAACTTGAGTTGATGCATGTATCATTGCCATTATCAATACACAGCTAATTAAAAGGAAGGTGCAATCCCAACTTGGGGTAATAATTGTAGGTGTCTATGCTACCCTGTGCTTGAAAGCTTAACTAGTTAGACAGCTTAACAATGCCTTAATAATTAACAAATAATTGCCACTTAGACTGTGCACCCCCCCCCCCACATAAAGTTACTAAACCTATGTTATTGCCGTAAAAAAATGTATTGGTCATGCATCGCAACCAAGTCATTCCATGTCCCCCCCCCCCCCTGCCTCCCGTTTGCAGGATTGCAATCCACGAGCTGCACAGGTCTCTCTCCGAGATGCGTCCCTGTGGTGGCGAGGACGAGGTGGCCGTGCCGCTGTCTTGCGGTCTCGAGAGCTGCGAGCCAGGCTTCACGCCACCCTCTGCCGCTTCTGGCGTCAATGTCTAAATCCTGACTGTGCTGGGGTGTTGGGGGCATCAATGAGGCCAGCCTGGTTTGGGGGGGGGGGGACTGCTAGGTGCTAGGCTTGATGGTGAAATTAATCTTTTTTTTTGGCCTGACAAATGTGCCACCTACTCCCCCCCCCCCCCCCCCCCCCTTGATGTACTACGATTCACCAAGCGCATTCCCTTGTTTTCTAGATTGACACTTGCACATTTGTTTGGAGGGCAAAGTGGGTGAACAAAGCATTACATTCTTAGTTAACGTTCCTTGTGGGATGCTGGTTATTATATTTTGGTGCTTTAACAAATTGTGCGCACTTCTCAATGTCACTGCCCCCCACTGTGTGCACATCAGCTGAGGGGAGGTAATGGTGGTGTATAATTGCGGGCATAGCTTTGTCGTTGATTTGACAAGTTGCTGGGCTGTTGCCTTATTGCTGCCGAAGGCATTTTCATATTAACTTGACAAAACCCACCTCGTGTCAATGCAGCGTTTGGCTTCTCCAGAGTGCCAGGTCATTGTCCTTATCTCTCCCCAGCTTTGCAGATCCTGTAGTTTTACAATTGTGCACACTTCCATTTCACAGCGCTGTTAAACGCCAAACGAAAAGCAACAAAATGAAGGCCAATTGGGGGAGGGGGCTAGAAGTTTGGAGAAGGCACACGAGCCAACCAAATGCTACCTCTAATCTGAACAAACTTGCCAACCCAGCCACTAACCCCACTCGCATATCCCCAACCTGATCTTGGTCTCTTGCAGAGCAGCAGCACTCGTTTTCCCCATTATGCTTTTAAGCTTTTTTGACCGATGCTGGGCATTTAGTCAGCGAAATGGGCTTGAGTGGTGTGCATTACATAGGCTGGGGTGTCTGTCTGGCACACCTCAAATTTTGTAATTGGTTTGCAATCGCATTCACATTAAACTCTAACCTGCCACCATTCTTCCCTAATTGACGCATTACAAGTGTGTAATTGTGGAACGCTACGCTCCTTTTCGTGTTGCAACAAGAACACTTTATTTTTTGAGCTTGCTTTACATGATACGAGTTGGAAAATGAGGTCCACTTGATCCTATGTGCTGCGTAATTTAATGACCTGCGACTGGTGATTTAAGAGTGGTGTGAAAGGACGTGGCCAAGTCTTGGCAAAACCCATTGGGTCGGCCGACTTAATTTAGATGGTGCTCCCCCATTTTCTAAGGGTTGGCTGGCGACTGAACATTATCTTGAAGGGGACCAGGCTTAACATTGTGCACTCGCCATGCCCTTAAAGCCGGTGGTTTTTGCTTTGAATGCAATACTTATGACACGTTTAGGGAAAGTCATTTGTTTACACAAAGTTTTTACTCCTTGACAGTACTAACTGTAGTGTGACTGTAATAAACATTTTAAACTTAAATCTTGCATTTACGTAGTGTTTTTAATATCTACATCAACGCATGGAGCTGGTTTACATGGATGGATTGGTGTTAAATCCAAGCCTGAAATTGCTAAACTGGTTTTAAGAATTAACAGGGCTTAGGTATCGACGGCTTAATGAATCAAGTCCATTAAATGTATCGGACTAGAAAGCCCAGTGCGGGTTTAATCGGACCTTACTGTTACTACCCAACTATTGGCACAAACTTTAACATTCTTAGATTGGGGTTTAAAAATACCCAGGTGATCGGCACTGCTACCTTTAACTTCTCATCGGAAATTACCAGAGGTGGGACAAAGTCATTGTTATGCAAGTCCAAGTCGAGTCTGAAGTCATCAAATTCATGACTCGAGTCTGACTCGAGTCCAAGTCACATGACTCGAGTCCACACCTCTGGAAATTACTGACGAGCATAACTTTAGTTTCCGATTAGGTTATGTTGTAGACGAACCCAACTTGGCATAAATTAAAACGCTGGAGCATGCCACTTTTTACGATTGCATGAATACGTTGATTTGCGGCGCTTCAAGTACGCTCTTGCTAATCCTATATTAAGTGCCCGACAATTTTGGTCCAATCCCCAAATTCTGGGTGGGTACACGTACAATTTCCCGGTGCGAGCTCTTAAAACGTTACCGTTTTCGTGTGCTCGAGGTCGACAATTGTGAGCAGCTTCCCCCTAGCGGTTAACATGGTCCGCTACACGTCTTGACATTAATGAATGGTTTGGGAGCACGCGATTATTCTGTGATCATGCGTTTCGTGTACTGTACAAGTTTGGTTCGCCAATGTTTTTTGCCGATTTGTTTTGAATGCAGTTTTACGTGAGCACTTGCACCCGTACACCAGTACCACGTTGCAATTATCACACCACTATCGCATTGATCGCCACTGTCCTGAGTCTTTAAATGTAGCCTCTCTAACGGCCACGAGTGTACTCTTAGGTTATTTCGGTAAAGTCGCGTAGGAAAATAAAATGGATCACGAGTGTGAAGTTTAAAACGGGATCCGTATTTGCCGCCGTCACCACCGCGACCAACATTGTCACCAGCGGACTCTACAATTCCCACTCATCGCTGCCATCACCATCACCACGGCGTCATAAAACCGCAGCGTTCGATACTGCACGCCGCTCATCCGTCACAAATCAGTGTAATCGCCCCCATCCACGAACATCAACTGCAAATCACAAGCGAATGACAAGAGGCATCATCCAATCGCCCCGTCGACCGCCGCCACACGATTGAGCCCCCCACGGTGACAATAGCCCCGTCTCCCCTTCCCTGCAGGGGAGGGTCCTTTGGTCCCAAACCCACAGCGCGTATTTCCGCCCATCGCGCCTGTGATTGGAGCTGGTGTCGGGGTGTGCGTGGATGTGTGGGTGTGTGTCGATGGTGGTGACGGGCGGGGGGGGAGTTAATCGGAATGGGAGAGGTTGTGTGAGAGACACACAAGGAAGGAAGCTCGCTTGCTCTGCGGGGATGCAATGCGCTCCGGACAGAGACGGTAAGAAGCAGCCCTCGACGCGGTGCGGTTTGACACCAACGCGCTGCATCGCATTGCACCGCTCCGCATGTGCTGGTGGGGTTTTGTTGGATTTGTTGTACGCGCGAGTGATGTCGCCCAAGTGGCTGCGATCCTCCCCCAAGCCGTGCCCGGGTTCGATCCACCTGTCCCACGATGCACATCGGACAATTCGCTTACGGCTGCGTTCATCGTCGGCATGCGTCGCGGGGACGCAATCGCCACGGTCGCCGGTAGCGAACCCAAGTGGCCTTGGTTGCCCTCCCCACCACCACCACCACTAAAGGTTGACTCGGCATGCATTCGTTCCGATCGTGGTGCTGTGGTGGCCAACGATCATTCGGAACCGAAGAGGACAAAGGCGAGAGCGGTGGGTGGAGGGGTGCGTTGTTTGGTCACGACCTGTCCGTCTCCACGTGCGTCTTCTCGCCCGTGGCTTCTGTGTGACAGTCTGTCCAGGCTAACGGAGGAGGATCTTTGTCCTTGTAATGCGGCGTTTTTTTATGCTGCTGCTGCTGTACTTGACAATATCGCAGCAGAAAATAATGTACAAGCCTTGTGGCAATTCGTTGCCGGATGAAGGCCTTTAACCACTCTGGGAGTCGGTCATTGGGGGGGCTTGTTTGACCATACTTCATCACGATGGTTCAGTGGAAGTGGGGGTCACCAAGAACCGGCTCAGATGGCACTCGCCACCGATGTCAAGCCGTAGCCAGGAATCTATCTGCGATACTGGCTTCAGTGGAGCAATGCGCTCACCGCTGTGCCACCACTCACACCCCTTACATTGTAATGTTATTTACCCAGAAGAGCTTGGCTGAGTCCTTAGACTCTTCATATGGAAGGGTCTTTGTATTGGGATGGTTGGTCAATGCCCTGTTAATGATTTTTGTTGTTGTTGCTTCTACTTTCTGTACTGCCATCTGCTGGCCACCTCGCAGCCCAGCGGGTTGGGGAGCTCCCTAAAATCCTTGTGTGATCCATCAACCCTCGCCTCCACAAAGTGCCGGTCACAGGCGTGTCCCACCACACCATTGCCTTTCGACTAAACCCGAATAATTGCCTGTACCGACACTCGTGCTTGCCCTTCCGATGTGTGTGCCTGCCTGCGTGGTTTTTGTCGGATTCTTATGCATCCCGTGTCACCATCACATGAGAAACATTGGCCTGTGTGTCTATGCGGAACGTTGGTGCACAGTGGTCACGCTCTGCGTGCGCCACGTGGCATTCCCAGCACCTGGGCCCCATTCTTGACCCCATTCTTGGCCGTGTATTCCGTCAGAGGTGGCCGAACCTGTTCCGGCCCTCTCCTAGGTAGACCCAGCCTCAAACGCGTACCTGATACATTCATTCAACATCAACAATGGGCACGTAAAGTAGCTCGCCACGTGACGCTTTCACGTGCCTTTCCAGCCTTAATAGGTGTTTGCAAACATCACTTTCCCCCGATGGTCTTTCACACTAAACGAGGGACCTTCGTCTTTATCTTTGGGCATGAATTGTGTACAAGTTCATAGTCCTACATCAATGGCTAAGACATTGACAAATGTCATCTTATTGGAATCAGACTCACCTAAGAAATTAAAGGACAATTGTATGTATTGCTGAACGATTAAACGTGTTTTAATGTAAATGCACAGAGTTAACCAATGTGAATACTGTACAATAATCACAACAAAGCTTTCTTCGCAACCTCTAGTGTGGCTGTTTTAAGTCAACAAAATATTATTTTTGACTTAAAGCTTTCGGGACTGCAGGAATACATATTCTATGGGTCTTTCGGTAAAGCCACGTAGATAGAAAAAAAATAATAAAAAAATATCACGACGTTTCGATCGAAGCAATCATCATCAGGTGAGAAGATGATTGTTTGTGTTGCGGTCGAAACATCGTGATATTTGTATTATTATTTTTCTATCTACGTGGCTTTACCGAAAGACCCATAGAATAAAATATTATTCATGAACGACTGGATATGACTTGTCTTGGCCTGAGGTGGGCTTCTCACTCGTGATGTGGGCGCTACGGTGGCGAAATGTTAACTATCTCACCTGGTATGCAGGAGGTCGCTTGTTCGATTCCGACCCTGACGCCTGTATATTTTGAGTTTGCATGTTCTCTCTCTCCATAGTTGCGTGGATTTTTCCCCGAGTCCTCCGGTTTTTCCCTCCACATTTAGAAACATGCGCCTGGAGTATTTGGCCGCTATAAATTTTCACATGGTAAGCCACTTCGTTGAGCTATCATTTGTGGCCTGGTCGCTTCTGAAAAATAGCTTTATAACTCAGTGGGCCTGATCTGGGAAAATAAAAAGTTTACTTTATGTACTGTGACATGTCACTGGTCCGTCTGCCCTCCAGCCTTACCTGTGGTTACCTACCTCTTATTTATCTTGTGACAAGTCAGCAGTGGAATTTCCTCCATTGGCTAATTGCCATTTACAGAGATGAGCACCATTTCACATTTGAGCAAGGATATACTCTTATTTTTGTTCTTATCAGCCATGATCTTCTGGATCAGGGGTCGGGAACCTTTTTTACTGGGAGAGCCATAAAAGCCAAATATTTCTAAATATATTTCATTGAGAGCCATATAGTATTTTTAACGTATAATAAACTAAATATGTCTTACTTTTAATGCGACTTCTGGTGCTGCATGGTTTTGCTGATGGCCTTGTAGTCTGGTTCATACTTGGTGAGGTTGAGCTTCATGCAGGCGTGACCCGTGAAATTTATCTTCCAAACTAATTTCTGTTTACTTTAACATGACACAGTATTATTAAGCAATATCACAAGTATTTTAAAATCAGTTCCAAACTGATTTTTTTTCAACTCAAAATTGTCTGGGAGCCATATGCCGTCACTGGAAGAGCCATATATGGCTCGCGAGCCATAGGTTCCCGACCGCTGTTCTAGATGAAGGCTTCCCCAAGCCGTCGATTAGCACGGTTGGCTACGTACGGTGCGAAAGAAGTTCAGCATACAAACATCAACCTTCGCAATGCTGCGGTGTTTTAATCCACCAAGCAAAAAGCGCACCAGCTGATTTTGATTTGTATTCACTTTGACAAACAGCTGTCTGGGTCTGTCTCTCCATCCACCTATCGATCTGCCGGTCTGTCTTTATATCTACCCTTGCCTGTCTCTCCACCTGTCTGCCTGCCTCTGTCTTGAATGACCCCTCTGTATGATGGCTTGTTGGTCTGTTTGTCTCTTCATCTCTCTCTTCATCTATCTATCTCCATGGCCCTTTATATGTCTGCCAATCTGTCTGTATCCCTCTCCCTTCGTCCACCTGTCAATCCTTTGTAGTCACACAGTAATAACCTTCCCCCAATTTCACTAAAATTGCCCCAGCGGCTCAGTTACTTGGGGCAACAAGGTGGTGACAGTCAGCAACAGTACAGCCTTGGCCTTCGATTTTTGAGGTGCCTCCGTGTATAAGTACCAATAACTACAATACTACGACACTGTGATACATCCTATGTAAGTAAATTGGTAATTAATGCCATTGCATCGTCACAGATGTGTGATGAAATATGTGAACTTTGTTTTTGTTTCATGTCGCTTGGAATCGGGCATGGGTGGCGGGTGAAACAGAAAAGGGAAGGAATTGAATTTACACCCCCACTCCCGCCTAGAAATAATAGCAGCAGCGGGCCCCCATCAAACTCAACTTGGCCCTGAGTACAGCAAGTAGGTTGCGAATGTTCTGACCACCGATTCAACCCGCCCTCTACGTCCAGAAAGCATCCACATTGTCACTATTCACGAGCTGGCCCGTATTCACATATCTGTGTGGAGGAGCTTCATTGTCATGCTTCAACACAGTGGGCGAGTGGCAAGAATAAAGCAGTCTCCACTTCACACTCCGTCCAAGTGCATTCAATCAGGCAGTTGGGAGTATATTTGACGGTGGCGTCTGTATGAATACTGGTTGGCAGGGCTAGTTTGTTGTCCTTCCCCCACACCTCCGTTTAGCACGGTTGGCTACGTACGGTGCGAAAGAAGTTCAACATACATACATGTTGCAACGACGCACCTATTCGGTGATTGATATCGATTCCTAGGCTTACGATGCACACATCGAATCGCACGCCTTACAGGCGTCAGATCACTTGCTTCAGAGATTAACGTACGGAGGGATGGCATCACCCAGGAGAGGGCGACCACGGAGGAGATGGAGCTATAAGATCAGCTCCATGAGCAGGAGGAAGATGGATTGTGGCATCATCGCGGAACCGTGAGAGACGGCGGAAACTTGAAAGTTATCTTCATCCAGCAGTGGGTAGATCATGGAAGGGAGGAAGCAATAGGCAGGGTATGGTGGCATCGGTGGCATTGTCTGTGATGACATCTTGATTTGAGGAATGCATTAGGGCTATGGCTACTTTGGGATTCGTAATTGTGAGTTTGGAATATCGTTAAGTGTTGGTGTAATGATAACATAGATTTTGTCAATGGACCTTGATTCTTAGGTCCGTAATATGTGCATTAAATTGTGTAAGAATCGATTATTTGTTATTTTTTATGAAAATATAAACAAATAGGTAACAACAACTCCGAAGAGACAAATAATGAGAAACAATGCGAATGAGAAACAGTGAAATAGTGAGGAAAAAAATCGATGCTTGAACCAAATCAGAGCCCTTAATTCCAAAAATATATCAATTGGCAGGGTTGGGGTTGTCAATAATTTAATGTCGATTGGCAGCATTGCCCGATTAAGTTGTTGGATAGTGAACGAATTTCACCGTCGGCCAAAAAACATGGAGCCTGTGGAGCCTAACCCTAACCTCTTGTCACGAGTTAGGCCCGTGTAATATTTGCCAAAAATGGTGCCATTTATTTGAATAAAAGACAGCAAATCAGTGCAATGAGGGAGCCTCCGTTCAGTATGTGGAGTCCAGTGCACGATGGAACTTGCACACGGAAAGGGGGAAACGCACAGATAATTAAACACCCGCTGTAGGCACAGGCCTGGGTGCAATGGGACTGCTGTACAGTCGAACATTAGCATTTATAAAAACTTATTTTTCTATCGAATTATTTCATTTCCAATCATGTACAAATATTACACAGATCTTGGCATCGGTGTTCATGAGCTGTGTAGTAAGTTTCATAGAGATTGATTACTCAGTTTTTTGGTTTTGTTGTCACAGAGCGGATTTAATATTTTCCAGAGTGAGCAATGAATAGCCCTCAGCTCCCTTAATCACGGTGCTGTTTGTGCATGAATGCCATCATCATGATGGTGATGGTAACAGTTAATTTGTTAATCCTTGAAACGAGGTGATATTACGCAGACATGCGGCTATAAATGACGCAGAGCTGCTAATTGCAGTAATTAGCAAGTAATGTGACGGGCTGGTGTTATGTGTTTTTTTAATGATCTTTGCGTCACCGTGTCGCTTTCACAGGCATTGAGACGTCCTCGCAGTGGAGGTGAAGTCACGGGCTGGCCCGGTGAGGGGGGGGGCAAACGAAGCAAGGACTCCAGCACGTCAAGCGACCGGTGACGTGGAACTTCAACAGTGATGCTGCCGCGATCGACACCTTCCCCTAAACCCGAATCCTAAAACACTCTCGCTCTGAACCTGGCCTAAATCTTCATCCTTAAACACTCTCCCCATAAACCTGGCCTAAACTCTGAAACCGATCACGATCTCCAAAAATCTGACCCCAATCCTAACCATAACTATAATAACCCTTTTCTCCAATCCGACTGACATGAATCACTATTTTTCAGAGGACTAGCAGTCGAAAAATAATCTACTTTTTCAATAAATTTTTTGGCGTGATTTATCGTGCAATGAACGCAGTGATGTAACGTTTACACGGGCGTGTTCCCCCCACCCTACCAGGGCTCTGCTCGGGAATCTGTGAGACATTCCGTAGGTGATACGTTAGACTTAGAGATCCATGAAGGCCCCTGGGGGTTTTTAGCTGAGCACAAGTTTTATACTTGGAGGATTTGTAAACCTCGGCACACGTTTATATTTTTTTAATAAATCTATTTATACGCAGCATTAGCCGACGTGACAAGTTTAGAGCCTTATTCTTGCACCGTGTCGTTCAAACATACGTGACGTTATAACGTTTAAGCATGAAATACATTTGTTACATTTCAATAATTAATGCTTTAAAATAAATAGTCGATCCAATCCTAGCAACAATAGTGTAAAAGTATAAAAAAAAATCTTTTTTTTTAAAGTTAATTTTTATTTTAATTAGTAAATTCGCTGACGGGAACAGAAAATTACAAGCTTTGGTCAAGCGCCCTTCTGCAGGAAAATACACAGGCACTATATACGAACACACAGACCGACATACATACAATATGTACATCTCACTTCCATTTTAGCACTCATAATGTAGCTGTGCACCCTCTAGATATGCCACACAATGTGAGGGCATCTGAGTATTGGTTGTTAAACCATAGCACAATACTTTTTTGGGAAATAAAAATAAACATTTAAACTTAATGCCTTACACATTTGCGTGCCCAACGATCAGTATGACTTGCACACACACACTCGCATGAGCTTCAGGTTATAAACTTTTGTGTCGATAATAAATCGGTCACCCTGCCTTTTCCTGACCGGGCAGCACCTTCTCACCACTCTCAAAATCCATAGCCCTCCATTTCTTGTGCCCCGTCTTGAAACGCCACCGCGATTGAACGCCACGCACGCGTACACATTAACACGTGTGCACGCACGCGCACATGACCGCAACATCGCGCCACTATCGTCGAGGCTTAAACTGAATCGACTCAACCATGAGCCAAAGCAGCGACATCCACCGCATGCGGAGAGTGCGACCGTCGGCCCTGCTGGAGGTGTTGGCGATGGTGTCGGTGATGGTGGCGCCGGGCACAGATGCACACAGCCTGTTCACCTGTGAGCCGGTGACCCTCCGCATGTGCCAGGATCTGCCGTACAACACCACCTTCATGCCCAACATGCTTGGACACTACGACCAGATCGCGGCGGCCAAGGCCATGGAGGTGAGGCTGCCGTTCTTCGTCACGATTGTCATCATCGTCGTCGTTGTCATAAGCCATGGGATTTTCACTGTTGCATGAAGGCCTGAAAATGCCGTTGCCATCCCATGCCGTCCCATGATGCCCGCGGTACGTCTCTCGGCTGACGTCACTGGCGAATGGCATCTGAATCTGGCCTGGGACTCCCCTAAGGGTTGACTCAGCCTTGAATGAGTGCCTGGTCTGGTGGGTGTCTAAATGGCAGCACTGGGGAGACAAAGACGATTGAGCGGTGGTGTTGGCTAGAACACCCCTTCATGCGCCATGCTGGTGTCAATCTGTGCTCGCTAACAGCACTTGCCGCAAACAGCCTGTGCACGCTATATGGGTGAGCTTTGTCTCTGTTTCAATGTATATTGAAATATGAGTACGTGTGTGTTTGGTTATGCACGTGGAAAGCGGTGGAAAGCGTTGGTGCAGCGGTTAGTGCGCTGTGAAACCAACCAGGTGACCCTAGTTCGACTCCCGCCCACGGCCAACACCAGTGAGAATCATCTGAACCGGTCCTGGGCCTCGCCTAAGTCGACTCATTCTCATATGAGTTCCTGGTATGGTGGGTAAAGATCGTAACTATGGAGACAAAGGCGGTCGGGCATGCTGCTGGCAACTCACCCCCTAGTGTGTCGTGCTGGACTTAACACGTATTCGCTAACAGCACTTTCCCCAACTGTGTCAAAGGCTACACGGGGGATCTTTGTCTTTGTGTGTTTGTGGTCACCCATTATTATGCTGCTATCCCCATCAGCCATCTGCTGCCAAACATCAAGAGGCCCCCTATCGAGCCACACCCTCCCATTACCCCCCCCCCCCCCGTTCGCCACATGCCATGGCAGGCACTGGCAGACCCTGTATCGGGAAACACAAACCTGACACGGGCTTCATTCTCTCATCGTCATCGTAAGCCATGGTCAATCCACTGCTGAATGAAAGCGTACCCAAGTCACCGCCACTTCTCATTCTATAACCTGCCAGTAAAGGGATGGGTGTTGCATGGACGTGCGTGCGTGTGTGGTGTGTGCGTGGTGTGTGCGTGGGGTGTGTGTTTGTGTGCAGTGGCGTGCTTGGATTTTAAACGATACAAACGAGGTGGTGTGGATTGGGAGTTGTGGTGTATGTGGGTTAGGTTTGTGGTGTGTGTTATGGGTGTGGGGTGTCTGGTTGTGTATGGGTGTGGGTTAGGGTTGTGTGATTGTATGGGGTGTGGGTTAGGGTTGTGGTGTGTGTGATTGTGAATGGGGAGTGGGTTAGAGTTGTGGTGTGTGTGTGATTGTGAATGGGGTGTGGGTTACGGTTGTGGTGTGTGTGATTGTGAATGGGGTGTGGGTTAGGGTTGTGGTGTGTGTGATTGTGTATGGGGTGTGGGTTAGGGTTGTGGTGAGTGATTGAGTATGGGGTGTGGGTTAGGGTTGTGTGTGTGACTGTGTATGGGTGGGGGTTAGGGTTGTGGTGTGTGATTGAGTATGGGGTGTGAGTTAGGGTTGTGGTGTGTGTGATTGTGAATGGGGGTGTGGGTTAGGGTTGTGGTGTGTATGATTGTGTATGGGTGTGGGTGAGGGTTGTATGGGGTGTGGGTTAGGGTTGTGGTGTGTATGATTGTGAATGGGTGTGGGTTAGGGTTGTTGGGTGGGTGATTGTATGGGGTGTGGGTTAGTGTTGTGGTGTGTGTGATTGTGTATGGGGTGTGGGTGAGGGTTGTGGTGTGTGTGTGACTGTGTATGGGTGTGGGTTAGGGTTGTGGTGTGTATGATTGTGAATGGGGTGTGGGTGAGGGTTGTGGTGTGTGTGACTGTGTATGAGGCAGTGGGTTAGGATGTGGTGTGTGTGATTGTGTATGGGGCGTGGGTGAGGGTTGTGATGTGTGTGACTGTGTATGGGGTGTGGGTTAGGGTTGTGGTGTGTGTGATTGAGTATGGGGTGTGGGTTAGGGTTGTGGTGCGTGTGATTGTGTATGGGGTGTGGGTGAGGGTTGTGGTGTGTGTGATTGTGTATGGGGTGTGGGTTAGGGTTGTGGTGTGTGTGATTGTGTATGGGGTGTGGGTTAGGGTTGTGGTGTGTGTGACTGTGTATGGCGTGTGGGTTAGGGTTATGGTGCGTGTGATTGTGTATGGCGTGTGGGTTAGGATTGTGGTGTGTGTGATTGTGTATGGGGTGTGGGTGAGTGTTGTGGTGTGTGTGATTGTCTATGGGGTGTGGGTTAGGGTTGTGGTGTGTGTGATTTTGTATGGGGAGTGGGTGAGGGTTGTGGTGTGTGTAACTGTGTATGGGGTGTGAGTGAGGGTTGTAGTGTGTGTGTGATTGTGTATGGGGTGTGGGTTAGGGTTGTGGTGTGTGATTCTTTATTAAATGTTTCATTCACTCATCCCCGTTGCCCGGGTAACGTGCACTGTTGTTATTTGAACAGAGAGCACGGCCCCTCGGGTTAGAGAGTCACGGGGAGGGAGGGAGGGAGTTCCAGGGGGAGAGCTGAGAGTTAGAGAGGAGACGCAGACGGCGAAACGGAGACAAAGGTCTGGGTCACTGGGATCAGAATTCGGTGCTCACTCACGACCACAATAGCACTCGCCACCAAACACACACAGCCACAGATCACGCCGTGTAGCCTTAACAGACTGTTGGGGCAAGTGCTGTTAGCTAACACCTAATGAAGGCCGGCACGGCACACGAGGGGTTGCGTCGGACAGCATCACGCCCGACCGCCTTTGTCTCCCTAGTGGCAATATTTACACACCGCAACAGGTACTCATTTGATGCTGAGTCGACCTAGGGGAGGCACAGGAACAGTTCAGATAATCGTCACTGGTGGTGCCCGAGAACGGGAATCGAACTCGGTTCCAGGCTCAGAATGTAGTTCACTCTAACAACAGCACTCACCACCAAACACACACACACACACAGCAACACACTGGCAAAGACACCGACACAGTCACACACGAAAAGACAAACATCTCTCTATATCCATTTACAGACTGGGGTATGTCCTGCTGATGAGCACTTGTGGAAGCTGGCACACCACGTGACGGGCTGCTCCAGCCAGAGGTTTACAAACCACACCAGGCATTCGTTTAATGCCCGTGAGCAGCTCCGATGATACCACTTGCCACTGATGTGAGCCATGGTCAGGAATGGAACCCAGGTTGCCGGTATTGTAATGTGCCACTTCTACCAATGCTCTATACACACGCACACTTTGAGGCCAAGTGAAGTGTCCAAGGTTCGCTGGCGTGAGGTTACAGGACAGACCCAGGAGTTATGGGTTTTGATGGATTGAGTTGACAGGCGCATCATATATGCTCCCCACTGTGCCATCTCGCTGTGTTTTATCCGCCCGGCGCGCCGCTCATTGTTGTGAGTGTCGTTCATGGCTCAAGCTTGAGGAGGAAATACAATCCTCCGTCTCGGGGTTTCCAGTCACCGGCGACGTGAGCCCTGTGGACTACGTTTAGTCGTTGTGTGTGTGGCGGCGATGATGATGATGATGCGCCAGTGCTGGCCTCCACCAGACCAGTTCTCCTGGGAAGCCGCATGGGCTACACACGGCCCTGACGACGAAGCCACTGCCAGAGCATTTCAATTTCCCAATGAATCCACCTTGCACGGGTTATCGCTGCGACTGCAAAATCCAAGCTGGACTGTGTTTCTTCTTCTTCAATTCCAAGCCACAAACTGCCACGATGGCTCCTCCATCCCCCAGTCGCGTTCTTTACGATTGCCCTTTGCAAGAACCGAACTTGACACCGCTGGTATGAGTAGTCGGCAAGCCGACGCAGCTCCAATTCCTTTTCAACATCGGTCCAGCTCTTCTCTAGGCCGTATCACGCCCCCTCTGTCTGGCCATTCAGAAGCTACTGTACTTGGCCATGCGGTGGCTGAGCTTGCAGGCTACATGACCCAGCCAATGCATCCCCTGCATGCCACAGCAGACGATCACTGATGGGACCATGGAAATTCCTCCGATAGAGCATTAGAATGCTTCCTCGCACACACAGACAATGGTGCACAGATACACAAAGACAAAGCCCCCCCGTATAGCCTTAACAGACTGTAGGGGCAAGTGCTGTTTGCGAGCGTCTATGCAAGCCAGCACGGCACACAAGACGGTGGGTGGCCAACACCACACCCGGCCGCCTTTGACTCCCCGAGTGCTGATGTTTCATACACCACCAGCTTACTCATTTGAGGCTGAGTCGACCTAGGGGAGGCCCAGGACCGGTTCATATAATCGTCACCGGTGTGTTGGCCGTGAGCAGGAATCGAACTCGGGTCACCGGGTTCTTAGCGCAGTTCGCTAACCGCTACACAGAAATACACAGCTACAAAATACACACGCGCAGATAAACTCCGCACGGATGTCAGGGCTAGGGTTGCCGCATGTTCCCGGTTTTCCTAGAACGTCCTCTCAGTCATTTGTCATGGGAAATCGGTCAGTCATCCCAGTACAATCGGAGTGTGCCGGTTTGTGTCTGTCGTGTAAAAACAACGATAACATTATTGCACTATTCATAGTCAAGGTTTTTGAGTTAGATCGAGCAAGTGTAAATGTGTCGTAACCCTCCACCACCCGACACAGCCAGTAATGTTTGTTTACGTGACAAAACAGGTTGTCGGGTGGTGGAGGGTTACGACACATTTACTCGATCTAACCCAAAAACCTTTACTATGAGCAATATTTGTAACGAAAGCCTGCTACGTGTTAAACTAATTATTGCACTACTCCAGACACTCAATGCAAGTACGAGTGTTTCTCCCGGCTTCTGGTGTTGTGAGATCTTCTTCTTCCCACGCAATCCCAGGCACCGTGGAACGTCGTCAACCCAACGTTGACCCGACGTCGGATCAACGTCGGGGCGAATGGTTCCAAAAAACCGGGACGTCTCAGTAAATGTGCCAACTTTGGGTCGACGTGGCGCAACTCCTGCGAACAAATGAAGGGAGAAGACAGGGAGAGATGGGTGGATGAGTCGCATACCCCCCCCCCCCCCTCGTGAACACAGGGGTGTGGGCTAAGGGTGGGTAACGTGGATGGAGAGGGTGGACAGGGGGAGTGGTGAACACCCCAATGGGAGGAGAAGGCGAGTGAAGGGGGTGGGTGGGTGGCTGGGTGGGTGGGGGTCGGGAGGTGGGCAGGGAGCAGGAGGCAAAAGGGTTATGAAGCAGCTGTGGTGAGCGAGGCCATGTGTGGTGTGCGGTCGTGACGATTATTAATGAGCAGGGGTGACAAGAGTAGTGTGTGTACGAGTAATCTGAGGAGTGATGGTGCAGCGGTTAGCCCACTGCATTTCGGACTCAACAAGCCGAGTTTGATTCCCTCTCACGGCCAACACCAGTGACGATTATCTAAATCGGTCCTGGGCCTCCCCTAGGTTGACTCAGCCTCAAATGAGTAAATATCACTACCCGCCCCTTCGTGCGCCATGCTTGCCTTAATAGGGGGTCGCAAACTACACATACTCCAGCAGTTTATAAATGCGGTATGGGTGCGATATGTCTTATTTTGTGTGATGGTGGTGACTGCGATCTTCTTGATGTTGATGATTAATCTGAACCTCGATCCCCTCTCTCCCCTCCACTCTTTTTCCCCTATCACCACCCTCTAATATCTCTCCCCTCTACTCTCTCTCCCCTCCCCTCTCCTTCTCTCTCCCCTCTCTCTCCATCCCCTCTTCCTCCCATCTCGCCCCCACCCCTCCCAGCCGTTCCACCCGCTCGTGAACCTCGAGTGCTCACCGGAGCTGCGCCCGTTGCTGTGTGCCGCCTTCGCACCGCCGTGTGGGGGCGGCTCCGAGGGGGCGTCCCCCTGCCGACCGCTGTGCCGCCGCGTCCTTGCTCTCTGCTCGCGTCTCGCCGACGTCTTCGGCGTCGCGTGGCCCGACGAGATGGACTGCGAGCGGTGAGCTCCTCGGCGTTTCGGTCCCCACACTTCCCCCCGCCCCCACCTTCCCCCACCCCCCTTTTCCTGGCTGGCGCATTTTCAGCCGGTTCCAGAACTGAACCGGCGATACGCTAGCCTCTAAAAAAGGCATCCGAATCTGACACGGGGCCGAGCAGGGCCAGGGGCGGGGCTAATCGCACTCTTCACGTGTGACGCCAGTCGGCACGGCCTGGTGTCACACGAGCCGCTCCAGGCTGGCTCGGCACGAGCCCACCAACACCATCGCCACCGCCACCGCAACCGCCGCTAACCTTCCTCTCCTGCGACCACAGCTTCCCCGACTGCGACGGCGTCTTCCGCGACCCTTCCCACGGCTCCGACGGCGGCGACGACGGCGACCGCCGGGGCTCGGGGCCCGGCGACCCTCGCCACGCGGCGGCCGGCGTCGGCGGCGGCGCTCAGCCCCGGGACTTCGGCTTCTGGTGCCCGCGGCAGCTGAGGGCGACGCGGGGCCTGGGCTACCGCTTCGCGGGCGTGCGGGACTGCGCTCCGCCGTGCCACCCGCACATGTTCTTCGGGCGCGACGAGCTGGCGCTCGCCCGATACTTCATCGGCGCCATGGCGGCCGTGTGCCTGTGCGCCACGCTCTTCGCCGTGCTCACGTTCCTCATCGACGTGCGCCGCTTCCGCTACCCGGAGCGGCCCATCGTCTTCTACTCGCTCTGCTACCTGGCCGTGGCGCTCTGCTACCTCGTTGGATTCGTGGCGGGCAGCGGGGCGGCCGCGTGCAACCCCCCCGACGCGGCACGTGGCACCGCGCCCACCGTCACGCAGGTACGGTGGGCGCGGGAGGTGCAGGTGGTGGTGGACGTTTGGTTGGTTGGTATGTGTGTTGAACTTCTTTTGCTCTGTACATAACCAACCGCGTTAAACGGAGGTGGTTGGTGGTGGTAGTAGTGGAATCGGTGGTGGTGAGCGGAGGTGTTGGTGGTATTAGTGAATCTTGGAGGTTTGGTTAGTGGTGGTGGTGTGGTGCGAGTGGTGATGGTGGTGGTTTGGGTGCTTGTTGGTGGTGGTGTTTGTGGTGCAGGTGGTCGGTCGAGTGGGGGTATGGTAAAACACAGCTTATCAATTTAAACAACGGCGGTGATGGTGAGGATGATTGATATTTGTGTTGGCGATACTAATGCAAATGTCAATACTGATCAGACCGACGCTTATTTGCGATGCTTAAACACATCAGCAATGCCAGTCACCAGTTTAACACGTAGGCTTTCACGACCAATATTATCCATAATAAAGGTTTTTTTACAGGTTAGATTGCATAATTATCAATGTGTCGTTGAACCCGCCACACGACAAAGCCAAATAGTAAGGCTTCTCACGTAAACAAAACATGCCAATTAGTTACTATTCCAACACACACCGGTGTGTTGGAGAGTCAACCCACAACATTTACAATTCGAGCACTGGTGATTACAACCAGTCGCCAACGTACTCGTGCTAACGCTACCACTAACCCTTCTCCTGCACCTCTCCTCCTCCCTCCGTCGCCACCACCGCCACCGCCAGGGCTCCCACCGCCGCGCCTGCACGCTGCTCTTCGCGTTGCTCTACTTCTTCACGCTGGCGGGCGCCGGCTGGTGGGTCGTGCTCACCGTCACGTGGTTCCTCGCCGCCGGCCTCAAGTGGGGCAGCGAGGCGATCGCGGCGCGTGCCCCGCTCTTCCACGGCCTCGCCTGGGGCCTGCCCGGCGCCCAGACCACTCTGCTGCTGGCGCTGGGCGCGGCCGAAGGCGACCCGGTGAGCGGCGTCTGCTTCGTGGGCGTCTACGACACGGCGGCGCTGCGCTGGTACCTGCTGGCGCCGCTCGGCCTGTGCGTGGCCGCGGGGCTCGGCCTGCTGCTCGCCGGCTTCGTGTCGGTGAACCGCGTGCGCCTCGTCATCCAGCACGACGCGCGCAACCAGGAGAAGCTCGTCAAGTTCATGATCCGCGTGGGCGTGTTCAGCGCCCTCTACCTGCTGCCGCTCGTCGCGCTGCTCGGCTGCTACCTGTACGAGCAGGCGAACCGCGGCGGGTGGGAGCTCGGATGGCTGCACCGCCACTGCCAGCACTACCACATCCCCTGCCCCGCGGTGGTGAGTTCGCCTCGTCGTAGACGCTCGCTCCTCGCCCAACTCCCCCCGCCCCCCCCCACCCCCGCGCAATCATCGCTTCTTGACCGCCACTACCCGTGTTGTGACGGAGGCCCCGGACACCTGTCTGCGGCGAGGGTTTGTACATCGACGAGGCGACGTCGACGCCGGTTGTGCTCGTGGTGGAGCCGTGAACTTGATGGGAGCACGCGAGCAGTAGGCTCTGTACCGTGCCGGTGGCCGGTACGTATCTAGAGTCACTGTAATTATAGTTACCGTCTAACGTCCCCCGTGTCAGCGACCAAGTGGATGGCCAACTTCGCGGGTCCTTATCTGTAACCGAACCACAAACAACCAGCGGGAACCATTTGCTGGTCGGGCACTCCCAACTTCCAAAGTGCAGCTACGCTGTGAAAATTACAAAGAGCTGGGTGGCGCATTCGTAAACACTTGGGGCCGTTCAGTAACAAGGGCCCGGTTCAATTCTTGTTCCTCTGGTGTCTGTTCCTAGCGTGGTTTCCCGAGTTGCACCGCGCGTATTTTTTTTTTCTCTCAATCTTTTGCCACGCACTACTACGGGCATCTTCAGAAGTTGAAGTGAATAATACGTGTAGTACAAGCGACTGTGAAAACCGAGTTGTGTCCTGTGCTGTGTGTTATGTATGTTTTCAATTGGCGTAACTGCAACGTTTCCGTATATATTGCACAAATCACTTGCTTTGCATCTCGACACTAACGATCAATTAGTGAATGTTTCATATCCACACAACTTCAACATAATTTTGTTCCCCATGCCATGTTTATTATTTTTACGTCATTTATTACCACAACCATCACAATTGGCCATGGTCTTCTAACCACTGCTGGATGAAACGCTCTCGAGGCCCTCGCCACCACTCGCATTCTCACGATACGATCCGTAGGGCTTCTGCGCACGAACCGATTTCCTCACTCCATCTCCACCTTTTGTCGTATATATCCTGACGGAGCGCAGGCGGATGAGCCGGGCCGCCCGGACCTGACGCTGGTGCTCGTGCGCTACCTCATGACGCTGCTCGTGGGCATCCCGTCCGTCTTCTGGGTCGGCAGCCGCAAGACGTGCTCCGAGTGGGCGAGTTTCTTCCACCGGCGCGGCAAGCGCGAGTGAGCAGCCCCCACCCAATCACCGAAAACCATGTCACTCACATGCCGCAACGTCCAAGGCCTAGGTCTGGAGCCCAGGCCACATCCTGAAAAAACTCCAAAACATAACGCCAGATCCGCACCCGAATCAAATGTGTAAAACATGAGGAAAACCCCCCATCGTAACAGGCCAGAAAAAACCATAAGCGTACAATTATTTTCTATGTCCACACCTGAGGGATCGACCGCGTGGTCAAATCCATCTCGAAATAGCGCAACTCGGTCACCGCCTGCCAGCTGCTTTGTCCGCGTCTGAGTGAGTAGTTTCCCAATAAGGTAAATTAAACATCGCGTTCGGGATCAACGACCAGTTGTAGTTCGCAAATGCGTCGCGTGATGAGAGGGGTCGCTACAAATTGCTGAGCGGACCAATACTTGGTCCGCCTCCACTGCGAACAGCAACCGGCTGCAGAGACGACCGCATAGAAGCCGTTCGGTTTCGTGCAACCGAGTTGCACAGCAACTAATTACTCCAGTGTGGACCCGACTTGAGGCTTAGCTGGCCTAACCTGACTACTGAGCCATGAGTCTTGGCCAAGCACTAAACACAATATCTAAGTCTAACCCTAACCTGGGCATTATGCGTACTTTGAACTCTAACTATGAAGCCTCCTGATAATCATAGCTGGATCCCAATGTCTAGGCCACAGTCCAGTCACTGAACCCTGAGGCTGTCTGACTCGCTGAGCCCAAAGTTGAGGATAAACTCTTACCCAAAATTAGTTTTAAGTGATTTGCTGCTCAAATGAGCATTGAGGAAGTGCTCATCTCCTGTTTACAGCCCTGAACCAGTGGTGGGAAATTCCACGTTTCTACAGTGGTGGTGTGTCTATCCCTAGGACAAGCACTGTTTACTTAAAACTCGTTTTATCGACCCCACAGTCGGATGATGGGCTGAATCAACCCCCGACCAGGATTCGAACCTGTAACCTTCCGATTGCAGGGTGCTCGCTCTACTGATGTGCCACCTGGCCTGCAGCTATGCCTAATTCCAGTTCTAAGTTCAAGGGCAAAGCCTGGCCACTGTCGTTGATGGTTGATTAACCATGAGGCCGCAGCACTGGGAGCAGGCCCAACTCTTAAGTCCTACAACCTAACCACAAAGTTGAGCGCACTTTTGTTTACTAAAATTTGTCAGCTTTACCTAGTTTCTAATCTATAAAACTATTGTATTTTTAACCACTAATGGATTCGATTCATATTGCCACGCTCATATGAATGTTGCACATCTCTGCTGACAGGCTAGAATCAAGTTCAAACTCCACATTCCTATAACGGGGTTCAACATATCTATAGGGCCGCCACTGTCTCCTTCCTACAAAACGTTCAATTTTATTGATTCCAGAGAAATGACATTGACCTCTCAAATATTCTTCCCATGAGACATTGCATGGGAAAAAAACAATATCTCACTATACTGAAAGAAAGGACAGTTCAACACATCCTGAGCCGTGTCTTATTATCATTTCACTTTTTTTTTACACAATTGACAAACACTGAGACTTTTATTTTCCCGGAATACACTGACGGCAGATTTCGCAGGACAGGACAAGCCACCGTAGTTCAAGTACGATCCTGGGAAAAGAAATCCAGAACAGGCGGTAACCGCACTGTGACCCCTGCCCTGTCGATCGCCCCCTCTTCCCTCCGCCAGCACGACGAGCGACTCCCAGCAGATCTTGGAGGACGTTCGCTCGCAAACGCAGGGCCAGGCACCCGCCACCGCCGCCGCCACGACGCCGGCCCCGGCGCGCGACCCCAAGACGCCCGTGGTGCGCAAGTCCCGTGGGACGTCCACGCAGGGGGGCGGAGGAGGGGGCGCGTCCGTGGCCGGGTCGCTCCATGCCCCCACCGACGCCGGCAGCGTCCCCAGCCGCGTGGGCAGCAGCTACCACGGCAGCCTGCACCGCTCGCACGACGGACGGTGGGTGAACACCGCCTCGCTCGCCTGCATGCTCGCTCGCTTGCTCGCATGCGCGCTTATGCGCTTGCCTACACACTCCCTCGCTCACCTGCATACTCGCTTGCGCTCTCGCCTGCACGCTCACTCACTCGCATGCTCACTCACCTGCATACCAACGCACTTAATTCCTTGGTGACTCCACAGAAATTAAGCAAACACTCATGCTATAATTTTTCCTACCAAGATTGAAAGTGTGTTAAAGCTTTGGATGTGTCTGTTCGTCTCTCTGTAGTGGCGGGTCCTGATAACTCTCACAAAGATGGTCCAACGTACACAAAGTTTGAGTATAAAGTTGCATTGCTGTTAGGGACTTACTTTATAGAGAACAGCCAAATTGATCAAATTGTTGCCCAAACCTGGGTAATCAAAACCAGCATCTATAGAGAATAGGTCTTATGGATCAAAGCTGTATCATACCACTTTACACGTTAGTAGTGCTAACATCATCCAAAGACGCGTGCGGAAAGTGTTTTAGAATCCATGCGTAGGCATGCTTTTTCTTCATTGTTATTTACGTTCCCTGCCGAGAGCCAAAGAGGGGAGAGTAAGCGCACGTATGGCGATGCACACACGTCATTGTAACGAGCGCTTTGTGGGGAGAATGGGGGGCGGGTGGGGCCATGGGGTTCGACAGCGCGACAAACGTTCCACGTGTGCACGCGTGTCCCCCGTGCGCCGTGCGCAGCCGAACGCCGGGCAGCGCCCGTGTCGCGGACGAGCGCCTCGTCTACTGCAGCCTCCCGCGAATGCGCGGCGGCGACGGCGCCGCTCCGGGACAGCCGCCACACTCGCGGCCGCCCTCGCGCCACGACAGCCTCAACCGCCTCAACGGCAACTCGCGAGTCGCGCGGGCGCAAGGCGGCGGCGGCGGCACGAGCATCGATCGGGCCGCGAGCCCTCGCTCGCGCCAGGGCTCGCGGTGCGGGAGTCTCGCCCAACTGTCGGCGCAGTCGAGGCACGGCAGCCTGGTGCAGCTGGCGCCTCACTCACGCCAGGGCAGCCTGGCCCAGCTGACGTCGCACTCACGCCAGGGCAGCCTAGTGCAGCTGGCGTCGCATTCGAGGCAGGGCAGCCTGGCCCAGCTGACGTCGCATTCGAGGCAGGGCAGCCTCGCCCAGCTGACGTCCCACTCACGCCAGGGCAGCCTGGTGCAGCTGACATCCCACTCACGCCAGGGCAGCCTCGCCCAGCTGACGTCGCACTCACGCCAGGGCAGCCTCGCCCAGCTGACGTCGCACTCACGCCAGGGCAGCCTCGCCCAGCTGACATCACACTCACGCCAGGGCAGCCTGGTGCAGCTGGCATCCCACTCGCGCCAGGGCGGCCTCCGAGACGAGAGCGTGGGCGCGCAGCCGCTGAGTCGTGGGAACAGCATGGACTGTGTGCTGGAGGAGGACTGCACGAGCGCGTGAGGGTGCGGGGACGTCGAGGCGACGCCACATGTGCGGGAGCACACGCGCATGTACACACGCACACGCATGCAGGTACACGCACGCAGCAACAACAACAGCCGCCATTCACGACCTGTGCAAAAACTAAACAAAGACAATGACCCCCCCCCCCCCCCCCCCACGTATAACCTTTAACAGACTGTTGCGGCAAGTGCCGTTAGCAAGTACTATGAAGGCTGGCATGGCACACGAGGGGGTGGGTGGCCAGCACCACGCCCGGCCGCGTTTGTCTCCCCAGTGCTTATGTTTACACACCGCACCAGGTATTAGTTTGAGGCTGAGTCGACCGAGGAGAGGCCCATGACCGGATCAGATATTCATCACTGTTGTTGGTTGTGAGCGAGAATCGAACTTGGGTCAGAGTTTCGTAGTGCAGTGCGTTAACCACCACATTTCTGCTCCCCATTTGCACAAACACGTGCGCACAGATACACGCATGCCAACGTACGCACGCATAAACATTGCATAGCAACATCAACCCTCTGATGTCAACGCACGTGTCCACCCTGGCACAAGCCTTTCCACTCCTAGCATCTGGGCAATCTTCTGGAGTCACAAGGGTCAGTGACCATACTCCTGATCTCCTCCCTTCACCCGGCTCTATGTTCATGTAAGGGTCCTCATTACTGTTATGGATCTTTTGAAAGCCTGTAGGTCCTGGGTCTGGAGCAATGAACCCACTCTCGATGTGATAAGTCGTCATTCGTCTGATGTGAGATTCCGTTCGAGAATTAACTCTCTTTTTTAATGGCATTGTGGTGCATGTAGGGCCTCTAGTGGCTGTAGGCTTCATCTTAAACAATCACAGCACAATAGCAATGTACAAACCCTTGTCTACCCACTCATGTTGTGTTTATCATGGGGGCTATTTGACCATACTTCACTACCCTGGTAACGGGGGGAGGAGGGGGACAGAGAGGCCACGGGGGAGTGTGCAGGACCAGTTCAGATATCACTCGACAGGGTTAACCGTGGCTGGGAATCAAACTCGGGTCGTGGGGTTTATTCGCAGATCTAAAGCGATCGATTCTCGCACTCATGGCTCGATGCATGCGTTGTGAGTGTGAGAATCGCTACACGGCTGCTGGGTGGTGTCATACAACTGACCTGGTTGTATCCAAAACTGGCCTGGGCCTCCCCTATGCCGACTCGGCCTTAAATGAGTACCCGGTGTGGTGTACGTGTATAGGGAAGACAAAGGGGAGCGAGCGTGCATGGCACTGGCCACACTGGAATGAAAACCCTCGCATGCAAAGTGGCCACATGCTCATATCAGTTTTTTTTACGTCCAGAGCACAGCAGTGAGAAACTTCGTATTCATGTGGGTGGATTCAGTCAATTAAATAAGCACAACTATTGCTGTCAACCTGCCCAGCACCGAGTGGTGCAGATGATAATTATGATTGACCGGCATCGTCTTCATCACCACCTCACCGGTGTTCACCACGTTGGCAAATTGTGGGATCGTGATGTTGACGACGACGATGATGCGAAAGTAACAATGGTGTATGACGACGATGTTTATGTACATTAGTATAACCACAATTCACAATGCGACTGTGGCTCAGCAGTTATGATTCAGAGATGACAGCAAATAGACTGCAGGGCATGGCGGTGCACTTTGGAGGTAACGGTTGGTGGATCGTGTACAGTCGTGAAATTCCCAGTCTCGTAGAACTGCACGTTGGCCAGGAGATGGCAAGTACAGCAAGTGGGATCGTGAACCCATCTTTGCGGACGTTTCAGTGGCATTCGCTCGTATTGCGTGGCGGGTTTTCTGCGGGGCGCTCCCTTTTCTTCCCGCAAAGAAGCAAGATGCTCCAGAAATCGGCCAAACATCGCAACGCAGGGACCCCCCCCCCCCCCTGAAGAAAGAGCCTTGAGAACCAGCGAGGTTAGCCTGGATTCCGTGCATGACATCGCTATCGATTGTATGAAACAAAGGGAAGATTACCGTGTAGGAATTTTGAAAACAACTCTCGTGATGTTGACGTGAATGTGTGTGTATAGGCCTGGTGCTGCATTTAAACAAAGAGAGAATTTCACGTTTTTATCACTGGTAAATTATCGTAACGATTAAGTTCGACGGCCAAAAGGGCCTTACGGGGGAAGGAAAAACATTTTGCCTACAGCACCAACAGCATTCTATAATGAGCCACAACCCTTCTGGTGAGACCAAGAGAAGTCAGAGTTTGGCTGCTTAAACAAATGCTGTTGGAAAACGTTGTTTTCTGAACGCCGATGGGCAGATAGAACTACATGTAATTTATATATTTTTGTCGTGTTTATTTATTACTTTATTTCCCACAATCCACCAGGCAGCGCATAATGATGTTTGCATGAAGTATTTGATAAACCGTTGACGGTTGAAGTTGACCAGAAAAGGAAAAAATATATAACGTAAACTTGAGTTACTCGTGAATTAAAAAAATGCAGTTTACTGTGAAAGTGGAGGGCTAAGAATGGTAAGTTACAAGTAGGGGGCATGGTAAGGCACAATTACGGAGTATTTTAAGGCACAGTCGGCATGGTAAAGCACAATGAATTACAGGGATATTAAAACAAAACCTAAAAACTATAAAATACATATTTGAGTACGTTACCATCCAGGATTTATCCCATGAATGTTAAACTTTCGGGCACAGACTGACAGTATATTTATCATACGCTGTGTTGTATACAGCTGTTGTGTTTAGGCTGAAGTAATGTTGTAATTAATTTTATTCCTGCAATCGATGCAAAACAAAATGATCTGGTATTATTTTAGGTGTTAAAATTGGAGCAAAATGTCAATGTCCCCCAGGTCTCACACAAAGGAGGGCCAAACAATGGGCCCGTATCTTTTTTTGGACGGTCATGAATCAAGGGTGATCACGTGGTATCCTATCCCAGGGCCATCAGCCCCAGGTGTTCCCGGAACCTCTGGGCAGCCCTGTTTGTGATTGTATTGTTGTGAGCCCATCGCATCACGTTTGTTAAAATTTAAACTTGCCAACGGCAGTTAACATTGCAATGTATTCAGCGTTAACGTAACAGCTCGGTCTCCATTTTGGTGGTTCTGGGCCAATGGTGGAAACTCCACATTCCTATGGCAGGGGAAAGTTCAACCACTGGACAAAAAGTGTTGACACTGTGTGTGCATGTATATATGTATGTATGCACACAAAACCTAAGTATTTTTTTAAATGCGGTATAAATGTGGCAAATGTTACGCGAGAAAGAGATGAGTTATGGCAAAAGGAAATTTTTGTTTTTGATGAACGTTGTCGACTGCAAATAGATTTGATCGCTGTGTTTATTCGTGACAATGTAGGGCAACACACCTGCGTGCAGAGCAAACAGGTGATGTCTAATGGTGGAGTCTGTACAGCAAGTTGGTTGCTCATCGTCATTATATGGTACTCGGGTTTCTTTCCATGCATAATAGTGATGATCATTATGATTATCATCATATGTCCCAAGCAGGACTCGCCAGCGGAGTAGTCTTGAGACTCAGTGAGGGTCTTCCAGGCTGGAAGAACCTAAGATTAAAGAAAAAAATCAACACATTCATCAAAACACTGTAGCTTTCAAATAGTATATATATCTACGACGTTTTGGGCAATTGGTAATCTTAATAGCACATGCTGTATGAAGAGGAACAATAATCCGAATCACTCACCGATTATTATTATTTAATTTTTTAGACCGCCAAGTTGTTATTGACGAACGTGTTGAGTTGTTGTGCTTGTGCGCCGCTGTTCACCAGCAGAATCGCCAAATAATCTGTAAGATTAAAAATTGTAGCGTTCTGTGTCCAAAATTTTAATGTAAAACATTGCAGGACATGTCAGTGGCCAGTTGCATATCTTAAAATCTCACTTAGTTGAGTCTGATTTTAATGGGAAACAAATGTACACTTAAGTTTTATGCAACTGACCGCTGAAGTTCCTGATCCCCAACTCCTGAGTCGATGAGTTTTCACGCATTCTGTCCCAAGAATGTATTCTTCTAGTATTGCTGTAGCGAATGGTAGCGACCTCTAGCGGCTGCATGGTCAACAAACCCGTTAACTAATTACGTAAGACGTACGACTTGAAAGAAAAAAAACACGTTGATTCTTGCATGTGCGATCGATTCGGTGCGTGTATCATAAGCTTTAGAATCGATATCAATCAACGCATCGTAGCAATGCATTTGACCAACTGTCTTAAGCACAAAGTCAACATTAATCAAAAGAGTATGAGCATTTTGAGAATAGGTTTTCCCCTTTTTTCTGGCAACAAAACAGGTGTTAAGATGTTAAAACACCAAACTGAAACATTTTACAAGGAATCATGTCTGCATTAAATACTTGTGGTCAGAATGCAAACAAAAAACATACTCTCATAATATATGCATTATCTTTGAAACGGATTGGTCTACACCAGAGACAGCTTTCTTTTGATCCTCGTCTCAAACGGTATTAGACCAGAGGACGCCAGAAAAAAAGGGGGAAAACCTATTCTCATATTTTGGTACTGGCAAAGGAGGTCCCATGAAGTATGAGCATTAACCGCGCACTTGCATGGGATGTGCTGTAAGTCCTCGTTTAACGCAGTATATGCATTCCTGAAAAATGCCGCTTGAAGCAAAAAACGCGTCAAGTGAAAACAATTTCCCCATACATAACGTACCGATCAAGTTTGGTGAGATTGGATGTACGCACACACACACGGTGAGATGGCGGGACAAATAACTGAGGGTACGCCGCCACGTTACCGTATCATTCCGCTCAATCGCGCAGCTCAAGAAAGTAGTTCGTCATCGACCACTCAGAGACCGCGTTATAAGTGCGCGCGTTCCGCATTCCATGCGCAAAAGCGGTCCCTGATGGACACTGGCGGAGCCAGTGGGGGGGGGGGGGGGTGGCACATGCTTCCCCAATGATCCAATCGAAATCCCTAATTTCTATTGGATCATTGGGGTTTATTAGTACTAAATTGGCATTTTGTGACCCCCACTGCCACTGTGTAGCATATTATTACGTTCCAGGTACTCTATGAGATGATAGAACAACAGTCTGAGTCCATAATTTGACTCAGACAGTTGCGTATACGGTACACGATTTCCATGAAGGCATACCCTCAGCGAGCGCGATGCCGATCACACAGCGCGGTTCGAATTCGACCCTCGATCAATGGCTGCGCCATTGCCGCACACGCGTCGAATAAAAAGCAAGGGACAAGTCCTTCCTTACTAACAACTCCTCTATCATTTTTCATTGCTGGAGGGGTTGCCCCCCCCCCTACCTGAAAATCCTGGCTCCGCTATTGCTGATGGAGTAACCGTGAAAACGCGTTGTGTGAACACCACGCGTTAAGCAAGGCGTTTGTGTAACTTAAACGGGCACCTTGCCCACGTGCGATGACATCATAAGCAGAGTCATTCAGTCGTAGAGGGTGATGTCACCGCGTCGAAGCCATGGGCGTGGCTTAAGGGGCGATGACATCATGCGTAAACGCTGGGGGGGGGGGTTAAATTTAAATCAATGGGGGGGAACTCATCTTGTGGAAGATTCTAACCAATAAAGTGCGAGTCAATCTTCCGAAAGATTTGTGCTCCCATTGGTTTGTATTGGATGTTGTTATTTTTTTCAGAATTACATTTCGGAGGAAAAAAAATTCTTATTATTATTGGGAAAAGGCGAGAATATTTACCGGAATGTCCTCGCCAAGAGATACGTTTCTGTTTTTTTTTATCGTTTCAACGAACCGTTTGGGAGATAGAGCGTGACGGACGGTCGAATGGACTCTAGCAAATGATATAGATGAGTCTTTTCAGTTTGACAGGTCAGGCAAAACGGCCAATATCTTTGTTTACAGCTCATTGTCAAACCAACAACTCCTACTGCATTGGCGTGTTGAGCTTGTAATGACTAGGGGTGTATTATTTTGTACGTGTATATATAAGATGAACAAAACACTGGACTTATAAATAAGTGAAAATGTGACATTGTGAGAACAGTAATTCATCTCAATAGCAGTGTGAGCCCTTCGTATACTGTACTAGCAATGAGCTTGTTCCAGGCCATTTGTCATTTAATGCATTAGCGATGTGTAGTATTCGATGTTAATGTTCCACGTTCGTACGTATGTTTGTCTTTTGTGTCAGTGTCTGTCGATGTGAGCGTGTACGTGCGTGGGTCTGTGTATGCATAAGTGCGTATCAGTGTGTACATTGCGTGGGTGTGTATGTGTTACTGTGTATGCATCTGTGAAGGACACGACTGGGCAGTTGGAGGCAGTCGCCCTCCAGCCACAACAGAGTGCAGAGGATAAACGCTCACAACAACGAGCGGAGCGCCGGGCAGCTAAAATGCAGCAAGTTGGCACAGTACAGCTGGTGGTGCGTCTACCGGTCATCTCAGTCAGCCAACTCATGGCACCTGGGTCTGTCCCGAGACCTCCTGTCAGCGAGCCTTTGACACTTCACGTGGCCTCAAAGTGCACATGGCCTGGCACAGGCGCCGTGGTGACGTCACCGCCACTTAGTGGCGAATGGCGGGGGTATTGGTATGCATCTGTGTGTGTATGTCAGTGTGTGTGTGTCAGAGCATGTCTGGGGAGCGTTAGTCCCGCTCACGGCCACCCACACCAGCGACGATTATCTGAACTGGCCCCTGGGTCTCCCCTAGGTCGATCTGCTGCGGTGTGTAAACATCGCGACGAGGGAGACAAAGGCGGCCCGGCGTGGGTGCCCCCTCGTGTGCCATGCCGGCCTTATTAGGTGCTCGCTAACAACACTTGCTCCGAAAGTATGTTAAGGCTCTTTGTCCATGTTCGTGTATTTGTCGGTCCTGTTTTGCCCGTGGGTGTGCGAGAGTGGCAGCGTGTGCCCATGTCAGTGTGTCAACGTGTGCGTGTCCGTTGTGGACGAATCTCTCTGTGCGTGCGTATGCGAGCACGTGTCTGAGTAATTTGCCATCTCGGTGTGTGCGTCACTGTGTGCGAGTCATAGGTGCTCGCAACAATCCGGGGTTCTTCGTCCTTTGCATGTGTGTGTGCGCGTGCCTGTGCCATACTGTAAATAACGACGCCACTTTTCTTAACGCCATGTGAGTTCCACACTTTTGTGAAATAAAACGTAAATCGGACGAGTTGTACAAATCCTTCTGTGCGCCGGTAATTATTTGACGACGCGGTGGTTTGTGACGATGCTCAAAAAGGGCTTTCGGAGTACGGTAAACATGAGACGTTGAGCCAACGTCTGCTGCAGTCTTGCCACGTTCCATGACAAACGTCCAAGTCGCGCACCCAGAATAATGCAAATCCACAAATCGATTTGTCTTCAGATTGAATCCGAAATAGTGACGCCACGGGGTATGACGTCAAACGTGGTGTTACCTGGCATGGGGTGACCTCACTTGCGGTAGCTCAATGATCGGGTTCAATGTCGACGTGATAATGTAAATGGTGCACACGATCCATGTATCCGAAAATGCCCTGAAGAATCCAACTTTTCCAAGTAAACCCACCCCGAACGGGAAACGCGTGCACAATACACAAAACTATGATCCTCGCAACCCACCATTGTTCGTCTTTCCGAGTTCACTAAAATGATCTTTGTTTACATTGGAAATTCATCCATTCACTGGCGGAGCCAGTTGGGGGTAGGGGGCACGTGCCCCCCCCCCCCCAATGATCCGATCGAAATCCCTAATTTCGATCGGATCATTGGGGTTTATTAGTAATAAATCGGCATTTTGCGACCCCCACTGCCACTGTGTAGCATATTATGTGCCAGGGACTCTATGAGATGATAGGACAATAGTCTGAGTCTATAATTGGCAATAAGTAACGGCAAAGCGGTTATAAGTGACTCACAGAATTGTGCGCAGTTGCGTATATACAGGACACGACTTCCCTGAAGGCATTCACCTTCAGCGAGCGCGATGCCGATCACACAGCGCGGTTCGAATTCGACCCTCGATCGATGGCTGCGCCATCGCCGCACACGCGTCGAATAAGAAGCAAGGGACAAGTCCTTACTAACAATTACTATCATTTTTGATTGCTGGAGGGGTTGCCCCCCCCCTAGGGGCCGTCCATAAATGACGTCACGCACCTAAGGGGGGGGGGTCAGACATTTGTGACGATGTGTGACGAGGGGGGGGGGGGTTGAGAAATGTGACGTCACATCAAAATGCGCAACTTTAAATAAATATAGACAACAGGTTCTACTTAATTAAATAGACGTTTTAATAAATGTTTTCTCCTACAACATCAGAGTGCAGCGCCACATTACATACGCACTACAATGACAATAGTTTAAAGCGATTTGAAGCATGTTTTATTTTTTTGGGAGGGGCAGAGCTTTGTGACGTCATATTTGAGGGGGGTCTGACATTTTGTGACGCCGTGTGACGAGGGGGGGGGGGTCAAAAACGTAATTTATAGACAGCCCCCCACCTGAAAGTCCTGGCTCCGCCATTGCATCTATTACGCGCTGTACGCACCTGCTGATTGGCAAAGCCTGAAGACGTCCTCTTTAATGAATGTTTCACCACTTTAATGGATGTTTCACCACTTTAATGGATGTTTCACCACTTTAATGGATGTGTCACCACTGCTTGCGACCCATGAGGCCACCGAACGCGAACAAGAAGCACCAGAGAAATTCAAACACCAACCAATTAATAGCTCTGGTTAAGCAGTTGCATTTATGGGACCCTTTCGTCAGTATCAAGATATTTCAGGACATCGATGCCTTGTAATTGGTGTCTATTTGGTGTTTGAACGTCTTAACACCTCATCTGTTTATTCCAGAGAGGGCAAACTTTTTAAATCATATATATAATTACATATTTTGTTACAGCCGAAAGGGCGCCATAAATATGTGGGGTTATTGTTTGCGCAGGCAGCGAGTAACGACTTCATCTGTACAAATTTGAATCGAGGGAATTTGGTAAAAGGCGAGTTCAAAACTCTCAGTTCTACCCTTTAAAATACTAAAGCACACGCATTCATACAAAACAATATCATACGGAGCATTGAAGATAGATAATTATCTAATGCGATCACGACTCGTTAATTCTAGATTTGAAGCTTTCGTGACTGCAAGGATTCATACTCTTAGGTTTTTTCGGTAAAGTCACGTAGGTAAAAAATAATAAATGAAAAATCACTCAATTACTCTAGCATTATTTTCCCCTTAATTAATAATACGACGAATGACTATCAAATCACGTGACATAATGGAACATCTTGTTCCTGTAAATCATGTGTGGGCCTGGGGGGAGGGGCCAGAGGGTGGCGGGGGGGGTGGGAGATGGTGATGTTGATAATGGGGTTCAGGTGTGTGGTGATGTGGGTGATGGTGATGCGATGTTGGGTTCAGGTGTGTGGTGATGTGGGTGATGGTGATGTGATGTTGGGTTCAGGTGTGTGGTGATGTGGGTGATGGTGATGCGATGTTGGGTTCAGGTGTGTGGTGATGTGGGTGATGGTGATGTGATGTTGGGTTCAGGTGTGTGGTGATGTGGGTGATGGTGATGTGATGTTGGGTTCAGGTGTGTGGTGATGTGGGTGATGGTGATGCGATGTTGGGTTCAGGTGTGTGGTGATGTGGGTGATGGTGATGTGATGTTGGGTTCAGGTGTGTGGTGATGTGGGTGATGGTGGGGAGTGGTAGTGTTGCGGTGAGCGCGCTGCGCTACGAACCTGGCGACCCAGGTTCGATTCTCGCTCACGGCCAACACCGGCGACGATTATCTGAACCGGTCTTGGGCATCCCCTAGGTCGACTCAGCCTCAAATAAGTACCTAATGCGATGTGTAAACATCGCCATTGGGGAGACAAAGGCGGTCGGGTGTGGTGCTGGCCCACCCACCCCCTCGTGTACCGTTCCGACCTTCACATGTGCTCGTCAACAGCACTTACCCCAACATTTTCTCCAGGGATATTTGTTTTTCTTTAGTAGTATATGTATTGTATATGTATTTGCGAACACAAAGGGGGGGGGGGGTGCGATTGAGTCTGTTGACGGGTGTGGCGCTACCTGTTAGGCTTGTGTGCTAATTGGTTTTATGATTCCCACATCCGACCAAATCTCCACACCTCCCCTCTCACCACATCCCCCCCTCACCCCCCCTCACCACACCCCCCTCTCACCACACCTCCCTCTCACCACTCCCCCCCTCACCACACCCCCCTCTCACCACACCTCCCTCTCACCCACCACCCCTCTCACCCTCCCTCACCCACCACCCCTCTCACCCCTCCCTCACCCACCACCCCTCTCACCCCCTCTCACCCCCCCTCACCCACCACCCCTCTCACCCCCCCTCACCCACCTCACCCCCACCTCACCCCCCCCCTCACCCCCCCCTCACCCACCACCCCTCTACTTAAATGGTTTCGTCCGCATGGAGAGCCGCGCAGGAGAGAGAGATGGAGGCGGCGTTTGCACGATATCATCGCTCGCGCCGTCTCAAACAAAAATAATAATACAAATAACGCCTACTATAATCTTACATTAATTAGCTCCAACGGTGAGAATTCAATACGACGTGAATTATAAAAAATAGCCAGTATTTAAACATTGTATAAAACGGTCACTTGTGTGTTTATTGGCCTCGTGTGGTGTAAAATATCGTGGTAGAATTTTTTTTTCCTACATCATCGTATCCCTTTCTTCAATGGCTGGACTGCACTGGCTGAGGACGTGTTCGTCATTCTGCTCCGGTATAGTGGCTGTTTTTGTTCAATTATTTTATCGAGTTAATATCTTCGTTATAAATACCGTGCGTACAATTGCCGCCGTGTTAACTAACATCGCTTGTGACGAATTGATCATTGGTGGCGTTGTTTCTGCTGCCTTGTCGGTCCTGCCAACGTGCACAAACATTCGACACAGTACGTAGCTAATAACACCACGGCCTTTAAAATACAACAAGACATATAAGCACAAGCTATGAAGGGCCATTGCCAGAAACGTCGCATATTATATATTGTGTAAGGCTACAGTGATATTGGCGAATGTGAGTCTTTTAATCTTGTGATCTTGTATAGTTTAACACGCGTGTGTGTGGGTTGGAGCGGTGGTTGGAGCGGTACAAACCTGGCCACCTGGGTTCGATTCTAGCTCACGGCCAACACCGGTGACGATTATCTGAACCAGGTTCTGGGCCTCCCCTAGGTCGACTCTGCTTCAAATGAGTACCTGGTGTAGCGATGTGCAAACATCGCCACTGGGGAGACAAAGGCGGCCGGGCGTGGTGCTGGCCACCCACCCCCTCGTGTGCCATGCCGACCTTCATAGGTGCTCGCAAACAGCACTTGCCCCAACAGTCTGTTAAGGCTACACGGGAGGATCTTTGCGTTAAATAATGGTCATGCATTTTAAAGCGTTTACATATTTGAAACTGAACCCGCTTAGAATTGCGAATCCTGTGAGAAATTAATGGTGGTATATTTAAATCCTGTACCACGGGGATGGTATTAATTTCTTAAGAAATACGGATTGCATCACCGTCGCATGATGAACACACACTCCATCTGTATTCGCGCGATTACATTTCATATCTCATCCCCCATGAGCAGCAGCAACAGTAGCCACGATCTATCCACCGATGGATGAAAGCTTCCCCTCTCCCCCCTCCCCCTCAAGGCATCGAACAATCCATCGAGTTCTTTCCTGCACGCGAGCCCCATTTCAATTCTCCACCTTGATGATTTAACCTCTTCCAACACGATTAAACCTCCTCCACCACGATTAAACATCCTCCTCATCCTTCTCATTCTCAACCACCAAACCTGCATCAACCACTCCAGGAGCGACGTGTCCCGTGCCCAAGCCCCACATTTATAATATTACTACTAATAGTTAATATTCGTTAACGTGTGCACGCTACATCCATGAGCATAAGTACGCAGCAACATTGTTCTGTATGTGTGTTGCCCTGTGCGTAGATGCATAACACCATTCTCTAATTCGAGTGGTGCGTCTTGGTCTCGATTGTGTTATTGGTTGTGGCTGTGTGTATTTATCGATGCATAGAATCAGTATATTTGTGGTGGCAGTGTGTGCTACGAACACGGCCACCCGAGTTCGATTCCCACTCACGGCGAACATCGGTGAAGAAAAAAATCTAAACCGGCCCCAAGGTTGATTCGGCGTCAAATGAGCACCTGGTGCGCAGTGTAAGCATCTGCACTGGGGATACAAAGACGGCCGGGCGTGGTGCTCGGCACCCACCTCTCTGTGCTCGCTTAACAGTATTTGTAAAAGACGCACACGCGTAGTGTGATCGGCACCACGCCCAGTCGCATTTGTCTCCCCACTAAGTTTACACACCGCACTGGGTCCTCGTTTAAGGCTGAGTCGACCTAGGGGAGGCACAGGACCTGTTCAGATAAACGCAACTGATATTGAGTCGCCGGGTTTTATAGCTTGGCGCCCTTACCCACTACAGTACACATACACGTGCACAAGCAACAGTAATGCTCTCTGGTTCTTTCGGTAAAGTCACGTAGGTATAAAATAAAAAAAATATATAAAATATTTATGAAATAAAATATTTATACCTACGTGACTTTACCGAAAGAACCAGAGCGTATGGATTCCTGCAGTCACGAAAGCTTCAAATCAAGATTGAAGCAACAGTAATGCACATCGCACACTGCAGAACGGCAATCTGCATATCGACGTACACGGAGCCGACACATCAGAAATTATGTAAGGCTGTGTGTGAGCAACAGTTACGTAACGAGTTGAGGGGGGGAGGAGGATGAAGGGGCATCTCGGGAGATGAGATGCACGGAGATTTTGAGAGATTTGGCTGGGGGGGGGGGGGGTTAAAGGGGGGTTCAACTAACATCTAGGGCAGGATGCTCCTCGATTTGAACCTATGGGACTTGGTGAGACTCCTATGAAGGCAAAGATTGACAATGGAGGACCGACCGCTCTTGTGTTGACTGGACGCTCTGATTCGCGAGCGTGTTGTTTTTAAGTAAACCTGGGGGTTGTGGTGGTGTAGTCCGTGTGATATCGCAGCAGAGCATTCCTAGCTAACAAATGTCTTGTTACTATGTAGTATGTATGTATAACTTCATTCGTACCGTACATGGCCAACCACGCTAATCTCATTATACGTGTATACAGCGCCTTTGATCAAGGCGTATGCGTCTTATTTGCTTTCAATCTTAAAGGGCATCTCTAGCAAACACACGTGTCGTAGCTATATATGCAATGCGTGCGTAATTTAAAACAAAATCTTTATTAAAATCGTTGCCTGGATAATTCCTGGATGATGGGAAATCTCGCATTTTGCAAAGGTGTCAAGGTAATGTGGAGAAAGCCAAGTGGCCACGCGTTGTCCCCATGAAATGGCTTGAAATTTTTACGACCTTTTTTTAAATCACTGCTTGACTGACAGTAATGAGTTGTGAATACAGGTTTTATTTGTGAAGAGCGACCGTGTGTTTGGGATGGCTGGCCATGTTAAGGCGCTTTGTGAAGAGTCATTATTACACGATGGTGGGTTATGATGTCATTACGATGACTTCAATATATTTTAATCGGAGTATGATCATTATGATGAAGATTAATGGAGATGTTGATAACGAACGACAATGACGATGATGATTGGAAATCACGAATGACAAGAATAGCCGATGCTGATGTACAACAGAAATGATTGTGGATGACACGTTGGTAATGGGATGATGTCATTACTAATGACCATCTTGGACTATAATGATGAATATTGACGGCGATGGATAATGATGATGATGATGAATATGACACGGGGATGATACGTTGACTTGTAAAGCATCTAAATATAACTGCTTATCCAAACGTGGCACAAACCACGAGGAGAAAGGGGAGAGGTGTATTTGACCTATTTGGTAAAAAAAAAAAAGAGAAGTCCATCATAGGCAGAGAAGGGTCTTGGGCCTTGCAGTAAAATGGTAGCGGGGAGTGGAGGGCACAGATGGTTGAGGGAAGGCAGTTCCTGACTGGGCCACCACAGAGTGGAGACCAACTTTCCGCCGAGTTAAAGGCGGCCGGGAGATTCAATATGGTGACGAGGCTGGATGATGACGGAGATGACTGCGACAGAAAACGACGATGAGAATGGCAATCTTGACGGTGAGGGTATCTTATGTATGATATAATGATTATGACTTTCTAAAATGGCTATAGTGAGCTGACAATTGATTATGCTATTTTAAATTATTCTGACGTTATTAAGCATGATGGTTGTGAGATCTTCGTGATTGTTATATTGTTGATGTTGATTTTGATGGTGATGACAGTGGTGGTGGTGATGGCAAAGTTGTAAAATTATGTTGCCGCTGGCGAATGACGAAGGACTCCCTTCGACACTCTCGTCTCTACAGCCCTCAGTGGATGCAGGCAATGAAGGACTTCAGCCAGTGCTGAACCACGGCCGTTGGTGGGGGGGCCCAGGGAGATCAAGACAGAGGGGGGGGGGGCATTAGTGGCCTCAAGGAGACGTGGCGAAGAGAGGTGACGAGCACGAGAGTCAAGGAAGGTCCGGGTTCATCATGGACGGCATCTTCTCTCCTCCTTCCGTTACGTGAGTCGATCTCTGCCGTCTAGGTCAGGGCTCGGCAACCAAAATAACAAGACGAGCCATTTCTTTCCAATTTGGTACAAAATTCAGTATTTCAAGAGCCGCAATGCATCTGAGTACAAACTGTACATACGTACATATCGTCAAGAAGCAGCCCGTAAAGAGCCGCATGCGGCTCCGGAGCCGTAGGTTGCCGACCCCTGGTCTAGGTACACCGAGCGGTGCGTGTTGGGTAAAGGTGCACCCCTGTAACTGCTTGTTCAAGCCACTGCTGGTGCAATGGTTTCCACTTGAGGGTGATCGAGAGCCCCCACCCCTCTCTCTAAAGGGTAGTTGGCCTTCTCTTCTACACTGGCAGACATCTTGTGTGAGGTGGGGGGGTACCCACATGTGACCCCACTGCACACAACCTGCCCATCGACTAACTGCTTGCCCATTTAGACTGCTGGGTGGACAGGGGCAAAGGGATTAGAGAAACCTGCCCTCTGTTCCAGCTGCCTTGGCGGGAGTTGGAATTGGACTGGCGACCTGTCGATTGCAAGTCCAGTGTGCCCAACCATTATACATACCATGGTAGCCAAATTGGTTTATTTAAAAAATGTGTAAATGTAACGGATTTTCGTCAACATCTAACATCAATGGCTGATTTGAGATCTGCACGGTTGTAATCCTCCCCTAGGTTGGCGCCGTTTTTAGTTTGCATACCGAGTGTGCGGTGTGTGAATGAACATCGGTCCACACAACCCCCTTCTGCTCTGTGCTGCTTTTCATACTTGATTCAAAAATCTCTCTGCTGCATGGGGACTCTTTTGTCATTGCATGTCAGCGTGCGTCATTTGAGGTCTTGGCTTACAACGGTGTGTTTTCGTCTGTGGCTGTCATGTATCGCTGTTTGTGTGTGTCGGAGTATAGTGGTGTGGGTCAGTAGTTTTTGATTGCGTCGGTCCGTGTATAATGATCTTTGGGGAGAGCTATATTGTCGTGGTTAATGTGCTGCGTTACGAATCTAAAGACCCGGGTTCGATTCCCGCTCACGGTCAACACCAGTGAATTATCTGAACCAGGTCCTGGGCCTCTCCTAGGTCGACTCGGCATCAAATGAGTACCTGATGTGGTGTGTAAACATTGCCACTAGGGAGACAAAGGCGGCCGGGCGGGGTGCTGACCACCCACCCCCTCGTGTGCCATGCCGGACTTTGTAGGTGCTTGCTAACAGCACTTGCCCCAACAGTATTTTAAGGCTATACGGGTGATTGTCTTTGTAAAATTATCTACATGGAATTTTTGTCTCTTTTGCACAGGAGGCCACCTGGACCCCATCACAATGCGTCTTCAATTTTCACCTCCGCCCCTGGGGCGTCGCGCTTTGCTCACGAGGGCCTCATGCCTGCGACCCCTCGCAACCTCGCTCCCATCATGCCCCGCGGGAAAACACCCACAATTCACCACTGTGTACCCAAAGGTGGTAGCATTCATTGCCTCCTCATTAACCCTTTCACAACAACGCATGTTTTTTTTATATTTAACTGTAGGGGCACCTGGCAGCCAGCCACAGTTTAAAATTAATGCTCAGATTGGTCAGTTGGATTTTTTTGTGGTAAACAATTTTAGAATGAATAAGATACGACCTTGGTCATGCTGTACAATATTCTACGTTTTCTCGATTGTTGGCACTAGATAGGCAAGCAGGCATGAGTGTGTGGGTGGGGGGCAGGAGTGCAGCTGTTTGTGCGCTGCGATAGGAACTCCACTACCTGCTCACAACCACCAACACCAAGTGACGATTATCTAAACCAGTCATGGAACACCTCCAGATCAACTTAGTCCTCAAATGAGTACTTAGTGTGGGATGTAAACATCGCCACTAAGGAGACAAAGGCGGTCGGGCGTGGTGCTGGCAACCCACCCCCTCGTGTGCTGGCCTTCATAGGTGCTCTCTAACAGCTCCAAAATGTTGACCCTCAAAACCTACTATTGGTCCCTTGAAATATCGGGACTGGACACAGGAGGGCATAGTCAGGTTCCCCTCGAGCAGTGGTTCTTGGAGTGCGGTCCCCGGACAACCACTGGTCCATAACGCTCTTCCAAGTGGCCCGCGGGGCTGTGATACAAATGCAGGTTGATCCGGAAATAATGATTATACTATTTCCATCCAAATTTTCCGAATAATATTTAATTAATAGATGAAGTTGGGTAAACTACCCTTACTCTAAGATCTAAATGCCACCCCCCTAAAAAGGAACCTTATAGCTGCTTTCATTTTATGGTCCAGTAATACAAGCCATTTTGTGTTACTGGTATTTAGAGATAAATTAATTAGTTTTTGTCACCAGGGGTGTAGGGCTGGGGTCTGGGTGCTCCGGAAATGTTTAAATCAGCTGAGTGATCCACAAACCAAAGAAGTTTGAGAAATACTGCCTGAGATGGAACCGGCTATGCAATGGTTGTTAACCAGAAGAGAAAAAAAAAACATCCTATGATGGGAAATGTTTATAAACACACATCCTGTGATAGGTAAATGGTAATCTTGTGATATGTGAAATATAAAATCGCTTGCTTGTTTCTTTTGAAGTTGGCTAACCCCATGCATTCTCACACAAATGCTTCTCTTATTTCTCGTACATTCTAAGTCCTCAAAAGTCTAAGTTCTTTAACCTCCATGGACACGTTTGCTCCATTTCACCCCCTCACCCACCAGGATCTACTCCCAGCACGCGCCAAACGGCAGGCAACGCTCCCACAATGCAGCGTGGCGGTGTTACCACAATGCAACGGGGCAGAGGTCCCGCTACCATAAAGACGGCAGCTACCACCAGCACGCAGCGCGCGGGTACATACGGCTCGCTCGGCACCGCCAACGGTGCTTCCGGGTCACGGCTGGGCAAAGGTGACGGAAATAATGGACGGTACGTTGACGCCCACGACCCTGGTTACAGCAGTGGATTGACCAAGGGGTCTGTACATGTGTAGTGAATCACTCGGAGACACTAACAGTAGGAGGCACTATATTTAATATATAGCCTTCACAGGTACGAGAGGTAACTACTATACTATGGTCAGGACAGCTAACAGGCTGCCTGACCAACAACGCCGACGAGGTGAAGACGTTGACGGAGGACTCCAGCAGCACGACGGTTCCACTCCACAACAACAGCCCCGAACCCTCGCTCGGGTGTTTTCCTTTATACACCCAGCATGGCCTCGCTCTGCCTTCGGCCACGCCCACCTTCCTAGAACCTACCAGAAAGTTCCCGGGCTTTACCACACGTACCCCTCCCCTCTATCCCCCTTGCCTCACGCCCCTCTCTCTGGCTCATCACATCCTGCTGCAAGACAGGGCTACTACACCTTCGATCCCCTTCTGTGCCAGCAACCAGTGCTATGCGCCACAGTGACGCATTCCACGTCACTACACGTGTACACGTGCGCAACAGCTGTAGGCTGAAGTTTGGGGTAAAGAACCCTTCCCAAGCGGAGGGGAGGCGGAGCTTACAGTTTTATCTATTTGTTGCACTCGTATCATTCACTCATGGAACTTGCTGACCTGCCCCTACTGGACATCTGTGAAAAAGAGCTTCATAGCTCATCGAATTCCTCCAAGGATAACATGTGTAGAGTACTGTTCCGTGCCTGTATTGCTTTGATATACTGTTGGGGCAAGTGATGAAGGCCGGCACGGCACACGAGAGGATTGGTGGCCAATGCCACGCCCGGCCGCCTTCATCTACCCAGTAGTGATGTTTACACACCGCACCAGGTACTCATTTGAGGCTGAGTCGACCTAGCGGGAAACCCAGGACCAGTTAAGATAATCGTCACTGGTGTTGGCCGTGAGCGGGAATCGAACTCTGGTCAGTGGGTTCGTAGCGCAACGCGGTAACCTGCTACACTACCGCTCCCCACACGCGCACACTCGCCCGCCTGGTGCCTCTCCTGCACACGTACATTGTCTCGCCTGTGTTGGGGTTGCAGCACACTTGAGGGTGCGAGGAGCCGCGGAGGAGAGGGGCGATGTGGAGTGGTCGCTCCACAACTGACGCCACTGCAGCAGCGCGAGCGAACCATCCGGGAGCTGCGCGCTTCGCTGCGGGATGCGCACGCACACCTGGACGACAGGTACGACGTGTTCTCAATACCGTGGGCACCGTTGCCTTGTACACGTGAACTTGGTCATCCTTGCAGAGGCGCCTTTTGGCTGGCCATAAAACAAAGATGGTCCACCGCATCGCGCGTTATCAGATGTGCTTCTGCAGCCACCTGGAATGCTCTTCCTTCCAATATGAGGAAGCCGCTGGAACTATGGACTTTAAAATCTAGATTGAAGAGTCATTTGTTTAGAAATGCTTTTTGTTTTTAGTTTGTTCTTCCCCCGCACCTCAAGTTAATACGGTTGGCTACATAAGGTGCAAAAGAAGTTAAACATGCCTACATACATACCTTGTACACGTTGACAGACAAAGATCCCCTGTACAGCCAGACACTTAGTTAGCGAATAAGCACTATACTTGCTGACCCACCCCGACTGGACATCTGTGAAATAGAGCTTCATAGGTCATCGGATACCCTCCAGTCTAAATAAAGATTCTGATTCTGAAGTACTAAGGCTGGAACGGCACACAAGCGGCTGTTTTGGAAAATATCATGCCAGGCCGTCTTTGTTTCCCCAGAGCTGATGTTTACATATTGCACCAGGTACTCATTTAAGTTCGATTTGACTGAAGGGAGGCCCTTGAAGCAGTCCAGAGATTTGTCGCCTACGTTTGGAGATGTCGCCAGCAACATGCCTGTCCCCCCTTCCCTATCCTCCCCTCTCCACTGCCCCACACCTCCCCAGGAATCAGCAGCTACAACAGCTGAAGCAGCAGCTGTGTCTGCTGCAGGAGAAGCGCGCGCAGGAGGTGACCCAGCACACGGAGGCCGAGCTCATCCTGTCAGCGGCGCGAGGCGAGCTGGCCCGACTCGGCAAGACCGTCCATGGCCTGCTGACGAGCCCCGAGCCACCGCAGGACATCTCTTCCATCAGCCGTGCCACTCGCTGGCGGGCCTCTCACTCCAGCGAGCGCGTCCAGGAACGTCGCCGCCAAATATCTCCCTGCTGCCACCATAGCTGCTGTTGCAGCAGCAGCTGTCACCACTGTGGGTGCCATCATTGCTGTGGCACCCATTTTCGTGACGCGACCGGTGGAAGTGGCGAAGACGAAGCCCGTGTGGAAGGAGGCGCGATGCGGAGTCGTGCTGGATATCTTTGCCCCGGTGGGATCTGCGGGGGCGAGCGCAAGTGTGGCGATGGACGTTCGGCAGGCAGTGAACGCCACCACACAATAGGAGGAGAAGAGAGCTGCCATCGCTTTCAAGGAGAAGGGCGCGACCTTGTACTCCTGTGCGGGGATGAGTGTCACCGTCTCGACACCCGCGGAGGAGGTGTTGGAGTGTTCGAAGAGGTGGACTTTACAAGATCTACCTTTAAACCGATGGGCGGCTGTGGAGAAGATGGAGTAAGTGGAAGCTGGCGGCCGAGGGGGAAGTTTTCTGGTAATGGCGAAAGGAACGGCGCGATCACCAAAGTTGGGTCGCTCTTGCTGGCGCCTGTTGATGTGAAGGTTCTTCTGGTGGCCATGATGGTGGCAGATGGTGACGAGGAGTTAAAATTTTCACGTGCATACTTAAGCGATAACTTTTCCGACAGAGATATTGGAGAGATACAACCTCGAAGTGCTATTGATTTACCCCCTCTTGAATCTTCACCCCCTTACCTGTCGCTCATTCTGAAGAAGCCTGGTCAATCGGACTATTCCTTTAAGACTATGATGAAGCTGATTGAGGGCCGAGCGATGGAGGCTCCTCGTGCGAGTTGCGCGAAGTGGCAGAACGGAAGGGTGACCCGTCACTTGATCAAACAAGCGTTGTGGCTGGTTCGGGAGGCATGCACGTCACCGTCAAGATCCCTGCAGGAAAAACGGCCCGTCAGACGCCCCTCGGTTGCGTGCGGACAGGCGACGTCCACCGGCTACAGTCCAGTCGACGCGATGCACACGAAGGACATTGGCCACATTGCGATGGATGGTGACAACGGCGAGGATGCGTTTGGCATTGAAAGGTGCACGAGGGATGTTGAGGAAGCCGATGGGGTTGACCGATTGATGGTTGAGAGGCGCACGAGGGATGTTGAGGAAGCCTATGGGGATGACCGATTGTTGGTTGAAAGGCGCACGAGGGATGTTGAGGCAGCCTATGGGGATGATCGATTGGTGGTTGAGAGATGCACGAGGGATGTTGAGGCAGCCTATGGGGATGATCTATTGGTAGTTGAAAGGCACACGAAGGATGTTGAGGAAGCCTATGGGGATGATCGATTGGTGGTTCAAAAAGGTGCAAGTGGAAATGAGGATATTGGGGAGGACGCTACGAATGTTGAGATAAATGAGAATTCCTGTGACATTGAGAAATGCCACGTGATGAAGGATATAGAGAGGGACGCTGCAGCTTTTGAAGACCACACCACGGAGTTTGAGAGGGACTGTGAATACGTTAAGAACAACATCAAGAGCATTGAGATAAATTGTCAGGATACTGAGGAAGGTGCCACAGACCAGGAAAAGAACAATGACAACATTGAAATGAACGCTGCAGGATTTGAAATCGTTGATACCGATTGTGGTAGTGAGAACTCTAAATGGAATGCTGAGGACATTGTGGACACTGCAGAATTTGAAGATGACAGTCGAGACATTGAGAAAGACACCACAGACTTTGAGAAGGACGTTGAGGACAACACTACCAACTTTGAGGATGAAAACTTTGAGAAAGACGTTACAAGCCCTGAGAAAGATGATGAAAATATTGAACTGTGTGAAGTCATGGACAAGGGTGCTGCTGATATTGGTGAGACCACCTGTGATGCTGAGAAGGCTCAAAATAACCTTGAGGACAAAGACAATTACATGGATATTGCCACTGAGAAGGACAAGGCCAACGATTTTGAGAAAGGCGAAGCTATCGTTGAGACCGCTGTGAATGTTGAGAAGGGGAAGGTGATGGAGGACGCTCGGGACCATGAACAAAATGAGAACATTGTGGAAGGCGTTGAGATGGATACGTGGGATGTTCAGGAAGATAACAGAAAGAACACGGAGGCTGTCGCTAAACAGATCCATGTTCATCTTGATACCCAAGATGAGCAGGTATCCACCTTTCAACAGACTGCAGATGTTGAGCAGAACCTCTCTTCAAACATCACTGAGGAGAAAGAAGAGCCTGAGGAGGATGATAACATGGAGTGTTGCATGCAGACCACAGTCACTGGGCACTTTGAACCAGATCCCACTGGGGTGGTGCCAATCCAGCAGCTGTCGGTAGGACTGCACACAGGATGTTAATCAGGCCTTCAATGACGAAGCATTTGGATCGGTCTCTTTGATGCCGAGTGGTGGCCGAGAAACATTGCCGGCCGTGCTGAAACGCGGAGACCGCAGTGCCAACAGTAATGGCAGCATCCACGCGAGCGCAGCAGTTTCCGTGCGGGGGACCTCGACTCTTAACGAGGTCGTCCATAGAAAAGGGGGGGACGCTTCATCTCAATCGGCACAACCACCACTAACATCATCACTGGTGATGGCATCATCTTCAAATTCTGCCGATCGGTCAAACTGCTCTGACGACCGGTCCGAGCCGTCGCTCGTGAGACTTGCGAGCACTGATCGCGAGGCTTCGGTGGTTTCCCTTTACCGACGGCCAGCCTCCGAGTGGAGCCGCTGGGTGGCACTGGACTGGCTAGCGGCTGGAGGCCCCGTCCTGCCGGGGTTGGTCGTGTGGCTGGCTTGCCGGGCACGAGGTGGCGATGGCGCATGGCGGTGGATCGCTGGAGGATTCACGTGGCCCGGGCAGCCGCTGGCGTGCGGCCTCATGGGCCTTCCTGCGCTTGTGCTGTGTCCTGGGGATGTCTGGACTGCGCGGAGCTCGCAGGGAGCCAAATGACTCTGAGAAATTAGAGCCGCGGGAGGAATCTGAATCGAAATCCAGGCAGTAGCAATTCCCGCTAGAAACCTGGGTTTGGTAGCTGTCTCCTATGTATGCAGGTCCACACCCGATATGGATTTAGTTGCGCAACCAACTCACTTGAGCAGGTCACTTCAAAGTAGTCTAGTTAAGCAACCGGTTATGCAACGACTCGCAACCAGTTGCAGAGATGGTCCACGTATAAGCGGTTCTGTTGCGTGCAACTGACCGCTAAAGTGTGGGTCCATCCTTTAGTCATGATGGCGAGTCACGGTCCCCAATAGTAGGTTCAGTGTTTGCTGTTGAGCAAATCCCTCGAATGTCCCTGATCCGAAACCATGTTGCGAATATATCTGGAGCATGGAATGTGCATGTACGTTGAACTTCTTTCACACCGTACGTAGCCAACCATGCTAATCGGAGGTGCGGTGAACTTGCTGGATGTTAAGTAGGCCTTCAATGATGAGAGTTACCTTTGACCAAATCCCCCGAATGTACCTGAACCTGCCAAAATTTGGAAGTTAATCAGAGGGTAGGGCTGCCCGGTGAGTACTTGGTTGAGAGAGTACCTGAGAATACTTGGTGTCGTAGGCTTAAACTGTGAGGTGGCAAGGACATTGCAGTCCAATAATGTCTCCTGAATCTGTCTGTGTGGAGTGTTGTCCCCTTCCATTAGTGGTGGGGGTTTTGATTTCTGGGTCCTGTGGTTTCCTTTCATACCAAATGCTCAATAATGGCATTGACCCAACATCTCGCTGCAGTGCCCTTCTGTGAAGCCTTGACTTGCTATCCTGGCAAAACGAGTGCGTCATGGTGGATGAGTGAGTTGTTTGATAACAGCAAGGGGGAGATGAGATGTTCCCACCGTTGTGATCACGTAAGTAGTCCTAGAACCCACCGAAGTGAGGAGAGGTTGACAAACGGCTCAATTTCCAATTGGATCCAAGGATCTGGACATTTTAAGCCTCGGTCTGCTGGTTTTGTTTGGTACATTGGGTTTGGGGTTTTTTTACATATAAATTTCTAACGTTTACAAACCGTAAAATATCAATAGTCTGCTAATTAACCCAAGTTGTATATAACATCAGTGCTCCTGTTCACAACTCTAAAGTATTAATTTTGCCAGATTTCCCCCCCCCCCCTCTTTACCTCCTGATGCCGTGTAGGCGATGGGAGTTAGTTGACCGAACTTGAGCAGGCTGGTAAGTTTAGTACGGGGGAAGGGAAGACTGGTGAGGTTGGTGGAGGTGGGGGTACCCCGGACCATTTCGGATATCACTAGCCACTGATATTAGCCATGGCCGGGAGTCGATCTAAGATCGCCGAGTTCAGTCCAGTGCGGGAACTACTGCACCACTGCTTAGCGTGCCTCCCTTATCTTTGCATTATCATCCTGACATATGTGATGCACAAGATCATAAAGACCCTTTGACCCAACCTACCATCTTAAATAGTGCAAAATGGCACGTTGGCATGTCCTGGTCCTTGGGTAGGACTGTAAATTGAGTTGTAGAAATAACCATGATGGGTAATGTACCCAACATCGTCACCCCTCACCCAAGAAGTTTCCACGTCATTTCTGCAAAATGTTCCCCCATCAAATGATCTCGGCCGGAAGCTGCGTTGTTGTTGAACTCTTGCGATTTGGAATGGAACTTTTTGAGAAGTTTTAAAAGGGGGTGGGGTGGAGGTACTCTCGACTCTCATCCTGCAGATGTTGGATGCCCGATACTGTTATTGCCAGTAGCACGAGGATAATGCAAGCACATACTTGAAGATTCTGTGAATGTATTTCCTCGCATGTGTGGGACCTGTGTGTGTGTGTGGTACAGTGCTTTTTTGCGTGCAATGTGCTATCAACTCTGCCACTTGGGTTTGATTTCCAGCCATGGATAACATTCAGTAACCTGTCCTGGGCCTTGCCAAGGTGGACTCGGCCTCAAGTAAGTACCTGATGTGTGTGTGTATATACTCAGCACTGGGGAGACAAAGGCAGCAGTGTGGTGCTGCCCACCCCATCCCACTCTTGCTTAAATTGCGCTTTAAAAGGTGAATGCTAACAGCTAACAGCATTCACCAGAGGTGGGACAAAGTCATTGTTATGCAAGTCCAAGTCGAGTCTGAAGTCATCAAATTCATGACTCGAGTCACTCGAGTCCAAGTCACATGACTCGAGTCCACACCTCTGGCATTCACCCCATCAGTCAAGACTAGAGGAGGGGGAGGGGATGTGGGGGCAGCTTCAGTTAGATCCCCACTCACGGGCCGACACGATTGGCGATTATCTGAACCGGTCCTGGGCCTCCCCTAGATCGACTCGGGCTCAAATGAGTGCCTGGTGCAAAGTGTAAACATCGCCACTGGGGAGACAAAAGGCGGTCGGGCGTGGTACTTGCCACCCACACCCCCTCTTGTACCGTGCCGGCCGTAAGGGGTGCTCACTAACAGCGCTTGCCCCAAATGTCTTGGACTATACGGGGGGGGGGACCTTTGTATACGCATCTAAAGTATCGATTCTTCAACTGGTTAATATGTAAATATTTGTCTGCAGAGCTCCTTGAAAACCACCAATTTCAATGAATGAGGTGTCCTGTGAAAGCTTATGTATGTTCTTATTTTTCACCGTGAGATTCGGTGTATACAAACAATGTCCGAATTATAAAAAAAAAATATGACCTTTAAGTTGATAATCCGAGAGACAAAGACGCCCCCTCCCAAACGACATTTTCTCGAACAACTTCATTGTATGAAACCCTCCATCGCCCCTCAAGTGTTTTATTTTGACCGTTGTATCTCAACGGGCTTCTGTATCTAAGTGTCTGTGCGTGTTTATAACGTATATATTACTATTATATTGTGTTTTGAGGGCATCATCCTAGTCGCCAACGATTGTATGCATGTCAACAAATCCAGTCACCAATTTTGGTTTCGCACTTAAAACTCTGCCTCGGTTCATCTCTGGCGTCAAGTTAAGTATGCAGGCATACCTCCTATAGCGCTCATATGTTCTTGGTAAACAGAGCGCTATACGAAACAACGCTATGGAAGGTCATTATAACATGGTTCCAATGGAGATGCGTTCCTGACCACTATCTTTTTTTTTACCTATAAGCCGTACGAGTGCTTCATTGAGGTATCGGTAATAGCCTTAATTATACTGTACTGTACATGCTAAATGTATTAACGCATTTAGTATTAACATATATTTGAATGATAATGACAATACGATAAGTTTATGTACTCACCGGTGCATTCGGTCGGAGGTTGCGTAAGCTTAACCACCGTCTGCCATAAAGACATTCCGAGGGAAGCTAAAGAGTACAATACTAAACAATGGGATCACTCGGTGCATTGATCGCCAATGAATGGATGCAGCGATTAATCCTCGATTAATCCTCGATTAATCCATACTCTGACGATGCTGACGAATCAACTATGACCAGAATCGATATAATAGATACCTCGATTCCGGTTTCACAAGATAATGTATGGGTGAAGATATGCCTACTTCCATATATGGGCTTGAGCCGCACAGGAATTATCCTCCCAGCACAAACGGCGTTATAGGAGGCAGCGCTATAAGAGGTATGCCCGTACTGTATTGGATGACGGGCAGAGCGAACATTGTTCAGAGTTGAGAGGTGCCACCTTGTGGTTTGCAGTCCAGAAACCAACTGGGTGTTTGCGGTTAATTATATGTTGATGTAATGAATGTTTGTTTTTTCTTCTGAGACCCATAGGAATTTCGGAAGAACATTTCTTTTCCTTGTGCCTTGACCTCGATAAAATATAATATGTAGGAGGAGTCCTTAAAGGTTAACCTGCATGTAAAAGTAGGGATGGAGTTTGTTCAAATCTTGCAGAGAGGGGTGCATGGCGGCAACTCGTGTGCGAATACGGAACAAGATGTGCAAAGCAGTGTGGGTCTTTTCAAGATGGAGATGTGCTGTGGGGCATCAGTGATTGATGTTTACGAAGGAAACATGTCAAACCGGAAGTTGGCTATAGTTTGGTGATGCATATCTCACACAGATGTGTTTTATTAACCAGTTGCAACATATTTAAAAATTAACACGAGTCATACGTGATGATGTTAACTGTATGTTTATTTAAAGACTCCCATGCTTCTGGCATTACGATTGTTCCAGCACACACGGGAAGAATGTGTACGCGTATCAGGGGGCATACCTTGAAACAAATAAGGTATGTTTCTATCGCCCGTCAACTTTTTCTAAAACTAAAGGTGTAGATTTAACCTTGACTGGCCAACAACTAAATAACATTTATATCACTATTTAAGAATAACAGTTTTTTTTGTGGTTGGGAAATGTAAGGAGACCTTTGGTGCAAATGTAATTCGTGTGAGACGTTTGAGACTTCTGCCAAATTCACTCAATTAGAAATGGCGCTGGTGAAATGAAATGCTCCATTTTTCACCCGTTATCAGCCACGATCTATCCATTGTTGAATGGAGACCTCACCGCAAGGCCGTTTCCGTCTCGCACGATCTTGCGGAGCAACAATCCATCTGGCTCCACCGCACAAACCTGTTTCATTGCTCCATCTCCGGGTCGTGTCACGCGGACATCTTCCTTTAGCTTCCACTTTGCCATTAGTCTCAACCACGGGCCATCGTCCGTTCTCGGAACGTGCCTACCCAATCCCATTTATTCTGCAAGCCCAAGTGGTGTTTTGATGAAAATGTGTCTCCAATCCACGTATCTCTGCCTGTTTCCGTGTAATTTCATGCACGCAACTCTATCCATTTCCTTCGAAACATTGACAATGGACATGCCTCTGATCTGTCGGCAGGTAATAATGGATAATATACAGTACACAGATTTAAACACTTTTAGCACATTGGTAAGCAGATTTTTTTACGAGTTCAGTTTTGAAAAAACACGAAGCTGTTCGTCTGCCACTTTTATTGGTTTGATCCAGGTCGGCTTTCAATAACTGTCCTGGGTATACACATACTATGTGTTATCCCAGATGTGCCCTTCTGACATACTTAAAATTTATCAATTATCTTTTATTTTTGTTGCTCATTGATTTCAGCTGCCTTTTGCTTAAATTCAGTGATAGTAAATCTGAGTGGGTGAGAACAGGTTCGAGTGCTTTAGATAAACTTTCCGACTTGATCATGAAACCTGACAACCCAATGCATCTTAAGAATAGCTTTTAATTGATGTGTATTACCTGCTATGACATGGAATCTGAAACACGGACAATGACGAAGAAAGTGGAACAAGCTGCAAAGGTCCAAAAATTCTGGAGATGTATGTCATATTACAATGCATATTCAAAGTGAAACGAGGATAGAACATGCATGTCAGACATGATTGACTGTTGAAGTAAGTGGAATTCTGCTGGACTCTCCGTTAAGGGATGACTACCTTATGATAGACTAACGACGGAGTTGCAAGCCGAGAAACATGCCGACACAGGCACATCCACCGAGTAAGATGAAGCTATGTATGTAGAACTTCTTTCACACCGTACATGGCTAACTTAGTTAATCGGAGGAGCGGTTGCTAATCGAAGGTGCACCGCCGAAACGATGAGATCGGTTCGTGTGCAGGAACTAGATTGTTGGATCGTGAAACCCTGTGTGGCTGTTTAAGGCTTGTGGAGCCCATCCCAGCAGTGGACGGATCATGGCTGAGCATTTAATAATCTGTAATCCTCCAGGACCGTTCGGAGATTGTTCAAGCGATGGCTGGAATTCCAAAATATTTTCAGGAAGATGTCCATTGGGAGAACCATGTCTCCAAGGATATGTTAACGGTGTTTAAAATGCAATCATTGAGGTCTATCGACCTTTGCGACCTTTTGAAACAGTTTAAATTTCAACGTGAGAAATTAAGTGCTGTTCTGAACTATCGTCTCATAGAATGAAAGACCAACAATGTTAATCTATTTTTACTGGGCGAAACGGACAATGACAGTTCAGTTTTGTTGATAGGATGGTACACTTGATAAATAAAATCACTGGTGAAGGCTTCGTGGTCTCGTTTGTCTTTTAATCACAAGTGTATACAGTTGAGTTTATTTTTTCAGGCCCTTCTGTTCCACACTGCAATACTAACTTGTAGATGGGCATAATTATGCCATATTTGGATGGATGACTTGGAGCCTCCATAATGGTAATGTCTCTAGAGGGCATTTGGATGTGGCATCGTCCATGCCGACTGTCCTAGGAAGAGGTGGGCATACCCACTTTTTACCCCACCACATGCAAAACCTGCCAATGTACTGGAGGTGGATTTTAGTAAACTGCGCAATTTCCCTGCCACGCCAATAAATGGAATCTAACAAGTGAGTACCATGACATCACGGAAACATCCCTTCCAGACAAGACCCCATTAAAAAAAGTTGATAGTGTTTTTTGTTCAATCGTGTTTACTTGGTCAAAACGTAATGTGTCTAACCGAGTTGCCTTATTTGAACAAGTATGGCGCTATTGTGAACCCCACAGCGATTACAATAATTGCCAGGGTTCCGGGTCACAAGCTTCAAGAAAGACGTTTGGTCATTGGTGGAAATGTAGGGTTCACGTTGAACCTCATTGCAACCCTTACCAACCCTTATCAACCTTCCCAACAAACACCACGCTTATCGCAACCACTAGAAATACCACCAACACTACCAGCACTACCACATGCACTGGCACTATCACCCCTACTGACACAACCACCCACCCCACAACCCCTACCAACAACACCAACCCGGTCACCCCGACCAAACTCACAACCCATATCAAAACCAATCCCATCAGCCATACCAACCCCACAACTCCTACTAAGACCACCACCTCTATGAATACCACCAACGCCACCGCACCCACCAACGCCAGCACCCCAACCAACACCACCACCCCACCAATATGCCCACCCCCACCCTAACCAATACCACCAGCCCAAACAACCTCCCCCAACACTCCCACTATCCCCACCTCTAGCCACACCACGCAGGGTGCCCCCTCAATCCCCAGACCCCTGCCTTTGTTCCGTCCTATTAAACAAATACATTTGTCGCATATTTGTGAAATATATCAGTTGGTGTTATATGTAACATCAAATTAAATGTTCTATATCGGTGTGCCGTAATTCTTGTGGTGGCAATATTCACGAGCTGAATGGCAATGTTGAGGTCTGCTCGTCATGACGAAGAGGTCTTAAGGAGAGAGTGTGTCGTTTTGCTATCCCTCTGTTGAAGCACATACTAGTTTTGCTAAGCGATTCATTATGGGTTCCATGGCCACAGTCAACACTGTGGCTTGTCTTTGTATCCCTTTGGGTCATTATGTATCTTTGCGTGTCTATAGGGTTACTATATGGTCCAGCGTTTTGCTTGCATGGCCACAGTCGCAGTGTGGCCCCTCTTTAATTCTCCAATCATGAAGGAGATGTGCACATTCAGCCTAGCTCGTTTTATTCACGCGAACCACACGTGGGGGAGACAGGGATCCAAAAAGACCCTGAAACTGGAATTTAGAAAAGGAAAATCGAGGGCACCCCAAAGCTGTTGTGCTGGCCATTGTATGGTGAGAGATTAGCATGTCAATGTAGCCACCGCCACATCGAGGAATGCAACTCAGAGAGTCGGAAATAACTGCTAACATCGGCAGGTAGGATGGAAGCATCGCAGCCAGTTATGACTTAAACTGGTTAATAACGTCCTTCCAACGATTGCTCAGTTTGTATCCATCTTCTCGGTTGAAAATTTGTCTGTTTATATATCTGGATGGCTTCATGAACGAATTTTTGTTGATAGCCAGTAGATTTGCAGAGTACTTTCGTCTTGGAGAAATCTATTTCGTGTGCACACAGCGTTAAAACAATGACCAGCCACGGCCGAGGTATTGGTCCTGAACGTGTTTCAGATCTGCCTTATGTTCATGAACACGGTCCAAAACATGTCGCTTTGTTTTCCCAATGTAACTGCTGCCACATCCACAGCTTAGTTTGTAGACACCGAGGTATTGCATGTCAGGGATCACATCCTTCACAGATGGGATCAGATCACAACTTTTATGTAGTGTTGAATCGAACCTAGTTCTTGTTTGGTCATGATTTTGGAAATATTTTTCGTAACCGCTGCTATGTATGGCAAGGTGATGGTTTTGATTGGGTATTCAGATGGTTCTCTCCCAACGGTTGGGGTGATGGCTTTATGGATTGTGTAGTCCGAATATCCATTCATCTTGAGGGCTTGGTGTACGTGCTCCAGTTCACTGGCTAGGTGGTTGGAATGCAACGAGCTCTGTGGTGTAGAGTTTTGATGAGAGAATCCTTCTGGACTGGATGGTGGTGGGAGTCGGTTTTAGATAGGCATCCGTGTGGGTGGCTTTCCTGTAGACCAGGGGTCGGGAACCTTTTTTACTGGGAGAGCCATAAAAGCCAAATATTTCTAAATATATTTCATTGAGAGCCATATAGTATTTTTAACGTATAATAAATTAAATGTCTTACTTTTAATGCGACTTCTGGTCACGGGACCCGTGACCCGTTAAATTTATCTTCAAAACTGATTTCTGTTTACTTTAAAATGACACAGTATTATTAAGCAATATTACAAGTTTTTTAAAATCAGTTCCAAACTGATTTTTTTTTCAACTCAAAATTGTCTGGGAGCCATATGCCGTCACCGGAAGAGCCATATATGGCTCGCGAGCCATAGGTTCCCGACCGCTGCTGTAGACAGTGTCCCAATGAGTCATCTTTTTGATTAAAACATCCAAGAATCTTGATTTGAAGCTTTCGTGACTGCAGGAATCCATACTCTCTGGTTCATTCGGTAAAGTCACGTAGATAGAAAAAATTGCCATCCTTTTCCACCTCCATGGTGAATTTGATGGCTGGGTGTATGTAATTGATGTAGATGAAGAATTGGTTCAGAGCTGGCAGGCCGTGTGGCCAGATGACAAACGTGTCATCTATATCTCTTCCACAGGGAATGACGTAGGATGGATGCCTGGATGGCATGTCTCAAATTGGTTCAGAGCTGGCAGGCCATGTGGCCAGATGACAAATGTCATCTACGTAACATTGGCTATCACTGGAGATAAGGGAGAACCCATTGGGGTACCTTCGAATTGTTTGTAGAATGTACCATCATTCCAGGTGAAGTAAGTGTTGATGAGGCAGTATCTCACCTGGGCCGGTACATCAGCATTCAGTCCTTGTTAAACCAAATCTTCAATGATTGCGATGGTGTCAAACACAGTAACTTTGGTAAACAAGGAAACTACATCGAAACTGACAAGCAAATCACCTGGAGATCGTGAGATGTCTTTAATTATAGATACTAAGTGAGCTGAATTAAGTACAGCTAATCTCTCACCATACAATGGCCTGCCCAACAGCTTTGGGGTGTCCTTGATCTTCCTTTTCTAACCCTGCCCACTTATCCTTGGGCTGCACCCATCTCAGGCCTATATAACACCCTGCTTCAGCAGCTCTCTTACTATATATATTTTCACCTGAGGACGATTGCTTGTGTTGCGATCGAAACGTCGCGATTTTTTTTTTCTATCGACGTGACTTTACCGAAAGATCCAAAGAGTATGAATTCCTGCAGTCACGAAAGCTTTAAGTCAAGATCATAATTATACACATATTCTCAAGTGACATTTATATATCGTGGAAAGAACAAGATGGAACATGAGACCGAACAAATAAAAACAATACAAATGAGATGGTAAAAAGCACCAAATAAAATGGATTCTTGAATCAAACCGCAACCTGGTATCACAAAAAAAGCATTGATTTACCACAGGTGTTAATGATTACATGCCTAGTTGATGTAGTGGTGGTAATGCGGATTGTAGTGATGCTGGTGATGTTAAGCAGTGATGGAGATGACCTTGGTTTGTGGTGGTGGTAGTCACTGGTGATTGGCGTCAGCAATAATGATGATGGTAATAATTGACTCACATGTGCCACCTGCACTCCAGCTGGAAGCAAACCAAAATCCATTACAGACCAACAAACTCGACATGCACACACGGGTAAAAACGCACACGTTTCATTTAGACCAGTTCTCAATAATGAATCACCATTTAATCACCAATTGCCATCCCAACTCAAACTGAAGTCATCTGGTTTTGTTATCGTGAAAAATAGGCAGATTACCTCCTTTCACTAACCAGGCTTATTCTGAAAGGGTGTCTGAAATGTAGACTTAAGGCCCTAAAGATTCCTACCAAAACCTCAGTAGATTCCATCAAGGAAAGATGCCTCTAAAATACAGGTCGAAAGATTTGGTGAATTGTCGCAACTTAAGATGGCAATGCAATTCAAACGTTATTTCTTTTCATTTTTTTTTGCGAAAGTAGTGGCCTCTCGTGGTCGCAGGAGTCGCATTAACCCTCATTTAGAACATCTAAAACAAAAACATGAGTCTTACACCTGCAGTGATATGCATACATCTTTTGAGCTTAAATAATCCATATTAATCCACATATCGACGCACGATTACGTCCCTACTCAAATGCGATGCTCCGTGCTCGTTTAATGAACACGCGTTAGATTTTCACTTTTGGGAAAGGCCACGAACACCCGGTTATTTTCTCAGCACAGCCTCTACCATTCTCTCTCTGCACTTGAGTCAATGTGCAAAGCAACCAGGCTGGCATCCACCAAGAGAAAATGATTCGTCGGCATCTTGTAGCCACTCGTGAACCACGCCCTTCCAGAGACGGTGGCTTTTTTTTTTTTAAACCGGTGTGCACATAGGCTGTCGTTCAAGAGGGATGAACAGACCGGAATTGTGATGGACGGTGGGGGGAGGCAGGGCAGCTGACCCGACCTGTCTAATGGTCCGCCGATGTTCTTGGGTTCGTTATGTGGTTTGGCACTGTCACAATTGAGCAAGGCTTCTGCCGTTTGACAGACGTTGATACGATTTGACCTGTTGTCTTTCTCTTCAATAGGTTGTTGGGAAAGGAATGAGGCATTACTTTTGGGGATGTCCCGTGCGCTGTGGTCGGGTAAGAACATTACGAATCACTACTTTTGGGCATCTAAACGATTCACCTGGCCCCGCCCAAACCCCCACGATTGCTTCAGGTCACGATTCGATTCAAGAATCGATTTTATTTCGTCTCGCCCATAAATGCTTCTCGTTCGTTCTGCCTCGTTTGTAGTTTTTCTTTAGCCATTACACTAAATGTAACAGCACAACATCGGATATAATTTGCAAAAATCATGATCGATTCTATCACTCATGATATGATGCATGTATCGTAATAACAATTTTAACTAATGCAAGTTATACGTTGAATCTTTTTTTGGCGTGCATAAGGTCTAACACGAGGCACTGGCTTACAATAGCCCACTGAATAGCAGCCTATTGGCTAGTATTGTGTTATCTCCTTGTACATGGGTTTTCTCTCAGCACTCCAGTTTCTAATGTATATGTAAAATACGCCATGAGGAATTGGCCAAACAACCAAAGTCGCACATTTCTGAAAAAGTATTTAGACTCCCTTTGTCTTTCCAAGGCGAATAAATGACCCATTATTATTTACAGCCGATGGTGAGCTTTGGTTAACATACCAAAGAAATTGTCAAAAGCTGCCTGTAGGGGGAATCAAACTGTTGACTCCCATTGTATGTTTATATGTTGAACTTCTTTCGCACCATACGTAGCCAACCGTGCTAATCGGAGGTGCAGGGGAAGGACAACAAACTAAACACAAAGAGCAGTTCAAAAGGAATGAGTTTTCAATTTAGAAATCTATTTCACCGATGTGTGGCCCTTGGACACTGAGGCTGATAGGGGTCATTGTGGCCTGCAGTGCAAAATAAAAATACGAATTTCTAAAAATTTCACACACATCTGCAAGAAAACGCGCGTGAATGTTAACCTACAATTAAATAATATTCACAATTACCGCATCCCCTTTTTACAACGCCGTCTCATTTAAACAAGAACCTCTCTTTCAGTCCACCCCTTACAGACAAATGGAACAGTCTGCTGAGCTAATCCTATGCATGAGAGCACAGATTTGTAGGCATTTTCCCAGCACAGCGGGATTTATAGATGGTTTGTCTCCCTTATCCACGCTGTCCAATTGGACTGTACCACCTCCAGTACGGACTCTCGCTGTGCTGCGCAACGACAGAAGAATGGCAAATATGAAAGGTTTTGCTACTTTTAGGAGGTGCATGGACTGTGGTTTTACTAAAATGGACTATCAGAGATACAATTGTGGGTTTAAACCTGTTAACTTTTCGTACGCTACACAAATGACAATCCGATACACCGAGAAATTGCAATCAAGGATCCGAAGATCTCTGCGGTGCTGGCTCAGTGCTCCGACTTGGGCAAATGGCATTTTGTGTTTTTAACACTCCGTGTGAAGCCGCGTTAAAATTGTACCATGTGCTTGAACGCCGAGGGGAGGAAGCGGCGGGATTTTAAATGTTCCCGTCAACGGCAGGAACTCGTAGACGGAAAACAGTGCTTGTGCGACCTTCACTCACTGAGCATTACCCCCTGCCCACCTCCCCTGAAAACTCCCACACTATTCGCCGGCCAGAGGGCAGCTGCTTGCAAAAACCAGGTGTCTCGATCACTTAGAAAAAAACTACGAGGATCTAGGGCAGTGGTGGGTAGCGTGCAGCCCGCGGGCGGCATGCGTCCCGTGCAGCCCCTCGGTGGTGGCCTGGTCTAAGTGTTTCTAGGGTTATGCATGGGGTCATGATCAGTGCACAAGCACGATGTCAAGCTCACGGCCCACTGAGGTGAAGGAGGGCCGCTGATGTGGCGCACTAACTCGTCTGGGTTGCACATCACTGGTCTAGGGGAACTGCGGGAGAATTTGGCTCTTGCTGACAGCGCAGTTGTAATCTCGACGGTCCCTGCCACGGTGTGCACATACGACCGCATGTACGAGCGAGCGCGCGTGCGTGTGCTGTGTGCGGGAAGGTCAGGAGAGCTTCACTGCGATCTTCCCGTGCTCCTTCCGTTGGGCTCTCAGGATGTCCTTCTCCACCTTCTTCCGAAGCTGCTCAGCTGTGCGGCGTTCCCTCTCCATTTGCCTCTGCTGCCTGCAAGGGTGGGCGGTAATGGCAAAGGTTGGTGTCAACGGCTGAAACGGGGTGCATGTTACATTGAAAGCTCCCGATCTACATGATAAGAAGCTACATTTGTGTGTCTGCCAGACATAGCACTTACGCAACTCATTTTCATGATATAAAGTTGAATATGGGATCATTCTGACCAAAAGTAACCGAGGAACTATGGGACCAAGGACAATGTATGACCTTTGACCTCCTACTGTCAGACCAATGTCCACTTGCTGGCTGGTGCTGTGTTCACCTTGTGTCTTACAGGTACAGCTGCCACTGGGGGTCCCTTGCAGCAGGGTTTCTTCATAGCAGAAAGATTGAGTGAACTATAGATGCAGACAGCACCACACATCGTGGGGCGCTTCAAATTCTCTACTCCTATAAGACACGTACCCTGTGTGGCCAAACAGGGAAGCCATATCCATTACTTGTGTGTGTTCGTGCGTGCAGGGGCAGTGCGCGCTCACCTCAACACCTCGTCCGCCTCCCAACTAGCGTCTCCTTCCTCCTCCCAGGCATTCCTCCCCTCGGGCCACGTGTCCAGCTCCCCCAGCTCAGACTACGCGCGGCGAGAACAAGCAATTTGTTAGATGTGAACTGAGTCCAAACTCCCCCTTGCTGTGCTCAACAGAACTCGTTCGGTTATCGGTCTCGACTGATGTTAGCCGTGATCGCGAAACTAACGTGGTTCACAGGGTTAATACCGCAGTGTTTCCACTGGACCATCACTCCATGCCAATACCAAAACACAGCTCAAATCAGCATGGGGCAATGCACCCTTCCAATTTATAGTATCGAGTCCAAGAAGAATGAAATGCCTTTAGTCGCTCAACCTATGCGCCTGATCACGTGACTTTTAAATAAAAAGAACGATCTTGTACAACAATATTGTTGTCCGATTGTTGTGTTGATTTGTCCCATGTTTAATATGGAGTGCTCTTTCCAACAACATCTGGGAATTCAACAGTAACTGTTAAACAAGTACCGACTGCCAATGAAGATCGAAACCGGCCGAAGAAATGTGCTTGCTTAAACACCTGCCACTTGATGATATTGGTCCGGAACGCCAATAGTCTAATAGACTAAAACATATTTAAATATACATGTGGAGAGACAGAATGGGGTTCTGCTTATATTTGCTTGTACAATAAAGTGCGTTTATTCTATAAAAAAGGTCAGAGATACATAAGAGACTTTAAAGAAAAGAAACAACGTAGCGGGCAAACAGCTTCTCGTGTCAAAATTGTAAATGTTACCATCAGAATTCTAAAACATTTCTCGAGGTTGTGCTGCCCATGATGACCGCGGTGTATTTACCGTGGGTGGGAGAAAGGATTGGTCCTGGGAGGCAACGAGTCGGCTGGAGAGGGTGGATGATCCCGACAGCCCGATGAAATCTTGTTTCTTTTTGACAATAATCTGGCGAGTAAATGCACACACAAGCATTGGCACACCACACGCGTGCATACAAAGACAAATATTCCCTGTATAGCCTTAACAGATTGTTGGGGCAAGTGCTGTTAGCAAGCACCTATGAGGGCTGGCACAGCACACGAGGGAGTAGGTGGCCAGAACCACGCCCGGCTGCCTTTGTCTCCCCAGTGGCGATATTTATACACCACACCAAGTATTTATTAGAGGCTGAGTCGACCTAGGGAAGGCCCAGGACCGGTTCAGATAATCATAACTGTTGTTGGCCGTGAGCGGGAATCAAACTCAGGTCCCCGGATTCATAGTGCGGCACACTAACCGCTACACAACCGCTCCCCACATGTGTAAATACATGCACAACCACACATACGCTCACCGTACAATACAATTTGGATTATATTGCACCTAAATACAACTGCTTCTCAAGACGATGTACCAAAAACAGTCTGGCATGCGCATAATGGAGATGGTAACATATACAGTATATCCTTATTATATATATACCATAGAAGAGATAGTCAGCGGCAGAAGATAAGAGGAAGATTTTGAGCCTGGATTTGAAGACAGGCAGGGAGTTAACAGCACGGATGGCTGGAGGGTGTTCAATATTGCAAGGGCAGAAGAAGAGAAAGAATGACCTCTCACTGAGCATAAATTGACTGGGGGTTTCAAGTCACCATTATTCCTAGCCTTTGTAGGCTACGTATGTATGTTGGCCTCATCTCACCAGTGTCAGACCAGAGAACGCCAAAAGGTGAACAGTACAAAAACAATGCACATATCAGAGTATTCAGTATTTATAGCTATATCAAGAGAGTACACATAAGACAAAGCAAGGCCGGATAAATGAGGGAGAGCAGATGAGACAGGATGAACAATGAAAACACCATAGATAAAACTTAACTGATGATACAGTACGATTTAAATAGGACAATTTGTTTAAATATTAAAACAAATGGACTCCACACAAGACAGAAGACATAAGATAATAGCAAAAGTACAAACAATATCCTACAATGAAATAGTATAAACTAGCAATACATTTTTATTCACGCATAAAATGTGAACCAATTGCTGGAGGGGAGTGAATCGTTGCATGCCTAGGGGCCAGAACCACGCACGCCCATCCGAAGCACTGGGACACGAGGTGGCGTCATCTTTTCCTCTTGGCTCACTCACCTTCTGCGTCTTCCGGATGGTGGGGGTCATGTCGCTAAAGAAGTCCGGCTCAATGATGTCACCGGCTATGCCGGCATTGACAGCCGTGATGGGGAGGAGAGCAGCCGGGCCCAACCCAAGGCCTCCCCCGCCAGCCCCACCGTTCCCAGCTCCTCCGCCATTGTCGATGCAGACGCTGGTCGGAGCGTCGTCATCCCACGAGCTCCACTCCTGCAAGTCGGTCTGCACCGGGCAGATATCGGTACGGATCAGGCGAGATTAACAGCTATATCGTCATTGCAACCGTGTGGCTGTGGTGCGGTGGTATGGTTGTGCGATTGTACTCTTTCTCTCAGAGATGGGAAGGATTGGCTGGGGAATGTTGTTGTGTGGTTGCTCACTCCTCTCCCATGCAAAGAGCTGCACACCAGAGATGATTGTATGGGAATGGTGTTTGTGATGTGGATGGTTTTACACGTGTAGTGGTGAGATTGGTTGGGTTGTGGTGTGCGGTTGTGGCGCGGACCTGACCTTGGGCAAGGAAAAATCCACGGTGGTGGGAAGGATCACGGAGTCACCACTCAACTTCCTCCCACGCCCCGACCTGGGGGTGAGGAGCACACAGAGGCCAAGTGGTTAAGCTCAGATCTTGTCCCGCATGTACTGGCACCACACATACACCCATCGAAACAAATATGGGCGATCTAATTTAGTGGTGGCCCATGGAGATTCACCATCTCTTTTGACCAGAAGATTGTTTACAAGTTATTTTAAATAATCAGGTGTGCCTGTATACAAATTAATATTCCCGGCCACAATTAACATTAGTGGCCAATTAAATCATCACTAATTCCCAGTGTCTCCTCGGTTGACTCAACCTTAAATGATAACCTAACATGGTGCGTAAGCATCAGCACTTGGGACAAAAAGGTGCCGGGGCAAGATGCTGGACACATAATTATAACAACCTTGTATGCTAAGACAGGTTTAATATATGCATGCTAATAGGATTTTCTCCAACAGTCTACTAAAGTCTATATGGGGGATCTTTGTTTTGTGAATAAACTGACTGTGAAAGTGCGTAGGCAAGTAGGTTGCGTGTATTGCTATTCCAGTGAGTATTTGCTTCTTGGTGAACACAAATATCCATACGCTGTCTGTATGAGTTTGAGTATGTGCTGGTGTGTGCAAGAGGATGTGTTTTGTATGTGTGTCAATTCTGTTGTAAATTATGTGTATTAAACAGGCTGGTTGTGCCAGTGTTTGTATGCCCACAGTGTGTTTGGTTGTATTGGTATGTGCAAAAGCATGTCTGGTCTTTGCCAAGTATGAAATAAATTGACGCAGTTAAACAAATAAACTTGAAGATGGTCAAATAAAGTCTCTTACTCTGATCACCAACATGATCAACCTTAACATCAGCGTGACAGTGGGCTGTGCCTAATCGCGACTCAATTGCGAACATCGTCAACATCATCATCATGAACATCGAACGTAACGATGTGTTGCGAGCGCCGGACCGGCACACGAGGCGCTTGAGCAGAGCGAAGATTGCGGAGAGGCAGGTGCAGAAGCGCAGCAGCCGGAACCGGGGCAGGGCCATGCTGCTTGTACGCGCCGCGCACTCAACATGCCCCTAGCACCTACGCAACATACATTCAATGCACTCGGCATTACACACGTACACACAGCGCTCCATATCTACAGCACGGTCAACATCATTAAGTACAGTGTGTTCTCCTATGACGCGGAAGTTGCGTTCCTTGAAGAACACTGCGTTATGGAAAAATCGCGTTATAATAATACATAATATAGGGTAAAGTGGGTAGCATCTAGAAGCATCCAGCAGCATCCCGCCTTGTGTGATGCTACGGACGAGGCAGCCACACAACCGCTTATTCCTACTCACGTGACGCAGTTCTGTTCACTAGATCGCGTTATATATCCGATTCGTATCCGTGTTATAAAAAAGTGTTCAGTAAAATTCATTGCGTTGTCCATTCCGCGTCATGAAAACACGCGTTATAGGAGAAGAGGATGTATTATACTCGACATGACATACCAAACACTGCATTTATAACACTCTCAAAAGGACAGAGCACAAAATGTCACCCGAACAAATCCCATCACCTAAATGCAGCATACTACCTGAATGTTATACCCTTTACTAAGGAGAGAGTTTTTCCAACCACCATATCTGTTAAGAGGTTGACAAGAGGCATGGTACATAAAATACCTTAAGTGGCGACCTCCCGCCCTCCTTACATTAATTTAATACAAGGGTTCATTGACTGATCCAGAATTGACCTATTCACTCCAGTCACTCGCTCACCGGCGGTCAGTCACCTCCCTGTCGTTCTTCTATCACTACCAACATAGTTACTGTTCCCATGAACTTACTCATTGATTTCTCCATCCACATTGGGAATTAGGTCTCATCCATACTGTGTTCAACCATCAGTACTGCACGTCAAAACATTGCCCGTACTGTTGGTCTCTCTTCGCACTGAACCAACTTGGAATTCCCTCCCATCTTTTCTTTCCCCAAATACGTATAGCCTTGCACAGTTAAATAGAAGCATTCACTCTTACCAATTCCACATTCAATAGTGCTATTTAGCTGTTGGCCACTGGCATGTTGGGTCTTTGCTCAGAAACCGTGAATTTAAAATGAATTACTAAGTCAAAATGTGATGTCAAATTGTTGACGCAAACATGGTTTTGGTTAATTCCGGACTCAGGGGTACACAGTTCACATTGATGCAAAACATAACACAATAATCAAGCGATTATAGTCATAAGTAGCAATTCATTTATAACCAGATAAAAGCACATTCGGACAAAGTCTCTTGTCCAAGGGAGACCAGAGTTTTAAACACATATAGCAAACAAGCAAAAAATACAAAGTGCTCACCAAATGCTAAAGGAATCCAAACGTGAAATAAAATATTTCTCAACAAAAGATCGCCTGTCTGATGGAAAGACTGAGCCGTACCATGGGAATGAGGAGTTTACACCACTGGTCCTGGGTCTCTTAACAGAGATCAACACAAGCGAACTGCTCACTTAGGCATGGAAACATATTCGAATTATTGAAGACGCCGATAAAGAACATCACAAGCAAAGTAATATTTCACATTAATGACCTTTACAGCATGTTAAACAAATGCCGGCCTCGGAGCGTGAGGCCTACGAGAGTCCGGGGCAGCCTGGCAGGCTCGGCCGGGAGACCTCGCCCCAAAGCCCGCAACGATCTAGTCGAGGACCGGTACGGCCTCAGGGGCGCTTCGTCAAAAACGAATATTTATTGAATGTACCTGCAACAATATAAAAAAAAAAACCCTGTGCGAGCGCTTGGAGTTGTTTCGAGGGTGGTGGGTAAGCTGGTCCGTGGATGTTTAAAATGTCCAAAGGTAGTAGTGGAGGCGTGTGAGAGTGTGTGTAGGTTACGAGCGTGAAGAGGGGGAAACGCCGTCAGAGACGAGTCGGAGGCTCTTCCGGGCGTCGGAGTTTTGTTCGTGGCCGTCGTTCCTCTTCTGGAAGACGGAGACGACGTTTTAATCTTCGCGAGGGAGTACGGGAAGACGCTACTGTGGGACCACCCTCCAACAACAACGACGGAGGGCGGAGGAGCGATGCTCACAACAACGAGCGCAGCGCCGGGCGGATAAAATTGAGGCAAGTTGGTACGGTAGTGGGGGTAACAGCTGGGGGGGGGTCTGCCCCGTGACCTCCTGTCAGCGATCCGTCGACACTTCACGTGGCCTCAAAGTGCACCTAGCCGAGGTTTTTTCGGTAAAGTCACGTAGGAAAAAATAAATAATAAAAATAATATAAATAAATATATAAATACGTTTCTTATTTCTATTTTTTTATTATTTTATAATAGAAATCAAAGTATTATTTATATTATTTGTATTACTTATTTTTGCCTACGTGACTTTTCCAAAAAAACCTAAGAGTATGAATCCTTGCAGTCACGAAAGCTTCAAATCTATAATGCACCTAGCCTGGCACAGACCCCGCGGTTGACGTCAACGTCACTTTAGTGGCGAATGGTGCCTGTTGGTATTGGTTCGATCTTCGGAAGGGAATCTGAACTCTTTGGTTCTTTCGCTAAAGTCACGTAGGTATAAGAAATAAAATAAATAAAATAAGTGATTTATTTTATTTTTATACCTACGTGACTTTATCGAAAGAACCAAAGAGTTATGGATTCCTGCAGTCACGAAAGCCTTAAATCAAGAGGCAATCAGAAGTTTTGTTTTTCACTCCGCACGGAAGGGAATTCCAATGCCGGAAGATAAACTTCCAGAAACGACAGCGTGAATTCCCTGGGGAGGAGGGGAAGGCGTTCTTTATTCTTTGCAAATGATGTGGGGCAGCATTGTGTTCAGAAGCGACAATGCCAACATTGACTCAGCACGCCACGAGAGGACTTCAGGAGAGAGAGAGTCCATTAAAGGAGTGCAACTATATGGTCCCCATAGTTTTTGTTAGCATGGCACAAAAAAACCACGTGAAAAAGCGCTTTATAGCTCATCAGATTCCTCCAGCAGAAACAAATAAAAATTCCCATGCGCGAAACGAAACGGCTCCAACTCTTCTGAGAATCGTGAACTCGCGTCCTGATTGGTCAAGGTATTGGGAAGGGGCGTGACTATTTCCCCTGCAACGCCCCCTAGCAACGCCCCTCCCTAACAACGCCCCCTAGCAACGCCCCTCCCTAACAACGCCCCCTAGCAACGCCCCTTGACTACAGCATCCCAAACCCAACTGCTTTGAAACGTCTCTTCGCACGAGCGATTGATGGCGCGGTGGATTTAAAAACAAAGTTGGTGGTTTCTAAATTGCCTTTGAATCAAATTCGTTTCGGTGGTGGTGAGGGTGGGGGGTGGGCGAGAAAATGAGCGCGGAGGAGGCCGACGAGGAGGTGAAGGCGGCCCCTCCGTCCGTGGAGTCGAGCGATCAGACGGAGCGAATCGAGGCGCGGAGACTGAGAGTGGCGGCGAGGGTGGAGGCGTTGAAGAGGTGAGATGTTGACATCAACATGGACATCATCGTCCACATCATCGTGAACAATTCTGCGGAATGAAACGATAACAATGGGTGCGTTAAACGCTCGTTGCGCGTGACGATTTAAATGTGTTTGGCTGTGTCGGGTGGTGGAGGGTCGTAACGACACAACATTGGCCCGAATAATTACGTGGCCCGGCCCAATAGTACATTTTGAAGCATAATAACACAACGTGTAGAATCATAAGGGGCATTAATCAGGTCTAGTAAAAGAGCCCATGTAAGCTTCAATGTTTTTTTGCACTAATTCCTGTTTTCCTTCATTAATCTACTTTGTCTCATGGTATTGCTTTTCTAATTTTGTGACCCAGATTGCACTTGCAAATGAGACTCATCCTGTTCTCCTGAATCCGCACCTGTTTAAACAAATAAACTTGGAACTGGTCAAATGAAGTATCTTACTATGCTCTTTGGTTCTTTCGGTAAAGTCAGGTAGGTATAAAATAAAATAAATGATCACGAAAAATTCAAATCTATCTTACTATGATCATCAACACGATCAATATTAACAGCACAATACGCTGCGCCTAATCGTGACTCAATCACCATCGTCGTTGTCATGGACATTTAACACGAACTCTTTTCCTCCCACACAAATGTCTGCTTACACACAAACCTATGGACACAGGGCGATTCTGGGTGAGACATCCAGCCTATCACTCGATGCCCTCACCCAGGGTGGCCAAGCCCAGCGCCGTGAGGAGGAGAGCCGTCAGGTGAGGCCCAGGACATGGACCCCCACACAGCCATTGAATAACAGCAGTCATATCTAACAAATAATTTGTTATTGCCGGGATCAGCAATTGCTAATGTACTAGGTAATATAATTATAGGTACCTCAAGCACACACAAGACACACACAAGGTACACACGCACAATGCAGGCACACAAGGCATGTACACGCGATATACACACAAGACACACGAGACAACCATACAAGGCAAGCACACACACACAAGACACACACAAGGCATGCAAAGACAAAGATCTCTCATATAGCCTGAACAGACTGTTGGGGCAAGTGCTGTTAGCGAGTAGAACCGATGAAGGCTGACACGGCACACGAGGGGGTGAGTGGCCGGCACCACGCCCGGCCGCCTTTGTCTCCGCAGTAGGCGATGTTTACACACCGCACCAGATACACATTTGAGGCTGAGTAGACCTAGGGGAGGCTCAGGACCCGTTCAGATAATCGTCACTGGTGTTGGCCGTGAGCGGGAATCGAACCCGGGCCGCCGGGTTCGTAGCACAGCGTGCTAATCACTACACGACTGCTCTCCATAAGTTATTCATAGGGGATGGTTCTAGTAATTATTTGAATCACAGAAAAAAGTTCACTTTTATTCATCCGAATTCATGAGTACTAATAATTTATAATATCTATTGTAAATTTGATTGTTTGTTTTTGTGAGGTGACGTGGTTTTTCTGCCTCGCTGGATTTTTTTGACTTACTGGGCACCTTGAGATATACTGTCCTGCATGGGAGGCGTGGTATGTTATATAAGTAATGATGGCGAGTTTAATTTTTTTAAATCACCATTTCTTCAAGATGGTCCGGAAGCAGCTTGTGATAGCGAACGAGTTAATGTGTCTCCTTGCTAAAGTGAGCTCATCTGGCTGTTGCTGGCACAGAGGCTGGACAAGCTTCTGGAAGACGGCACGGAGCTGGTGAGCAATGTACGTGTGGCGGTGGATGCCAGAGAGGTACAGAGGCGCGCGCACAACGAGGAAGCGCGAAGGCTGAGGTAAGCGAGAAGTTGTCATCATTGTCATTCTTACGTCATTTGCAGCCCATGCCTATGGTGTCATCGGCGTTCACCATAAATATTGTCATCCGAATCATCACAACCATTGTCACCACGATCATCATGGTGATCGTGACATCATTATCATGGTCATAACCTTCATAGTCGTTCTCAGCATCGTGACGATCATCATCATCACGCATAATCATTATCATGTTGCAACCATCAACAGGGCATTAGCAGCACTGTGCAGCGTACACAAGAGGCATCAGCAGTAACACTGCTAGCGAGCAGTGCATCACATTGAGTTGCAGAATGCTGCATGTTATTGAAACCCACATTTGTGATATTTAAATTAAGAAACTTTTAACATTATGGGATGAGACCATCATAATTATACACTTCAGAACTTAGTTTTAGTCAAATGTGACTGGTATCCTGTGGCTCAACTTTTTGAACTCAGCCTTCAATGGTGAAGTGTGCGAACATCATTACTAGAAAATGAGCCAAACATTCTAATTAGGACTTGGCTACTTCTTTATTTTTACCTCCTGGACTCTGAAGAAACAAACTAACGAATCAACAAAATAGGTGAATGAATCATTTCTTCGTGCCATTGACACATCTCCAAACCTCTGCCGTTGCCGCTCAGGCTGGAGAAGTTAGAGTCGGAAGCCCGCGAAAGCCTCGAGAAATTCGAACGCATCGCCAGCGGTTGGCACGCGCCGCTCGGCGGCTTGAGGGACTTCAGCGGAAAGACTGGGGTAACCGCCGATGGGGCCGTCAACGCTGCCACCAACGGGACCAAGCGGGCCCTCCCCGTGCCTCAGGCGCTGCGAGATGCCCTGCATGCACAGCAGAAGCTGTGCGCCGCTCTCATCGAAGACAAGAACAAGCTCATCACTGAACTCGAGCAGGTGCCCTGTGAATGTGATAGGACACTAACGAGTGGAAAGCAAGACAAATCATTAAATGGAAGGCAGGGTTAAGTGTCATGGTTGGGCTAGTGTTAAGGATGGGGTAGGCGTAGGGATATAGATAATGGTTGGTTGGATAGTTTGAGAGTTATGGGTAGGATGAGTGTTCGATTGGCTAGTGTGGTTAAGGTTTGCACTCATGCTTAGCTGCCGTGCTTGTTGGAGTTAGGAGTGATTCTTATGTGCTTAACTTGTGATTAGAGTAGGGCTCATTACTTGGTTGGATACTGTGGATAGGATTACAAAAATAATAGACATTTATTTTCAGAAGTCGCTTGAAGGAAATGGAGTAGCCAGAGAAAAATAATTGCATACAAGGAAATCACATTCAAACACCATTGTACAAAGTAGATCAGCATCATACTTGCTGTACTGCCTTCTGCCAGTATCATCTCACTGCCCGTGCAATAATCCCACATACATGGGGAACTCGGCGCAGTCCACCTACGCCACCCCCTGGAGCTCTGGATTACAGGCAATTTCTCACTGCAAATGCGAGACTTGGTTATGTTCGCATGCATGCGTGCTTGTTAATTTATGTATGTGTGTGTGTGTGCTCAGGAGCTCAAGACACACGATGAACAGTTTGTTCGAGACCTTAAGCGACAGGCGACCGACATAGAACTTCTCACGGAGCGGATGGAGGAGCAGGCACGCAGCGTCGCCCAGACATGCCGTGAAGAGATGACGAGCCTGGAGGTAGCGCTTGACGTGAAGGAATATTGCCCTGTATACAGAAGTCTTGGGTTCGATCCCAACCCTGACGCCTGTATAATTGGAATTTACATGTTCTCCGCGTGGTCATGTGGATTTTTCTCTAGCTCATCCGGCTTTTCCCTCCACAATTAGAAACATGTGTTTAGATTATTTGGCTGCGATAAATTTTCACGTGAGAAGGCCGCACCTTCGATTTGCACGGTTAGCTACCTATGGTTGGAAAGAAGTTCAACATACGTACACAATGCTCCTAATATAACAGTAGTAATTGTCATCGCTTTGTCAATCCACTACTGGAGGAAGACCTTCCCATGCCATGCTGGTAATTGGGGGTTGTTTGATCTAACTTATCCATGCTGGTCATTGTGGATTTGTGAAGGATGATCCTAGCACTGGTTCTGGTATCACTTGCTTTTCATTTTAGCCATGGCTGGGAATTTTTTGTGCAGTCCAATAACCACTGCACCAACCACGCCACTGCCAGTACAAATAATAAAGCTGAATTTTAGAACTCATTTCCAGGAGGGGTTCTTCTACAATGGAATGTTTGGCCATACAATGAATGAGTGTTTGGCACATGAGCGGAAACCAAAGTACCCGGATAAATTCTAGATTTGAATTTCGATTTAAAGCTTTCGTGACTGTAGGGATTCATCTTCTTGGTTCTTTCGGTAAAGTCACGTAGAAGAGAAGTAATAAAATAATAAAAATAAAACATAATAAAATAATTCTCACGACGTTTCGGCCACAACGCAAGCAGCCGTCCTCAGGTGGAGAACAGGTCCGTCAAGTAGACAGTCTTCAGTAGACAGAGTCTTCAGACTCTGTCTACTTGACGGACCTGTTCTTCACCTGAGGACGGCTGCTTGCGTTGTGGCCGAAACGTCGTGAGAATTATTTTATTATATTTTATTTTTATTATTTTATTACTTCCCTTCTACGTGATCTAGATTTTAAGTTATAAAACCCACCACACTTATGAGGGAATGATGCTCAGAGCTCTACACAGATAGATACATTGCTGTGCTGCCATTTTTTGGCCACCATTAAAACCCAAACCTTAACGCCTAATATGCCCAGGCAGTCTCCCATCCAAGCACCTACCAAGCTCAAACCTGCTTATCTTCTGAGGTCTGATGAGATTGGTCATAGACAAAATTACGCAATTGGGAGGTACCATGGAATATTTAGCAATTTGCCATGATGACGCCTTGAATTTTTAATACGAATGTATTTTTTCTGTATTACTTCTATGCCTGTCCTTGCAGAAAGAGTTTGAAGCAGAGAGGCGTGAGCTGCTGGAGAAAAACCGCAAGGAGTGGGAGCAAGCGACACACACCAGGCGAGACAGGGAGGTGAGTTCTCACACAAACACACAACACCACACTATATGGCCAGCCCAACAGCCCTGCCCTTACCCTAACCCTAAGTGTAGCCCTTAACCCAAGAACTAATTCTCAAATATATGGTTCACTAAACTTTACTTAAACTTTCAACCTAACATAATCCTAAACTTAAATGACCCTGATAGTAGGTGCCCTTGCGTGGAACAAGGTGGATGCCAGGGGGGGCGAGTAATTCTATATAGCTTCATAATTAAGAAATTTGCACGTGATTTATAATACTTTTAAAAAATTGGACCGCGATGCCGGAACACATGGAATAATGTCACGAGGTCTTTAGCTTCCACTGCGAAGCGGACAACACGTATCTTTTTACAGTTGTAGTGAGTTCAACTGAGTCGCAGACGCACTTCTTGGAGGCACCACATTTATTAAAATCAACACACGGGGTACTTACTACCCCTTAACACATTAACAACCTATGGTGGTGGACCACCAGGCTAATACTGGAGTTAGCTACAACGGACCGGACCCTGGCCTGGGTCCCGGTCCACGTGTTGGTGGCTCTTGTAGGACCTAGAATGTAGAACGTAGATTCTTCAGGATGAACAACAGCAGTCGGTCCCTCTCGGGGACCCGGCTTTTATCCTCTGTGGCAGGGCTGGCTCCGCCCTTAGCCACGACCACCTTCTAGAATCCTCTAGCAGGTTCTCGACCCTGACACGTGACCACCCCTAGCCCCCACCTGGGACCCCTGTGTCGACTTTACCGGTCACGTGTCCTTCGGGGTCAACCAGAGTGCCATGGCCCTTAGTAACCCCATTCCCATGGCCGGCACTCTCACACCCTACCCTGTAGGGGTCGGCACTGCACGCAGAGCGTGGTGCCACTCAGCACTGTCGGGACAGCGCTCACCGAGCCCATCTAGGGCCGGTAGTGCACCCACATATACGTGGTGCCCGCGATGGCAATACATCGCACGCCGTGCCTCTCTAGAGCCGGCATTACACAGTGACATCCACGATGTCACTAAACAGTTAATATACCCGCAGCATGAGTCAGGGCGGCCACTGGGACTGAACCGTGACGCTTTGCAACAAGCGGCGAGCGTGCTACCGCCGGGCCACGTCACCTTCAAAGTCTGAGCCTGGCCGTGGCTGTTTGTGACCACAGGAGCAGCAGCTGGAGGGGCGACTGCGTCGAGCCGAGGATCAAGAGCAGCAGCTTCAGGACTTGCGGCGACAGGGGGTGGAGGAGATCAACGAGATCAAGGAAAAGCTGGAGGGCGACGTGCAGGTGATCATTCATCAGTCAGCCAATTCATGAGTTCGTCCAACAGGTCATTCATTAATTAGTTAAACGGCATTAGTAATGATATGATTGGTGTATTGTAAATGCTGATGGTGTTGTTGACGGTGTTAACGCCGATGGAGATTATATTGATGACCATCTAAAAATTTGGGATGTGTTTTCATGGATGATGATGGTGGTGGTGGTGATGTTGTCATTGTTAACTGTGATGATGATCATGTCAATAACGTAGAATGATGATATTATAACATGCTCATGATGATTTTTTAAATGATAAGTTATAGTAGTACCATAGAGAATGAGTTACCTCTCACTGAGAGGATGGACGACTGGGGGCATCTAACCAAAGGGTTTGGTTTCTGGATTGTAGAGAGCATGGAGGGGAGTAGAGTGAAATGAGACAGGAGAGGTAAAGTAATGCATGGAGGGGAATGCCATGAGGGTAGAGGTGGGAGAGAGTATAGAGGGGAGTGGAGTGAGATGGAGAGGGAAGAGGTAGGCAGGGGCGAGTTCATATAGAATCTTGACGTTGGTGAGTGTGATCTTGAAAGTGATTCGAGATTGTATTGTCAGCATTAGGGTGATGTGGTCTCATTTATGGGTGCTAGTTTGGCAGCGGCATCTTAGATCATCTGGAGTTTAGAGATGAGGAATATGGGGGGGCCATGGAGGAGAGGTGTGGAAGCCGAGTCAGGATATGATGAAGGCATGAGTGAGAGTCGAAGCTGCAACTGGTGAAAGAAATGAGAAATGCAGGAGATGTTGCACAGATGGAAATATGAGGTTCAGCAAAGTTGAGTTATAATGTTACACAATTATGACATTGAACATTTATGATGATCTTGTTAATATAAAATGACGATGGTAATATAATAAAGTTACAAAAATCATGTCAATAAAAATAATGGTGATTATTGAAAATGATCATGTTGATATTGTAAAACGAGGATCCATATTTGCTTGGTCTCGACGATGTTGGCTGACACTCCAGGCCCTGCAGCAGCAGCTGCAGCAGATGAAGGCTACATACCAACTCAACCAGGAGAAGCTTGAGTACAACTTCCATGTGCTGAAAAAACGTGATGAAGAGAATGCCTTGGCCAAGGCTCTGCAAAAACGCCGGCTCACAAGGTAGCACCACACTTGTGTGTGTGTGTACATGTGTATGTTACAGCTACCCTCCTGGAGCTGGGTGGCTAAAATGCAGCAAGTTGGCAAAGCAGGGGGGACACAGATGGTGCATCTGCCAGTCATTTCAGTCAGTCACCCCATGGAACCTGGAACTGTCACGTGACCTCCAGTTAGCGAGCCTTCAACACTTCACGTGGCCTCGCAGTGCACCGAGCATGATTCACTCCCAGAAGGCTGTGTGGCTGATGAGTTGCGTAAACATACTTTTTTAATGTGGTGAAATAAATATGGAAGATGAGGTATTAATTATTTACTTACAATGAAGTCGGGTTCAGACATGTTGAATTAGTTTTTTCATCAATTTTACTTAGAAGCAGCTTTAGCTCTTCGCCGGCAATTCTACTGAGAAAACAAATGCGCTTTTCCTGGAATTTTTTTATTCAGCTGTGAGGTGTGCCAAATGCCTGTTTTAAAAAGAATAAGCGTGTTCTAGTACTCATTCGTAAAATTGTGTTCATCATGACTATCTTGACTCAATTGTTTGGCCACACCAAAAGCATCACGATTTTTTTGTGAATATAAATATATAGAGATTATTAATACTGCACTTGAACGTGGGCCCTACAGGCAGCAGGATTTGTTAACCTCCTTGAAGGCCCGTTACGCCAAGATGGAGCGGCAGTACAAGGACGAAAACTTGTCTTTGGCGAGCGACTTCACGCGGATGTCCGAGGAGCAGCAGCAGGTGCATAGCCTCACCAGGTGAGAGGTCGGCACACGCGGGAGAGTCACTCCCACTGAGACCTTAATTTCAGCCGCAGCTGTCCAAGGGCTGAGTTTCTGAAAGTATTTAGGTTGTGGTGCGATAATGGGATTGATGGAGAGTAAATAGCTGTTGGGTGGGGGGGAAGTGCACATTGAAGTCTGTGATACATACCCTCCTCATATACGTATGTTTAACTTTTTTCGCACCGTACGTATCCAACCGTGTTAATTGGAGGTGCGGATGAAGGACAACAAACTATATACAAAAAGGAGTTCAAAATAAATGAGTTTCAATCTATGTTTGAAAGTGCATAGCTCCAGTGGCTTCCTAATATCGGACGGAAAAGCGTTCCAGACGGCCACAGAAGCACATCTGAAAGTGCGCGATGCAGTGACCGTCTTTGTTTGATGGTTAGCCAAAAGCCACTGCGAGGTTGACCAGAGTTTGCGTGATGGTTTATACTCCTTGACGTTAGCCTTATCAATCACCGTTCATCTCCCACCCTCTGCCCTTCCCGTATGCGACGCAGTCACTTTGGCGGTGTGGACGCGCGCCGTTTCCGTGGCGTGTGGCTCATGGCGGAGGAGGAGGCACGCCGCCTCGCTCGCCGGGCCCTTGACGCCGACCGCGCCATCACCGAGCAGCAGCTGGGCCTAGACTGGGAGGCCCCCCCTGACTCCGAGGCCCTCCTGGTTGGGCCCAGCCGTCTCGCCGTGGGCAGCCACCGGACGGCCGCAGAGCTCACCAAGAGCATCCTCACCACGCCCGGTGAGTAGCCGCAGGGGGACACACTGATGTCCGTTGTAGCGGTAGTAGGGATTAGGAGTGTGATGATTATTTAATTCTAAGTGTACGCTATGCAAACTATATCTGTTGAACTCTTAAACCATAACACTGTGTGTGATTCCCAGAGAGATTAAGATTGTGACGCCTCCATAATTACTATCAACTCTCGTTCTATTATAGAAAATGTTACGGCTTTAATTCGTAAATCCCTCGACTAGCTCCTAGCCACGTGCTGTTATGCATAAGTGCTGTTTTGTTGTAATTTGGAGTACGGAGATGGCACTGTATCTGTTGAAGGAGGGCTGAAACAAGAGGATGAGGAGGTGGAGGAAAAGGTTAGAGAGGCAGACACATCGAAGGAAGGGAGGGAATCTCCGGCACTTACCCCTGCAACGCTGAAACGAATCCTAGAGCTGCTCAGCGATGAATCGGTAAGTGTCCATGAATTTTGTAATCAACAGTAATGCTTTGTGCTTATCTAGAAGGTGAAGCCAAAGTGACATAGTGGGTAGCGCACTGTACACTGAATGCTACGACCTGGGTTTAATTCGCGGCCATACACAGCGGAAAGTGGTGTCCTAACCTGCTTGGCCTTCTCTAGGTCTAGTCAGCCCTAAATGAGTACCTGGTGTAATTTGTATACATCAGCACTGGGGAGACAAACATAGCATTGTGGTTCTGGCCGCACCACCCTTTGTGTGCTGTGCCAAACTTAGCAGGTGTTTGTTAACAGCACTTTCTCCAAGAGCCTGTTTGGCTGTTAAGGGATCTTTGACTTCTGCTAACTAAGTTCCTCTCACCTGACAAAAACATTGGTGGCATCACCACCACTTTGCTGTAATTTTATGTGCAAAGGAATAAGTATAAGGATTTCCATATATAAGATTCTTATATGCCTCAGCAACTCAAAACGTCTTCCATTACATCTCATCTCAACCATTACAATGCCCTCCTGGAATCTAGCTAAGGGGACCCCCAATCGCAGCTGTCACTGTGGGCACAAGGTGAACATAGCAGCGGCCTTGGAATATGAATTAGCCTTCCAGTAGGGGGAAATTACTGCTATGTGGTGCTTCCCAGTTACATAATTTCCAAGTAATTTTTTCAGATTTGAAGAATATTGGCAAGGGGGGCCTGGGTGCGATTCCTGACTCGGGTGCCTTTTCTGTGTGGAGTTTGTATATTCTCCCTCTGTTCTGCATGTTTTCTCTCCGGGTTCTCCGGTTTCCCCCCATAACATCAACAACAACAAAACATAATGTAACTGGTATTGGCCAAACATCTCAATGCTGAAATATTACCAACTCAGATTACACTGTTTAAACGTGGCTGGACCCTCATGAATAACAGTCTTGAGATCCAGTGATACTTTTATAGGTAAACAAGTGTGAATAAATAAACAATTACATGAATAAAAAACGAAACTAAACTATTCTTTACTTTACCAGGTAAGGCACACTGAACTATATAGCTCTTTTTCAGAAGCGACCTGGCCACAACCGATAGCTCAATGAAGTGGCTTATCACGTGTAAATTTATAACAGCCAAATACTCTAAATGCATGTTGTTTATAAATGTGGAGGGGAAAAATTGGAGGACTCGGATAAAAATTCACGTGACCACGGTGAGAGAGAACATGCAAACTCCAAATATACAGGTGTCAGGGTTGGCATCGAACCCACGATCTGTATACCAGGCGAGGTAGATAACATCTCGCCACCGCAGCGCGTACATTATAAATGCAATGTCCAGCACTGCCATTCTCCCCCAGGGTTTCTTGGTGGAGCAGAAGCTGCTGAAGCTGCTGGAGCCTCTACCCCGTGACGAGCGCTCCCTTCTGACGCTGCACACCGTCCTCACCGTGAGTACCATCGTGAACCGTCCACCCCCGCGATCTCCAATGCAACACAAGCGCTCCTGCCCTCCCACCGCCGCACGTGAATAAGAACTCACGCTTTCGTTAACAACACTACTGTGTTCTTAAAAGGAAAGATATATATAGCAGGTGACGTTTCGGCCAATGGGTCTTATTCATGGCACGTAGATCATAATAGAGTGAATACGAGTCACTTCCAAAGTGCCTCGTGCTGGTGGTAGGTTTGTCACAATTTATCTAATAAAAGTTATTATTATATTTCGATTTAAAGCTTTCGTGACTGCAGGGATTCATCTTCTTGGTTCTTTCGGTAAAGTCTACGTGACTTTACCGAAAGAACCAAGGTGATTATTATGCTCATGTTACATGCATTAAATAATGCATGTAAGTATCCATTAGACTCTACACACGTGATAATTGTGGTTTTGGGGTGATGATTAGATAGAAAAATTAATACGTTTTTATTTCTATAATATATATTAGCTGCAGGTATTATGTTAACCAATTTTACGTAACATTTATGAATGTAAAATCATCTATTACTACACGTACAACTTTGTGCATGTATCATCAGCATTAAACGCGATTTTGACAAATCTTTACTTAATTACCTGCATTTTATATATACAGCTTATTGTATAATACATTCATAATATACAAGGTATACAGTCTATTGTATGGGGCTGGTTCAGGTAATCTCTTCAACCTGTAGTTGTTTCCAGCCTGTGTGTATTTTCCGGTTGTGTGATGGGTTTTTTCGTCATTGACAGGAAATGTAGAATTTGTATTATTTTTGCCTTGAGGCAAGTACTTTGGGCATCGCCGTAACGTAAATGTACAGTATGTTATCTCCATATATTGGGCTCCCAGTGGCATAGAGCGGCAGTGAACGTTGATACTGTACTGTACGAATGAGTCCTAATGAGAAGAAAACTAGTCTTTAGTTGCTTCTTTGTTTCACTGCTTCCTCTTGAGAGCAATAAACAAGCTCACCTGTTCCCAGTTTGTGGCTTAGACAAGGCTGGGAGTACTGTAAGTGCAATGTGGTGGTCACATGAGCATGCATGCAAGGCATGATGGGAGTAATTCCTTCCTCCTGTTTGCGATTTATAACAGGGTCCTGGGGCAGCAAAGCAAACTACACATCATGAAACCCATCGCTCTATCATAAACACACAAAATAAAACCTCTTTTATTTTCAGCTTAAATATCTAAATTCTGCATGAGACTTATTAAAACTCAGTAAACATACCAGTGCCAAAATACATATTAACCACTTTGCTTTTATAACCACTCTTTTGAACTAGTGGTGGTCATATGGAGAGACTGACTATGTGAAAGTAGAATTTTCGACACTAGCTCAGTAGTTGCCAGCGGACGTGAGCGCCACCCCTCACTTGAGCATGAAGGCACTCTTTGACTTCTTTGACTTTTTAATCTTTTGAATGGCGCTCGCCTGTGCCTTGTCTCCAGGCTCTGGGTTTGGAGACGGAGGAGGACGTGAAGAAGCTCGCGGAATTCTTCCTGGCGTTCGGAAAGGAACGGAAGGCGGAACGTGCGCAGCTCTGGGCTGCCGTGAAGGTAGTGTTCGTCCATAGTGCTGGGGGTGTGTTCCCGATTGTAGGATAAATCCGCAACGTGCGGAAATTGAGCCTAAATATAAACTTTGGATTGATCTGAAAGTATGACATTGCGAAAATTGACATCACTTTTATTACGCAACTTTCGTGGCTTTTCCTGCCAAAATCGGTGTCACATGACACCGAGCGACGTCACTTTTATTAGCACGAAGAAACATGAAAATTATTACATAATATGCAATTTCCAACATTATGAAAAAAAAATCCCAAATTGTCCTAAAAATCGGAAATGTGAAATGTAAAAATATAACATTCATCCCGAATCCATCCATACATTTACATACATACAAGGTAAAGATCATATTCACAAGCTGCTGCGATGGTGTCAACTTGTGCAGGGAAGTGAAAGGGCTGCCTCTTTGAAGAAGGAGAATGGAGAGGCTGGAGCTGCCAAGGTTGAGGAAGTAGGCGGAGGAAGAGATAGAAAGGAGGAGAGAGATGGAGAGCAGTTGAGCGAGCAAGAGAAGGAGGAGAGAGATGCAGACGGGAGGAATGGAGGGGAGACAGAAGGAGGACAGCATCCCTGGGCGCCCACAAGCGATGATCTCATCGACCCCGACGATGTCCTGTTGGCTCTGAAGCTGTTCATGAAGGAGCATCGCAAGCCCAACAGGTGTGCGCGTTCATTCATCCGTCTTCATACTCGTGATTTAAGTTGAACTCATCAATAATACAACACGATACCATATGTAACAAGTGTGATTGATCACTCAAGTTTGCTGCTGTTGAGCCTACCCCTTTCTTTCATTCACTTTATACGTTTTTATCTCGGCAATAAAGAGGTCCAGGGAGCCTGGGCCTGATTTTCAAAGCCAATCATACTGCTTCAGTAAAAAAATATCAAACAAATTTGTGCAGTTTTTACTTTGAAAATCGGTATGCGAGGTAAAAGGGTTTAAACATTGTCAGCAACCAGCTTAAATCAGTGGGGTCGGCAACTCTGCTTCTGAGATAACTGCAACGAGGCCTCTACTTTGCGCTAAAACTCCCACTTGTCGCGCTGCCATGGGACGGGGCTACGTGGGCGGCAGGAGCGGGTTTGACCGAGCGCTGCTGGAGGCCGGGCTTGGTGAGCGCGACGAGGAGCGGGATCAGGAGTATTGGCACCAGCTCGCCGGGATCATCCCCGACGAGCGCCTCACAGTGTGGGACGCGCTGCTGCAAGGCCTGGACAAGTACCAGTGAGTGTGTGTGTGTGTGCGCATGCGTGTGCATGCCTTGTGCTGGCCACCCACCCTAATGCGTACCGTGCTGACCTTCATAGGTGCTCGCTAACAGCACTTGCCCCAACAGTCTGTTAAGGCTTCACGGGGAATCTTTGTCTTTGCATGCCTTGTGTGTGTCTTCTCTGTGTGCGTGCGCATGCCTTGTGTGGTTGTCTAGTGTGTGTCTTGTGTGTATGTGTTGCTTGTGCATGCCTTGTGTGTGTGCCTGCATTGTGCGTGTGTACCTTGTGTGTCATGTGTGTGCGTGAGGTACCTATAATTATTAGATCACCCTGTACATTAGCAATTGCTGATCCAGCCGATCACAAATTCTCCACATGTGCCATAATGTACACGTACATCCCATTTTTTCAATCCACTACTGAATGAGGGCCCCCCACACTGGTCAGTGCGGGTTGGTGAAGGTAGGGGAAGCACAGGACAACGATGGATCTTGCTGCACTGATTATGCTGCCCACATGCATGGTGGTTGCCCTTCGAAGCACTGTCTATATCTCAACCCTGCTCGGCTTCTGACGTCTGACGGGATCGAGCATGTACCAGATGAGTTGGTAATAGTTGGGACTAATAGTAGATGGCTACAAACAAGACTACACCTCTTTGTCTACACCGTGCGGAGTGCAGCACGGTGCTGAGTGCCCGAGAGAGCCTCGTCGGTGAGACCGAAGCGCTCAGGCGGCAGAACGCCGAGCTGCGTTTGCTGCTGCAGCAATACATGCATACGCGGGTAAGACGTACACAACGCACGCAGCACATGCTGAGATCCACAACACACCACATACACATCATGCCACACACACCACAATAACAGCCGCCATATTCCACTAAGCGGTGGTAACGTCATCACAGAGCTTGTGCCAGGCTAGGTGTACTTTGAGGCCACGTGAAGTGCCGAAGGCTCGCTGATAGGAGGTTACAGGACAGACCCAGGTACCATGGGTCGTGGATGTCACTGGGTAATGCTGGCTCTAGCGAGGCACGGTGTGCGATGTATTGCCATCGCGGACACCCCGTACATGTGAGTGTAGTACCAGCCCCAGAGGGGGCTCGGTGAGCGGTGGGTCATAGCGCTCAGTGGCACCACGCGTGGCGTGCAGTGCTGACTCCTACAGGAGGGAGTGTGGAAGTGTTAACCATGGGATGAGGTTACCCCAGGCCATGGCACTCTGGTTGACCCTGGAAGGCACGTGACAAGTAAGATCTACACAGGGGCCCCAAGTGGGGAGCTAGGGGTGGTCAAGTGTCGGGCGAGATTCTGATCGAGGATTCGAGAAGGTGGTCGTGGCCAAGGGCGGGGCCAGCCACGACCCGTGAAGATATAAGCCGGGTCCGCAGAGAGACCGGGGTTGAGCTTTGCTCTTGTCATCCTGAAGATCTACGTTCTACGTCCGAGAAAAGTCACCAACATGTGGACCTGGACCCAAGCTGGGGTCCGGTCCATTGTAGCTACTCCCAGTGTAACTCGTGTAGTTAGCATGGTGGTCCACCACCATAGGGTATTATCTGGTAAAGGGGCAGTTACCCCTTTGTGTTAAGTGTGTTGGTATTAATAAATGTGTTGCCTCCAAAGAGTACGTCTGCAACTTAGTTGAGCCCACTACACATGCAACATGCTAGGTTTTAGGCAGTATGGCAACAAAAGCAAAATAAACTAAAAAATAATAACTAGATGTCACAATTAATGATTAAAATGTAAAATAATTATCAAGGACAATGACATTAATAGCTCTGCACTTCACTATTATAATCATAATTAAGATAGAATGTTCAAGCATATGTTAGTCCACTGCTGGATGAAGGTTGTGCCAGTCATGGGGGTTATTTGAGCATAAATTTTGATTTAAAGCTTTCGTGACTGCAGGGATTCATCTTCTTGGTTCTTTCGGTAAAGTCACGTAGAAGGGAAGTAATAAAATAATAAAAATAAAACATAATAAAATTATTCTCACGACGTTTCGGCCACAACGCAAGCAGCCGTCCTCAGGTGAAAACCAGGTCCGTCGAGGCGACAGAGTCTGAATGAAACAGCACACGAGCTTGGAGCATATATATAAGCTGGGCGCCTTGACAAAGGAATTTGCATATCAAAATGAATTTAGCATATTTATGGGAAATGCAGGAATGTGATTAGTACTACATATGCATGTGCATTATGCAGGATTAACAGCATCAAAGGGAGCTGCAGTTGCTGCTGCTGCTGCAGTTTCTGCTGCTGCTGCAGTTGCTGCTGCTGCTGCAGTTTCTGCTGCTGCTGCTGCAGTTTCTGCTGCTGCTGCTGCAGTTTCTGCTGCTGCTGCTGCAGTTTCTGCTGCTGCTGCTGCTGCAGTTTCTGCTGCTGCTGCAGTTGCTGCTGCTGCAGTTGCTGCTGCTGCTGCAGTTACTGCTGCTGCAGTTGCTGCTGCAGTTGCTGCTGCAGTTGCTGCCTTATCCATTTTAATATAACACTATGTATTATTCTACCCACCCTAATGTGTATCACACTGCTATATATTTACTATACAATTACGACACCATACATTATTCTGCACACTGCACCATGCCAGTGAGTGGAACGTGGTCTGAAAGTCACCGTAAACGTGAACACAATCAGTTAAGATCCAGAAACTGCAGCAGCAGCAGCAGAAACTGCAGCAGCAGCAGCAGAAACTGCAGCAGCAGCAGCAGAAACTGCAGCAGCAGCAGAAACTGCAGCAGCAGCAACTGCAGCTCCCTTTGATGCTGTTAATCCTGCATAATGCACATGCATATGTAGTACTAATCACATTCCTGCATTTCCCATAAATATGCTAAATTCATTTTGATATGCAAATTCCTTTGTCAAGGCGCCCAGCTTATATATATGCTCCAAGCTCGTGTGCTGTTTCATTCAGACTCTGTCGCCTCGACGGACCTGGTTTTCACCTGAGGACGGCTGCTTGCATTGTGGCCGAAACGTCGTGAGAATAATTTTATTATGTTTTATTTTTATTATTTTACTACTTCCCTTCTACGTGACTTTACCGAAAGAACCAAGAAGATATTTGAGCATACTCAACCATGTGCCGGGCGATATGGGTTGGTGAAGGGAGGAGGCCATAATTAGTTCAGATATTACTTGCTACTACTATTAGCCATAGGTAGGAAATGGACTCAGGTGAACGGGTTCATAATGCAGTGTGCCAACTGCTGTGCCAGTACCATGAATCCAATACACTGACCCTAACCCTCTCTTTTTATTTCTCCTGAGTCTCTACACTCCCCTTCTGCATATCTCTTTCTCCCACATCCACAAATCTCCCTGCACTGCCCCCCATGCCCCACTGACTCCACGCTTTCCTGTGCAGGTAAACCCCGAGATGAAAGAGCCCTCTTCTAAATCCTTCGAATGGGCTGTCCTGCCGTGATCTCCGAACGAGGCCGGGGGTCAAACGAGAAACAAGTGAAGATCAACCGCGAGGAGGTGCTGGATGGGACACAAGGTCACAGCCACTGCTCCAATTACTTGGAGTGGAGATCACCGTGAGGAGGCGAGGAGGCTTCAGAGGGACAAGGGGTCACAATTACTGCCCCCGATACTTGGAGTGCGAGCGTATATTTTATAATTTCTGATAATTTCCATGGGCAATTGCCAAAGCGCTCCTGCTAAGGTGGACCTCAAAGACCATGAAATGTCACCACTCACAAGTGACAACCGAAATCTGAATTTTATATATTTTCCAAGAAAATAAATTAATAACGCAGCCTGTGCAACTACATTCACCTATATGTCCCTTATAAAGGAAGGACATTAATATGAAATTGAATAAGTAGATGTCAATCGTATGGTTAAATAAAGGACAACAACTGAAGAAGCTGTTCAATGAATAATAATTATTGGCTGGTGAAGCCTGCATTACTACTGTGAGTGTTCACAGGTGAAACATGCCAGGCCGAGACAGCTGGGGTCTGAAGCTTGACACTTTCACTTTTCTAGTGCTCACTAGCTTGTTCAATATAGAGCACCAATGTATTTACTTCCAGTGGCTACTATAAAATGATAATGTGCCAAGGAGAACGATGCTTGATTTGAATTTTGTCAGGAGGGTGGGAGCAAGGGGAAACCAGAGCAACGGCTCTAACTCCAAGAATTGTGGGTTTCAGATATTGTCGTTCTCACATTCACCTGAAAGCATTTTACTTTCCCGCATTTTTATTTTGCTTTTGAGTTATTAAAATAAATTTTCCGAATCACTTATTTTTCCACATTCGTATTAATTTGCAGTTGCAAAGTATCAAGCGTCTGATCATTACAATATAATGTACAGCCCTTTGTCAATCCACTGCTGAATGTAGGATTCCCTAAGTTGCGTCAATCGTGGGGGCTATATGACCATACTTCACCACACTAGTCAGTGCGAGTTGGCAAAAACGGGGTCTGTCTGGTGAGGTTATACCAGCGAGGTTTGTAATTATTTGCCCCAAAGTGCACCCAGCCTGGCATATAAGTGTCATGGTAACTGACACTTCATGGCGAATGGCAGGTATTGTTGTTGTTGCTGCACAACTTGGGTTTTTGAGACGGACACAAAGCAAGCCGTTCCAACATCAGGACAAGGCCAGATGAATAGTACTTTCACTGCAGAACAGGGGGAGAACATACAAACTCTCATTCTCACTATTGTTTGTGTGTAGTCAGCTGTGTGTTCACCTGTGTGTATAGTGTTCACCTGCATGTGTACACTCACATGTGTATGCACCTTCGATCGATGAACCGTGTTCACGGCTGTGCATTGACCTGTGCGTGTATTCACCTGTTCAACTGCGTGTGTTCTTTTATGTTTCATACGCTCACCTGTGTATATTCACCTGTTTAACTGTAGAACTTGTTTGCATTTACCGGTGTGTGAGTGCTCACTAGTATGTGTGCTATCATGTGTGTTAAACTGTGTTTGTTCACCCGGACACAGACTCATAAGTGAGCTCCTCCGGCAGGCAAGGCTGCCTTGGCTTGATCATGTAGCTCACATGCCCAAGCAGCTTTTGATTGACTGGCTAGAGGGAGCTAAACAGGCATGGTTTGGGCTAGAGAAGAGATGAGCTGATGTGGTAGAGGATGTGGAGCTGAGTGGACTTGCCAATAAGTGGTACCAGTGGTGTCCAGATCGGCCTCTGTGGAGGCTCATCACTACGTGGACATTTCATTGTCCATAACATGAATGACACCGTTGCCACCATGGGAAGGAAATTGGGAGAACAATGCAGAGAGGAGACAGCAGAGTCAAGAGTGGTATCGAGAAAGTGAGTTTAATTATGACAACGCAAGCGACAACAGTCCACAGCTGATGGAGAGTTATTTCGTCAATGAGCACACATCTCCGAAAGTTCATTTGCATCTGTAACAACATTTCTCAAAGTACACAGTCTGAAAGGTTAAAATTATACACTGGTATTCATATGCATTATCTTTAGTTCAATTGATGTTTTTTGAAAAATATATACTGTACTTTACATATTTTATAGCCTATCAAGTTGTAGCCATGAGTTGGGGATAGAGAGAAGCTCCGTGTGATTTGGTTATCTCTGCCTCGCTGTAAGATAGTTTCTGGTTTAGGTTAACCCTAAGCCTGAATGAAATGTCTTATTGGGCCAGGGGTGGGGAACCTGGGACCAATAGCCCCCATGAGGCCTACCACTTCAAAACGGGCTGCTCACAATAATTACACCGTGTAACAAAAAAACATTTTGTCCCTGGCTAGTAAGTGTTATTTCCTAATTTATTATGCCTCAAAAGTACAGAAAATGGCTATTCCCCACAAACTTTGCTTTTGTGACCAAGACACAAAAGCAAAGTTAATAATCCACTCCATTAATAACACTGTGTAACACATTTTTTTGTTCCTGGGTAGTAAGTATTATTTCCTAATTACTTATGCCTCAAAAGTACAGCAAATGGCTATTATTCCTCACAAACCAGGACAGTGATATTTTGAAATTTACCTATTTTCAATGAGAAAACGTGGTGTGCATTTGTATCATTCCTTCACAAAAAGTCCTGGTCACAAAAGCAAAGTTTGTGGGGAATAATTGCCATTTTCTATACTTTTTAGGCATAAGCATTAAAAAAATAACACTACGCAGGGACAAAAATCGTGTTGCATAGTGTTATCCATCACTCTGCGGGACTGCGATCCGACGTCAACTGTGCGAGTGAGAGGATACAACAGTGAAATTGAACAACAACGCAGAATGTTTGCTGCGCACAAACAGCAGGAAGGCACAATACCCATCATACCTGGCATGCGTGCCATGTGATCACCAAATTGCATGTACAAAACTCCCAGACCACCAGCTCAAGAGATTAATGTGTGGCATGCAATGTAATCGCATAACATGCGTGCAAGGCATGATGGGAGTTGTGAGTGTTGTTAGATTGAATTTGTTTCCAGCCTGCGTGCATTTCCCTGCTGTGGTGATGGGGTTTCTCATCATTTGGAAAATCTTGGATTTGAAATAGCGAGGGGAAAGCAGCACAGGCATCGCATGGAGCGGTAAAGGTGGGCCCTCATTCGTTTTTTATGCTTTATTGTTGGATAACACTTCAAAAAACGTATTAGAAAAGAACATGGGTGAAGCGGCTCGGTTTGGCAGAAGATCATGTTCTGGAGAATCTGTTGTTTCCCAGCGTGCTGTTGACCATGGGAAGGACTACCTATTGGATAACACTAACAACCTGCTTGGTAAAGCCTGCCAAAAGGTACCCGTGCGAAAGTCCGATTTGACCCTCGATAAGGAGGAGGCTTCCTCACCCCTACTTAGTGGAGAGGTTTACGCTCGTGGAGTCCAAGTCAAAGTCAGCATCCACTTCCCCTGTTGGTGATTGATACTTTTTGTGTGATTTTTTTTTTGGCAAAAACGTGCTGACATTTCTCTTCTCCGAGAACGTTTTTTGGTCATTTTGTCAACATACAAATCTGGTCGAAAGTTGTTTTTGCCACTCAGACGAGCATCGGACAGATGCAAGCTCCCCTTCACTGCCCTGAACCAGTGGTGGATAATATGATTGTGAAGGCAAATCGGCAGGCTAACCACCATACAGTCTCATGTTATTGACATGAAAGGGGTGACTGGCTGAGACAACCCCGACTGAGATTTGAACTCGCAACTTTAGGGGCGTAACGATGCGTTGGTTAATCCCTTGATGCATTGAAATCACATCGAAACAGTCGATGCTTTCCGATTTGCATGCGACGTTAAATGTGATAGGCTTACATGCGCCCAACGGCTAAGAGAGGCCACTTGTGTTCACCGCGATGTTAAAACGTTCGTTGGAGCGAATCGCGACCCTGAGCCCGCAACAATTCATAGAATCGATGGCAGGGAGAGGAGGATGAATCATTACACTGCTCCCGGAGAGTGTCTCTCTCACAACTCCCAAACAAGCAGGCCCTCTAACTTGCAGCATTTGACTTGCAGCAACCGTTCTCTCTTCTTGCGTATGATGACAGCAACGTGTTCAGCAGCTAAATGCCAACGTCAAGGCTTGCTAGCCATGAGAGGGCTTCATGAGGGAGATTGTGTCATTGTTTTATTCTTCCTCTGCTGATGCAGCACAGGTTACGGTGGTTTATTATGTGGTCCATAGTTTGGGTTACATGGCAACTGTAGTATAATGACAGTGATTATCGGTAGAAGGGGGGAGTTGACTCATTAATTGCTGTATTTAAAATACAGTGAACAAGGGCATATATGTCATATGTATGTTCGTTGAACTTCTTTCGCATCGTACGTAGCCAACCGTGGCAATGGAATCGCACCCAGTGGTCAGTGACCGAGGGGGGGAAAAAATAAATGTAGATGAACAGTTCTTGGAGTTTTGGCGTAAGCTGTGAAGAGGGGAGGAGAGAAGCTATCTTGACGCGTAACGGCGTTGGAACGGCGTTGGCCGTTGTGACATCTTGACTTTTAAAATAAGCCAATCGTTTGGGGCCGGTGCAACAGGTGTTTTGGAAGAGGCTTTGTCGAAAACATTTCGACCCCACGTCATTCTAACACTACAATGTGACAATAAAATGGTATAATGTGTAACGCAAGTGTTTGACCTATAATAATGCTGCGATAATGATGATACATGATAAATTGACACCGATAAGTAATAATAATCATATCAATAAAAAAAGTTATACGAATGACATTGTGATTAAATAATGACAAAATCTGACAACATAATACCGTACAATCTCTACAGCTGATATTAATACAGTACAGTAATGGTAACACGTTACATCTTTGGCATAACATCTATAGCACCAATCGCCTCGCTGGCTCACGCGTAATTTGCACAAACGACACTGCCAAGCGTTGCCAGAGTCCACAAACCCACCCGGTATTATTTTCCTCTTTTTAAACCAAAAAATATCGGTTTACTTATCACGTAAAAACACACAAAATGTAAATCCGTGTTAATAAAAGATAAGCAAGCCTGCATGGGCTGCTTTAATTGAAAGGGAGACGCCTCCAACCTTTCCGTGTGTTTAGGCAGCACAGAATTCAGGGGAGGTGACCACACAAGCCCAACACATTACCCATAGCTGCCAGCCTAATCAGAACGATGTCAATTATAATTCCCAATTATTTAAACGGGGAAAGCCCTCACTGATAACCCCTTTTCCACTTGCACATCCGAGAGCCGTGCTTGGGATGTGCCGAGTCCGCGCGGCAAGGGCTAGGAAGCACGGGATTGTTTTTTTCCACTGCACGAGCCGTGCCGCTGACGTAACGCGCAACAGATAACGTCGTGACGCGAGATGTGTGCACACTGACGTGAGATGTATCGTTGCGCATCGTTAGCACCACCCCGAACACGGCTTGAACTTGAGCCGGATTCAGGTGTCTTGTGACAGGCCAGCGTAGCACGACCTGATTCCAGCTCGGCTCGGCAGATAACCAGCGGGGAAAAAAACACATCCGTGCCACGCTGGCCCCATGCTGACATTAGCTCGGGTGTGCAAATGGAAAAGTGGTATGAATCTCAAGGCTAGTTTTCAGGAGGATCCTGCAGTGGGATGCTTGGCCAATTTTAATGATGGGTCATTGGCTTTGTGTGGGAGGGCACCAGAGAACCCGGAGAAAACTCATCACGCATACCAAGCGAGTGACTCAGCCATCACATCGCCTTAAACATCTGCCTGGTGTTCACCCATGCAAGTAACTGACCAGACTAACCCTGCTTAACTTCCGAGATCTGATAAGTGAGGGTACATTTAGGGCGATTTGGTCATAAGCACAAGGTTTCGCCATTCAATAGAACTGTGTCGTCGAGCTGGACTTGCGTAATTTATTTTAGGTTCGTGGGGGTTCATCAGCAGCTGGAGAAAGTGCTGCCCCTGTTTATAATTAAAGAGCTTCAAAAGTACTCAGAACACTTGGATGCAAAACTGCGCATCACATATTGCAGCAGGGAGTGCATTTCCCTGCTGCAAGCTCTTGGTATTTGCAGCGTTCCAGCTGCCCTTTTGCGAGCGTTAAAACCGTGCCCATCCCAGTTTGATCCACCAACCTCAATTCTTTTTGGCAGCCGTAGTTTCATATAGGCACCCGTTGGACATCATGTCATGATACCTTGTACACTCATACGTATATATATATTTTTAAAGACATTTTAACACACTTCATTAATCAACCGCAAGGCATTACTGCGATTTCACAAATAATAAATATACACTTATTATTTTTTTACCCTTGTACGATTTCTCTGTGTCGGGATCAATAATAATAGTCACCATGAATGTGTCCCCGCGCTCACAAGAGAGTTGGGTAGTGCTTATCTCCGCACTCAGTCCTGAGCCAGAGGTGAAAACTCCACATTACTATGACAAGAACCATGTCTCCTTTGATGAATGCAACAATTACTGCTTCTGAGTTCCACGCATCATTGGTGCTCATTGTATCCACCCAGTAGTGATGGTCATGATGATGGTTATGATGATGATGATTATGATGATGATGGTCATGATGATGGTTATGATGATGATGGTCATGATGATGATTATGATGATGGTCATGATGATGGTTATGATGCGTATGGTTATGATGATGATGGTTATGATGATGGTCATGATGATGATGGTTATGATGATGGCACAGCGCCGTGGTGATGTCACCACCACTTAGTGGCGAACTGCGGTTGTTTTGTTATGATTATGGTGATCATGGTGGTGGGGTTATGATGATGGTAATGGTGGTGATGGTTTAGGTTGTGATGATGGTTGTATGGGGAGGTTATGGTTGTAGTATTGATGATGTTTATAGACGACGATAATGGTGGTTGCTATGTTGATTTTGATGATATTGAGTGAAGATGAGGATTATGGTGATGTAGATTTTCTTCAATGATAAATCAATTTTTTTTATTGATGATGGTGATATATTATGATGACGATGATTGTTATTTATTGCTGATGACGAATGGTAAGGCTGAGTCAACCCTAACCAGCATAGTCAACTCACAACAGTGAAATCATAAACCTGGCCCTTCACCAGCCAAGCTATTATGACAACAATGACAACGCACTGATTAAACCAAACTAGCTGGCAGGGTGGAGATTGTGGAGTGGGGAGAGAGGAGTAAAGAAGACCTGAAGAAGATTCCTCTGCAGTTATTGCTAATAACAACAGCGATTATAATACTCTAAGTAATGCTGATGTTGAAAACCCTTCATGTGATCACCGTTACTTTAAAATACCTTAGCTGCAGTTAAATAAATACTGTCAATTTTTAAACCTAGGCACAGCCAATGAAACTATGAGTGCACATGAAAGATATCAGGTTTTGTCTATGAACTCTCCTTTTAATCTTCACATTTGCAATTCTAGGTGCCTTTATTGTAGGAATGTGCTTATGTACGTGTGCATGTATTGTAGTATATTAGTACGTGTGTGTGTATGTGTTTGTTGTTGCATATGCATGTACATAAAGTGTGTGTGTGTGTGGGGATCAGTGGTGTAGTGGTTATTGCACGGCACTCTGAAATGGGTAACCTCCATTCGATTCCCACACAAGCAACATCAGTGGTGGGTGATATCTGAACATGCTCCGGGCCTCTGCTAGTTCGACTCAATCTAAAATGGGTACCTGTTGATGTGTGTAAAGATCAGCACCGGGGAGACAAAGGTTTGCGATGGTGGCTACAGCACCCATTCATGTGCTGTGCCGGCCTTATCAGGTTCGAACAGAACTTTCCCCACATATCTTTAAGGCTATACAAGGAACCTTTGTCACTGGTGTGTGTGTATTCCGACTTCAATAGGTGCTCGCTAACAGCAGTTACCCAAAGCAGCAGTCTATCAGGCGACGTGGGTGATCTCCGAGTGCACGCTTGTCGTACAAGTACACTAGCACAACTATAATTCCGTCAACCAGAGTTCCATTCCACATCCTCACGTGCGGCACACCGAACTCTCAACTCGGCCTGTGCCTCCCCAAGGTCGGCTCGGCCTAAAACCAGCAGCGTCTGCACAGCGTCGGCGGCGGTTCGAGAAGAATGCCACCAGCGTGAACGTCCTCGACCTCCCGACGCTCGCGCGTTCTTCCCCTAACCGTCCCCGCCATCGTCGTCTCTGTCGTCGTCACCGTCGTCGTCCAGATCGTCGCCGCCGTCGTCGTAGCCGACAGCGTAGTTATGCACGTCCTTGTCCTCGTAGAGCAGCGCGGCGCTGAACGTGGAGTAGGGGTCGTCCGAGGCGTGCAGCCGCCCCTCGACGAGCTCCAGGCAGAGCGTGTCCCCCTCGGACAGCGGCAGCACGGCGTGGAGCACCGCCACGCCCGGCGGCTGGGCGCCGTCGGCCCGTCGCGGGCCCTGCGCCTTCTCGATCTCCTCGGCCCTCGGGCCCTCCGAGTCGAGGTGGAGCAGCGAGATGTTGGATCGGCTCAGGATGGCGAACACCTTGCTGCCCCTCTCCGCCACCAGCACGGCGCCCACCAGGTACCGTCCCGAGATGGGCGCCGTGAACATGCCTGCGCCGTGGCCGGGAGTGCAAGCGGAATGAGAATCGTCAGAATCTTAATTTGGGCTGGAGGAGGAGTACCGATGAGCTATGAAGCTCTTTTTCACAGATGTCTGGTAGGGGCGGGTCAAAAAGCTACAACAACAACAAACAATGCAAAAACCGAAAGGAGCGCAAAATATAGTCATGATGAGTAAATAAAAAAAAACCTACAAATTGCAAAAGTACATCAATTCCTTCCGATTTTCCAACACCAAATGCAAGCTTGGGGCAAGGCAGCAAAATAACAACAACAGTCCCAGATCACACCAAGACAACACACAGTCCCTCAATAAATACAAGTGCAGATTAAAAACAACACTTTCACGGTTGCTGTGCACAGGCCCAAAGGCCCAAAGCGCCAGCGGCAAATGTGGCCAGCAACAAATGGCAATATTGAAGGTGTGATTGACAAGAGTACAACACATCATGACGCCTCCTTTGCCAGTAGCAAAATATACTAATAGGGTTTTTCCCCTTTTTTCGGCAACAAAGCTGACACCTTTGCAAGGAATCATGTTAACATTAACCACAATACTTGCAGTCATATGCAAAAAAAAAGCTGTCTCTGGTGTGGACCAATCAGTTTCAAGGACAATGCATAAATTATCAGAGTTTTGTTTTTTGTTAGCATTTGACTGCAAGTATTGTGGTTAATGTTACATGATTCCTTGCAAAAGGTGTCAGTTTTGTTGCCAGAAAAAAGGGGGAAAAACCCTATTAGTAAAGAGTGCAACACGTTACGTGGATTGAGCGAGGTCATAAGAAGGGTCGATGGGTGAGCGAGCGAGCGAGTCTAAGGGTGAGCGAGTGGATGGAGAGAGCGGTTGATGGCAGATTGAGTGAGTGAGTTGAGAAAGGACATCGGTGAGCAAGTGAGACATTTGGGAGAGGAGTTCATTGGCAAGTGAACGAATAAGTTGGGCGAGCAGTTAATGGGGATTTGAGCGAGTTGGGAGAGACCTTTATTGGTGGGCGAGCGAATGAGTTTGCAGAAGAGTTGACGTGGGGGTCGAGCGAGCTGAGAGAGGAGGAGTTGGGGGTGATGGGCGAGTCGGTGGACACGGAGCCACTTACCGGTGTTGGGATTGTAGTGCCCTCCGTCATTGAGCAGGATGTTGTTGAAGCGGATCACCTCGTCGTGAGGCGGCCGGTACCTCAGGGCGGCGGTAAAGGCCACGCGGTGAGAGATGGCGTCCTTGCCTGCACGCGCACAAACAAAGAGAAAGATCCCCCTGTAGCCTGAACAATAGAAAGATGCCAAAGGCCGTCCGGCATGGCGTGGGCTTGTTGCGGCCTTATGCTCCACAGAGAGCAAAGAGGAGTAAGTAAATAGCCTGAACAGAGTTCTGAGGCAAGTTCTGTGAGCGAGCAGCTATGGAGGCTGGCTGGCACGGCACAGAATTTGGTGGGTGGCCAGCACCACGCCCGACCGCCTGTGTCTCCCCAGTGGCGATGTTTACACATTTGACCAGGTGTTGGCTGTAGCACAGCGCACTAACCTCTGCGCCACCTCTCCCCACACCGACACACACACTGACAAAAAAAGACAAGATCCCCCGTATAGCATTAACGGACTGTTGGGGCAAGTGCTGTTAGCGAGTACCTATGAAGGCTAGCACGGCACACGAGGAGATGGGTGGCCAACACCTCGCCCGGCCGCCTTTGTCTCCCCAGTGGCGATGTTTACACCACACCAGGTACTCATTTGAGGCTGAATCGACCTAAGGGGCGGCCCAAGACCGGTTCAGATCATTGTCACTGGTGTTGGTCATGAGCAGGAATCGAACTCGGGTTTCCGGGTTCATAGCGCAGTGCGCTAACTGCTACACAACCGCTCCGCACACACTGACGCACACACTGACACACACACTGCAGTCACCTGCTGGCCCCTGCACCCCAGGCTGGCCGGGGAGGCCGTCACTTCCACGCTCCCCTCTGAGCCCCGGAGGTCCTTGGGCCCCAGGGGTTCCGGGGGTCCCGGGGGAGCCGGAAAAGCCGGGGGGCCCCGGGAGGCCGTTCATCCCAGAATTCCCAGCAAGGCCAGGAGCGCCCGGGTGCCCGGTGGGTCCGATGGGGCCGACTGGGCCACTGGGTCCAGGGAGACCGCTGGGACCAGGGAGGCCGGTGGGTCCAGGAAGGCCGGTGGGTCCGCTGGGACCAGGGGGTCCGCTGGGACCAGGGAGGCCACTGGGACCAGGAAGGCCGGTGGGTCCAGGAAGGCCAGTGGTTCCGCTGGGACCAGGGAGGCCAGTGGGTCCGCTGGGACCAGGGGGGCCTGGTATGGCAGGGCGGGTCCTCCAGTCTAGGGCGGGGGGGGGGTCCAGATAGTGGGACATGCATACGTGCGTGTGTGTGTGTGCACGCGTGTATGCAAGCGTATAGGTACGTGCACGACAAAGGAGCCAAAGTTGTCACAAGTTCGAAAACTCACGCGTGCACGTGGATTGCGTATCGCTGTAGACTGGATCACCTAAGCGAGAGTTAAAGTGCTCCAACGCCGCCTCACCCCTACCACCTCCTACTCCGTTCCAGAAGTATGCAATTACAAACCCATAAACGTTTGCAAGTACACACTGTTGCAAGTACACACAATCAAGATTGTTGATGTGTCGTTTGAAAAGCGTTACATTTTAAAACGGTCGGGAGTAACTCATTAGACCGGCTGTGCTTTTAATCACGTTTTTGGTGATGATGAGCTGATTTAAAACATCGACGATTATGATCTCGGCGATGACGATTGTAAAACCATGATTGCTCATCACAAATGACAGGAGTTACACGTTTAAAATGGCACAGTGGGCAATGCGTTGAAAATGATGACGATATTGCTGCTGCTGCTGCTGCTGCTGCCATCTTTGGCATCACACCCATCAACATCATCAGTTTGTGCCAGGGTTCCAATCAGGTGTTCCAATTCAAAATGATGACGGTTCACAGGAAATTATAAAAAATGTAATCATTATTTGCCAATGCTGCTGGTGCTGCGTTGTCAGTGGTGGAGAAGCAAAATTGACGAAATAACCTCAACACACTCGTCAATAACATAGTTGTGGCCTTGAGAGATGAAATATATATAATCGGCAACGTTTCGGGCAATAACCCTTCTTCATGGCACATAAGCAGATAGGCCAGAGAGACAGAGCTAATAGGGGTTGGCGACTATATGTACGTATTTTTAACTTCTTTCCTCCCGCACGTAGCCAACTGTGCTAATCAGAGGTGCGGGGGAAGGACAACAATCAAGATTTAAAAGTGCATAGCTCCAGTGGCTTCCTAATATCGGTAGGAAGACTGGACTTGTTTACAATATGGGGCCTGGAGACCAGTTTTTAAATTGCCATGTGAATAGTCACACTATTATTAGCTACCGGGTACCAGACAGACCCTTAAATAATCACAAAGTCTGACGACTAAATAAACGAATTTATTATTGAAAGTAAAGTAAAAGAAAAATATTGCTGGCACAATGCACTACGGGGGAAGGATTGTTCTTGCGAGGGCAAACGAGGCGGAAAATGAGCGACTGCGATAACGACGGCGGCGCCGACGCCTGCGTGTCGCCACCGCACCCATGGTCAGCTTGTGCAGGGTGCCGTTGAGGTGCTGCAGGGCGTCTTGCGTCCGCCCGTCGCGCTCCCAGGTCCTCGCGCGCTCCCGCTCGCACGCGTCGGCCACGCGTGCCGCGTCGCCCTCGAGCCGCGCCATGCGCCGCTCCATCTCCTCGCAGCACGTGCTGGCGCCACCGCCGCCGCGCCCTCCACTCTCCACCTGGGCACAGCGTCACCCCTCTTTCGCACCGTGCGTAGCCAATCGTGCTGATCGGAGGTGCGGTAATATGTACGGAGATGTTTTGAACAAGTTTTTCACTCTGCGTAGCCAACCGTGCTGAACGGAGGTGCGGGGGGGAAGGCAAGCGAAACTTGTTTCACAGTAAAGCTGCAAAATTGACGAAAACTGCGAGCATTGGAAATGTTTACGATTTGCCTCGGTCACACGCCCTGGACTCTCCGCATCCCTGGATTCCCCAGACCCCGAGGACCCCAGGACCACCCCCCTCCCTCCACACCAGACCCCCCCCCAGACCCCCTGGTCGATGCCCCGTGACCCTCACCTCGTTCCACAGGTCGGAGAGTTCTCCCTTGAGGTTCTGGAGGGCGCCGCCGTGACCCCGGATCACCGCACTCTGATTGGACAGCGCCTCCCGCACCCATGACACGCGGGCGTCCAACCGCCCCTCCGCCTCCCCCAGCGAATCGTTGAGCACCCCGATCCGCTCCCGCACCACGTCCAGCGGGGAGCGGCCCCCCGCTCCGCTCTCCCCCTCCTCCTCGCCCTCGTCACCCCCTCGGTCGCCCGTGACCCCGCCGAATAGTCCCCGCCTCCCGCCGGGCGTCTGCCAGATGGTCAGGTTGACGGCGTGGATCCGCTGCCGGTTGGCGTCGCACTCCGCCGCCGTGCTCCTCCACCGCTCCGTCACCTCTTCGCGGAGCCGCGACACCTCCTCGCGGCAGGCCCCGGGGCACTCGCCGTCGTCGGTGCTCGGAGACGCAGCTCCTCCCGTGCCCAGCCCCAGCAGCGCCTCCTCCACCTTGTCGACGCGCGACCCCGTACGCCGCACCTCGCCCGCCAGCGCCGAGAGGTTGGCGGCCACGGTGGCGCGGTGTCGGGCGAGGAGAGAGTCGACACGCCGGGGATCCGGCGGCGGGGCGCTCGTCAGCACGGCGAGGCGTTCCTCCACCCCGGCCAGGCGCCGCTGCAGGTCGCCCAAGAGCTCGGCACCGACGCCGCCGTCGCGGGGAACGCCGGGCGCGGCGAAACCGTCGAGCGCCGCCCGCAGCGCCGCCACCTCTTCGCCGAGCCGCGCGTAGCGGGCGTTCATCTCCCCGCGCAGCGAGCCCACCGACTCCTTGAGCATCTCGCCCGTCGTCTCCTGCCAGTGGCGGCAGCACTGCTGGGTGCCGCTCAGCGCCGTCGACAGCTGCGTCTCCACGTCGCGCAGGCGCTTGCCCTGCTCCCGCAGCTCCCGGAGGATGTCGGTGTCGTCGCGTCGGCCGCCGCCGTCGACCGCCGCCGCCAGCGCGGCCGCCGTCGAGCTGGCGTTGCCCTCGAGCGCGTGCACGCGCCGCCCCAGCTCGGAGCAGCAGGCCTCGGCCCCCGCGGCGAGGCCGTCCAACTCCGAGCGCAGGCGCTGCACCTGCTCGTCGACGCGGCCCCGGCACGTGGACGACAGCTGCTCGTGCGATCGCTCTGCCGACTCCCGCCAACGCTGGTGCCGCTCCTCGAGCGCCGACAGCTCGGACGAGCAGCCGCACGCCCCGCCGCCGCTGCCTCCCACCCCTCCGCGCTCCTTGTCCAGCGCCGACCGCACCTCGTTCACGATTTCTCCGCGCAGCTTGGCGAGCCTGCGGTCGAGCGCGCCGTTCGGCGGCTGCTGGGGCGGCGGCCGTGCCGCTCCCCCGCCGCCGTTCCCGGCGACCTTGTCGAGGATCTCGTTGATGCGGGCGCCGTGGCCCGTCACGGTGCCCTGCAGGTGGTCCAGCACCTTGCCCTTGCGCGCCAGCGTCTCGTTCACCTGCGCGATCTTGCCCATGACGTCGCCGAGCCAGGGGGCCGCGGCCCCGGCCTCCCCGCCGCGGCCGGGCGCGTGTCCTATGGCTCCGTTGAGAACGCTGCTGCTGCTGCTGCTACTGCTGCTGCTACTGAGGCTGTTGCCGTAGGTGTTGAGAAGGCTGCGCAGCTGGTTGCTGTCCTCGAGGAACGCCCGTTGGAGGCTGTGCACCGTGCTGGAGAGGGTGTTCACGCTCTGAGCCAGGCGCTGCACCTCGCTCTCCAGCTGACGGAACCGGTGGCCGTTGGCTGCGACGCGCAAGGAGGGGGGGGGGGCGTGCGATGGCGATTGGAGACGGCGCTGTTAGGGTGGCAATTGGGACAGTTGTAACGAGGCCCGAAGGTGAGCTCGCAAACAGCAGGAAAGGCACGACTCCCAATCGTGCCGTGCGTGCCATGTGGCCTCCGCATTGCGAGTGCGATGCTCTTAGCCTTGTTTAGACCACCAGCTCAAAAGAGCTGAAGCAGCAGAGCGCAATGTGGTAGTCTCGTGACTCGCCCCACAAGGCATGGGTGTCAATCGTGGATTCCAGCCGTTTGCGAGCAACACACATTTGTGATCCGTTATTTCTCTTTGTTTATTTTTTTCCCAGCCTGCACACATTCCCCTTTTGCGATGGATCAAGAGTTGTGATTGAGAGATGGCCAGGTAGCTCAAGGGTCACGGGCACTGAGCCAGCCCACCCCAGAGATCCTGGATTTTATTCCGGCTTTGAGCAGCGAGCGATTAAACCGGGTTCTCAAGCTCAGCGAGCTGGTGATCTTGGCTCTGGCACCAATGACTGCTCCGTGATTTAATCATTGTAGTTTGATTGCCATGCAACAAGCACGCTCGGAGGGAGCGTATATAACGCGTACACCTCTAATGTATGGAAGTATGGAAGTATTTAAGTGACACAGGGTGATGCACTGCGCACTGTGAGAGTTTTCTTTGTCTCAGGACATAATACCGATATAACCGGGGAATGGTGGGGGCCGAGCCCAAAATGGAACGTGGACCGTTGTGCTCGAACCCGCCGCCCCGTTTACCTGCAGGCCTCTGCGGCTGCCCCTGTCCATTGCCGTGTCCAGGCAGGTATGGCCGCTCCCGTGGCGACCCCTTGCGGGGGTCTTTGGGCATCCAGGGACGTCGGGACCCCCTGCGGAGGCCTGCGGGCATCGCTGGGGGATCCTTGGTCGACGCCCGGCGGTCTGGGCTCCCCGCCTCCCGTCGGGGTCCCGGGCTGCGACTCCTGGCAGGAGGGCCCCGCGTGCCCGGGGCAGCACCGCCACTCGACGGCCTGGACGCTCTTGTAGGCGACGCGGTAGCGGGGCCGGACGCACGCGCGGTACCTGGGCACGCCGACGCCGGCCTCGTTAACATCCTCGCCGTCCTCGTCATCGTCATTGCAATCGTACTCGCCGTCATCACTTTCATCATCGTCTGCATCTCCAATTAGCACGGGTGGCTGCGTAGGGTGCGAAAGAAGTTCAACATGCATACATCGTCCGTGCAATCGCAACGAACATCGGTCACAAACTTTGCCTTTGTCTTGAATCGTCAAAAAAGTGACGAGGGCGTTGGTGGGTGGGAGGAAATTGGCTTGGGGGGAGGGCATGGATTGTGGGGAGGGCATGTCCTCACGTGATGATACGAGGGCAGTTGCGCTGCCCCCAAGGGCAGGGCTGGTACTCGGCGCGTGCGTACGACTCCACCCCGTCCTCCACGGTGCAAGTGACCTGAGCGCGACACCACAAACGCGCACCAGTTCCTGCGGGAGGGACGCGCGCACACACGCACGCGCGTTGAACTTCTTTCGCGCCATACACAGCCAACCATGCCAATCGGTAGGTGCGGGGGGAAGGACAACAAACTCAACACAAAAAAGCAGTTCTAAACAAATGGCTTTTCAACCGAGATTTTAAAAGTGCATAGCACCAGTGACTTCGTAATACGGGAAGAGCGTTCCAGACGGCCGCAGAAGCGCATCTGAAGGCGAGCGATGCAGTGACCGTTTTTGTTCAATGGTTAGCCACACACCATGCACACGCGTAGAAACACACAGACAGAGATCCCCCGGGAAGCCTTCAACTGACTACTGGGGCAAGTGCTGTTAGCGAGTAGCAGCACCTATAAAGGCTCGCACGGCGCACGAAGAGGGTGGTTTAGCGTCAGTACCATGCCCGGCCGCCTTTGTCTCCCCAGTGCCTATGTTCACACACACTGCCCTGGGTACTCATTTGAGTCGAACCTCGGGGAGGCTCAGGAACGGTTCAGATATTTGTCGCTGATGTTGGGCGAGAGAGGGGATTGAACTTGAGATGCCGGGTTTGGAGTGCACGACATTTCTGCTCCCCACTCGTTTATAACAAACTGGGAAGCGAGTGCGTTATAGGAGCCCGAATTTTGTTCGTGTGTCTACTCGTGTGTCTGTGCGAGTGTGTGTGTGTCTTTGGGGACGGTTCGTGAAGGACGCTCCTGGGCACTTGGAGGCAGTCACCCTCCAGCAACAACGAGCGGAGCGCCGCGCAATTCAAACACGGCGAGTTGGCACAGTGGGGAAGCACAGCAGGCGAATCTGCCAGTCATCTAAGTCAAATCAATCCATCATAACTCCAGGGGTCTGTCCCGTGACCTGCCGGCGCACCTTCGACACTTGACGTGGCCTCAGCGTCCACCTAGCCTGGCATAAGCCCTGTGATGACATCACCGCCACTGGGTGGCGAGTGATGTTTGTTGTCCACTTGTGAGTCGGAGGATTGCCTGTGTATTTATTGGTGCATATGACGATGTGAACGTGGATGCCAACACCAGTGGTGATTCTAATGATCTGAAACGGTGCCGGGCCTTCCCGAGGTAGATTCAGTCTCAAATGAGTACCTGGTGTAGCGGTGTGTAAACATTGCCACTAGGGAGGCAAAGGTGGCCGGGCGTGGTGCTGGCCACCCACCCCCTCGTGTGCCATGCCAGCCTTCATCGGTGCTTGCGAACAGCACTTGCCCCAACAGTCTGTTACAGGATATACGGGGGATCTTTGTATTTAGTCTTAGCATATACAGTCCACCCCCATTAGTAGCTGGCAGCTTACAGTTACATTTTTTTAAATAACGTGTTTTCTAAGCGTTTCTTCTAATCTTCCCGAACAACTATGCATATCTGTGCGTTGGTGTTGATGAGAGCCGTGTGGTGGAACGTTTCATTGCGATTGGTTCGGGGATTTGTTGTCTTTTTTGTCGGGGTGACCTGGCATTTAGAGACATCATCTTTCCCAGGCTCGGAATTTTTTTTTTATCCGATAAACTCTCTGCGCCGCTTGTTTTGCGGTCCGAATCCAGCGGCCACCCTGATTAATATTGCGCAGTGTGACGACTGTATATGCATGTGTGTTGAACTTTTTTCGCACCGTACGTAGCCAACCGTGCGAATCGAAGGTGCGGGAAACCGTAGCAATAACCACGCGCCGTCAGCCTCGCTCAACATCGGACGTTAAAGATCCCGCGACATCATTCGCAAGATTTAGGCCATTTCGTGTGTCGGGCGACAGGCTCGGAATTTGCCAAATGTAAGAATGACACCACAAGTTACTCAATGACACCACAAGTTACTCAATTGAGACCGCACACGCACGCAGTGACCATCGCTCTTGCTGGCAGACTCAATGCCCTTAGTTACTCTTGTAACTGAAGGCTCATGCCTGACCTCTGTGAGTTTCTCACCTCCGCGTTATAACAACGGGGTGCATTCCACGTTGTGCGAAAAGTGTTCCCTCGCGGAAGAACCGCGTTACAGCGTGAACACGCGTTAAGCGAGGATTTACCGTACTCATTTTGTTGGGCCCAGAAAGTTGGTGGGCTGAGTCAACCCCCAAACGCCACGGTGGGTGCCACGGTGGCGAGATGTTAACTATCTCGCCTGGTAGGAAGGAGGTCGTGGGATCGATTCCGACCCTGACGCCTGCTGTATATTTGGAGTGTGTGTGTGTCTCTCTCCCCATGGTCGCTTGGTTTTTTCTCCTCCGACTTTTCCCTCCACATTTATAATCAACACGCGTTTAGAGTATTTGGCTGCTGTAAATATCCACATGATAAGCCACTTCGTTGAGCTATCATGTGTGGCAAGATCGTTTTTGAAAAAGAGCTACAGAGCTCAGTGGGCCTTACCTGGTAAAATTAAAAATGCATAATTTAAACAGGATTGGAAGTCGCTCGCTCTACGCTGCACAGCCATGCGTTTGTGTGCAGTCATCGGTGACCGGGCTGAGACGACCAGCTCGCTGGCACTTGCGAACTTTGGTTTGTACATTATGTACGTTGAACTTATTTCGCACCGTACATAGCCAACCGTGCAAACCACATGGTGGGAGCTGAATCCCGGATCTAAAGCCTGGATTTTAGCAGTGCCGGTTTCACTGCCCCACACTGCTGTATCCAGTATCTTTCGACGTAAAGCTTTCGTGACTGCAGGGATTCATCTTCTTGGTTCTTTTGGTAAAGTCACGTAGAAGGAAAGTATTATATTATATTATTATATTATTTTATTATGTTTAATTTTTATTATTTTATTACTTCCCTTTCCAGTATCTCTCAGCAGACCTTGGATGCAAATTATTTTTCAATCCCAGCAAGTGTTATTATCCCCAAACCCCCCTAATTAGTTCCATGTGAGTGGCCCGAGCTACCATTATGCAAGTGGTTGTGGGGTAAACCACTTCTTTTAAAAGGGGGGTCAGATGGAGGAAAGTGAGTTGGTGGCTTGTGGGATGAACGAGTTTGAAGGAAACGGATGTGGTTTTTTTCCATTCATGCCTCATTTATCCTCACTTGTGTTTGGGCAAATAGTCATCGTGTGTACACATGTGGGTGGGTGTGCGAGTGGTTAGTGTGTGTGGGTAGTGCGTATGCGTGCGTAGGTGTGTGTGGGTGTTAGTATTCGTATGTTGAGGGTTGTGTGTGTGTGTGTAGGTGTGCGTGGTTAAACCAGGATTTTTATGGTTAGTGTGTGTGGGTAGTGCGTTGGCGTGCGTAGGTGTGTGTGGGTGTTAGTATTCGTATATTGGGGGTTGTGTGTGTGTGTGTAGGTGTGCGTGGTTAAACCAGGATTTTTATGGTTAGTGTGTGTGGGTAGTGCGTTGGCGTGCGTAGGTGTGTGTGGGTGTTAGTATTCGTATATTGGGGGTTGTGTGTGTGTGTGTAGGTGTGCGTGGTTGAACCAGGATTGTTATGGTTAGTGTGTGTGGGTAGTGCGTATGCGTGCGTAGGTGTGTGTGGGTGTTAGTATTCGTATGCTGGGGGTTGTGTGTGTGTGTGTGTGTAGGTGTGCGTGATTGAACCAGGATTTTTATGTCTATCAACCTCGGGGAGGTCCAAGACAGATGCCACTTGGCACCGAGGCGCAGCAACATGGACAAGCATCGAACCAAGGTTCCCCACATTGTAAGGCAACGTACAAACAAAGACAAAGAATCCCCCGTGTAGCCGTAAAGACGTTTGAAATAAGTGCTGTTAGCGAGCGCCTATTAAGGCCGGCACGGCACACGAGGGGGTGGGTGGCCAACACCACGCCCGGCCGCCTTTGTCTCCCGAGTAGCGATGTTCACACACCGCACCGATTATATTATCTGAACCGATCCTGGAACTCCCCTAAATCGATGCGGCCTCAAATGAGTACCTGGTGTGGTGTTTACACACTGCGCCAGGTAATCACTTGAGGCTGAGTCGATCTAGGGGAGTTCCAGGACCGGTGCAGATAATCGTCACCGGTGTTGATCGTGAGCGGGAATCGAACTCGGGTCGCCGGGTTTCGTAGCGCAGCGCTTTCAGCTACACTACCGCTCCGCGCACACTCATGGACACGCAGATGCACACACGAGGGGGGACAGGGGGGGGGAGTACATCTGCAATATATTTCCACTTCATTTGTCCCATCTGTCACGGCACGGGCGTTAGTCATTTCCATCGCACAAGAGTCAGTTGAGGGCTCATTCGGAGCAGTCGCTCGACTCGATCACAAATCTCTGCACGAGACTCTCGCTTGACACGTCTATTTACATCGGATCAAGGATCGTGGAGCGGGCTCAGCTGGGGGATTGACTCTGCAGTAGATGTATGTTTATGTGCGTGCGTATGTTGATCTTCTTTCGCACCGTACGTAGCCAATCCAGCTAAGATACAATGCGTATCACTTTGGTGGGAAAGTCAACAGTGGTTATTCATTGGCTACGCCTGCCCCTGCCATTGGAACGTGGAATTTCCATCACTGGCTCTGGGCTGGAAGCATGATTTGAACCCATAAATTCAGCAGTCAGTGGTCTGGAAGGCCAATAGACCTATGGGCCAAAACATCGTTTGTAATAATTAATATATGTGCTTATATATGCTTTAACCCGTAATCTCTCCCTTTCATGCGTCTACTCGGTGCTTTGACATGGCCATTATGGCTGGTGTTGAGAGGGTGTCTGTGGGATGTAGGGGGTGATGAGGGGTCTGTAGGACCTGGTTGGTGTGGAAGGGGCCTGTGGAACGTGGGTCGTGTTGAGGGGTCTGTGGTCGGTGTTGAAGGGGTCTGTGAAACGTGGCTGATGTGGAGGGTTTCTGTTGGATATAGGGGGTGTTGGGGGGGGGGTCTGTGGGATGTAGGGGGTGTTGGGAGGGGGGTCTGTCGGATGTGGCTGGTGTGAAGGGGGTCTATGGGATGTAGGGGGTGTTGGGGGGGTGTGGAACGTGTCTGGTGTTAAGGGGGTATGTGGGGTGTAGGGGTGTTGGGAGGGGGGGG